TGCTCTTCCGCTTTCTTACGAGGTGCGAGCTGTTGAAAGGATAAGGTACCTTTGTGATAAGGTCCTTTTTTGTCGCAACATGTGTCTATTCGCCTCAACTTGGTCCATGAAGAAGACCGACGCGGACCAGCTGATGGTGATGGTGATGGTGTTGACGATAATAATGATACACTTCCTTTTCTTATTTGACTCTAGAATATGCATATATACAAATTGGCTTTTAGATCAATGTCTTTAAATTATTTCTTTTTACAAACTTTAATTTATTCTTTAAAGGATATATTACATACTCTTCTGACACTGGGCGGTGTGGATGTAGGCTGGACCAATGGAAGAGCTTTTATGGATACGGCAGGTACTACAGTCACTGCAGGGACCACCACATTTGATGTCTGTGCTTCTTTAATAACCGTAGTCGAATTATCATTCGTGAAATAAGCACCTCCGTGCTCTGCTATACGATAAATCGACTGATTGAAGAGTATCAGATTATAATTTATGATTATTGTTGTTGTTATTATTAATTAGTATTATTAAATGGCGTGCTTTTTATTATTATTATAGTTTCTCTTTTTTCATTTATTTGGTTAGAAACATGACTTTTTGTCCTATCTGTTTTAACTTACCGTGAGATGATCTTGGACCTTTGATTTCCACTCAGCTGTACTTTCAGGTACACAGCTTTTGATACGCTCTATGGCGTGCCCACAGAAATCGATTATACTGGTCATCTTGGTCTGACCATCGGAGCCTTCCGCCAAACACAAGAAAGACCGCATGATTTCGTACACATCATCTATAATACAGAGCATAATATTATTATACTTTTTTGTCAAGGTAACCCTGTCTTGGGAATGTCGTGCTTTCTCTCTCTCTCTCTCTCTCTCTGTGTGTGTGTGTGTATGCATTTCCCTCCCTCATTATTTCTCACCTTCTCACCCATTTTCTCACCCACTTTTTACCATTCTCTGACTATCTCTTTCTTTCTTTCTCTCATTCATTTATTTATCTATTCTTATTCTTAATTATCATTACCTGCACTACCATAGACTTTTGTATTATTCTCAGACCAATAACGATACGCAAACTTTTCTAGCACTCGATTTACTTCTTTATTTCCTATATTATCACACAAAGACCTTTATATGAATTATAACCACGTTTTTCTTCTTATTTTAAATCTATTGTCGAGTTGCACTCTAAATACTCTAAAGTCTGTCTGTAGTACATCTCAAATAATTTTTTTTTAAAAAAAATAATCTTAACATTCATTCATTCACTTACTGGAGAGCTTCTTCAAGACTCAGACCTTTGATTTCCAATGTATTTGCATCCACAATAGGTTTTATTCTATTAAAAAAAATACACACACACACGCCCATCACCAAAACAAGATTTAATACGATTACTGTGTATATAATATATACAGACAAACCAAAGAAAGAAAGAAAAAACAAAAAACAAAAAAACTTACTTTTTATTTTCTGTCTCTGCGTCTGTGTCTGCGTCTACTTCTGCGTCTGCATCTGTGTCTGCGTCCACTTCTGCGTCTGCATCTGTGTCAGTCCAGTTGTGACCAAATCCAATGGGTACGGAACGGGTGTGTTCATTGCCGTTTTGAACGGGGTTGTGTCGGACAGCAATAAGGTGGTCAAAGAGCTGAGAGGCCCGCCACAACTCCGTGTGAGTTGAGAATACATTGGACCAGTCAACATTCCACAACGACGCACGGTGCCAATCTTCAAGAATCATTGCCTTGCCATTATCATCATCGTCATCCTCATTACCATTGCTGTCGCTGCTATTGATGCTGCTGCTAAGATTTCCAAAACATTCAGAACACCCAAGTGTTGATTGATTTGAGTCATTCCAGATCGATTGTGGCGACAACTCGGTTGGTTGCTCTTGTCGTTGAATAGAATCTTTCCCGGGATCAGATGATTGTCGATGATGACCTCTGGTGATGCGTAGTGCTTCCTCTGCCTGCATTTGTCGGGGAGTGGATGTCGGGGATTTAACGTCGAGGGGGACGAGAGCGGCGTGTAGGTTTGTCTGGAGAACAAGAGAAGAGGAAGAGTCTGTTGCCATTGAAGAGGTACTTTCAATCGAGAGAGTAGAGTAGTGTGCAGAAGATTCATAAATTGGATTTGTAAATGCTCGTTTATGAAGACATTCGGAAATATCCTTGGTGCTTGCCTTGTGAAAAGTAATGATGACAATAATAAGAAAAGCATATTTTTTTTTATTATTATTATTGTTATATTGTAAACCGTAATAATCATAATAATAATAATAATAATAGTAATAATAATAAGAGGAAATAGACAAAAGGAAAATAATATAATTATAATTATCATATATTTGTGCGATGGCATGTGTGTGATAATTGGCACGTTCCGTTCCAGGTCTTACAATGTTGATGAAATTGGGATAACTTACGTTGGACATTAGTTTTACGGATTTCCATTGGTGTCTTTTGTTTCTCTCGGTGGGTGTTGAACGGGATCGTTGTGGATCTAATGCACTGACTCTGTCTGTGCGCCTAACCTCTGCTTGATTAGGGCAATTTTTTGATTGATTTTCAGTCGAGAAATGTTCGCGTGGAAGACATGAAATACGAAATGAAACCATTTTAGCCTATGATATATATATAGAGAGAGGAAATAAAATAGAGTAAAATAGATTCTACACGATTTAACACACTCTACACAAAAAATTAAAAAAAATAGGACAAATCCAAGTAATCTTCTTGGTAAATGTGAGGGGAAAATCAAAGCCAAAAGATAAAAGGGGGAAAAAATAGGGAAAATAAGAATAAGAGCAGGAATAAGAAAAAGAAAGAGATGTGTGTGAGAAAGGGAAACATAATTGAAAAAAAAGGTTTATCTGGCATTCTGTATATCATGTATTTCACATGCTTTTTATTTTGGGGATAAAAAGGATCTTTTTGTATTATGCAATATCTTGGAACAAATCGCCCACCTCTTGGTCGCTCATCTCACCACTCGAAGAAGAACCAAAGTCGTCGTCAGATTCCTTTCTTAATTGATACCCATTATTATTATTATTATTATTATTACTATTACTATCAACCGCAATCTTCTTTGAGCTAGTGTCGTCGCCTTGAGCATTTTTGCGTTTCTTGTCGTTACCAGCCGGGGGTGGCACATAGGTCTTGGACCGATGGTTGGGCAACTTGGGCGGTATCTGAAAGCACAAACAAATACACACACACACACACACATATACATATGTATAAAAAAAAAGGATAAACTTATCCCACAGCCAATTTGGAATACAACATTTCTGCCCTTTTATTTATTTCTTCCAAGCTTACCCTAAAGAAGTATTGAGCATCCTTCATAGTGCATTTGCGTGCGCCTCGACCTGTCTGCGAATATTTCTTCCGTCTTTCCTGGTCGGGATCTTGTTCGGGTTGATAGTAGTACAAATCCTCCTTGGGAGACCCATCTGCTGTCTTCCCTGTACGTTTAATGCATCCAATAAATGAAGTTCCTGTTACAATCAACCCAATTTTCTCTACATCGACATCCTTGATTCTTCCTGCTATCTCTCTAACTGTCATCGAGCTCTTGCGTGAACTACCTGTTTGTTTTGGTTATCAAAATTATTTGTTTTGATATGAATAAAATAAAAATAGAGAGAAGTTTTAATCGATCTGCCAAAATTTTCTAGATTCTATTTAATGTATAGAAACTTACCAAGAACTTGGATAACAAGTGCGGTTGGAGTTTGAGTTGATGCCTGTGCCTGTGCCTGTGCCTGTGCCTGTGCCTGTGCCTGTGCCGGTGCTGTTGCCGGTGCTGGTGTTGGTGTTGATACTGGTGTTAGTGTTGCTACTGGTGTTGGTGTTGGTGCTGGTGCTGGTGCTGGTGTTGGTGTTGGTGTTGGTGTTGGTTTTTGATTTTGAGTTTGAGTTCGAGCTGGTGCTTGAATTGGTGTTGGTGTTGGTGTTGGTATTTGAGTTGGTGTTGGTGTTGGTGTTAGAGTTGGTGTTTGAGTTGGTGTTTGAGTTGGTGTTTGAATTGGTGTTTGAATTGGTGTTTGTGTTTGATTCTGTACTGGAGCTAAAACTGGAGCCGGCGTGGGAGTTTTAGTGGAGGTTGGAGTGATTTTTGTAGTTGGTGTTAAGATTTTCTGAAGATTTTCAGATGTCAATGTCAATGGCAATGACAAAGGGATTGATTTTGGACTTGATTTTGTCTTTGGAGTTGGACTTGACATTGGGGATGCTAATGCTTGTTGCTGTTTATGCTGTAGTTCTTTATCTTTAACATGTCCTTTTAGCTCTTCTTTCATTGCTACTGGCTGCTCGGGAAGTGCTTCTTCCCGGGTTGGCTCAAGAAAAGTGAGCCGAGTTCCCATTATCTCTATGACAGAGCCTTCCATGATTGGAACGTGCTCTCCTACAGTAAATACGATTTGGTCTATCAGGGCCGCATTGGGGGAGAGAATAGTGAGCTCGAAAAACCCTAGGGTAGGCTTGTGTTCAATTACTACATGCTCTCTTGACACAAGCTTGTTCTTTCTGCCTATCCGAACTGTCGCGTCATGACCTCTACCGATAGTAGTCCGGCAATGGCGAGAGCCATGAATTAATACTGGCTCTGCATCAGCTAGCGCGGCATGCCGCTTGAGTGCTATTCCAGGATCACGTTGCAATGATGCTTGTTGTGCTTCAAACAATGCGCATCGTCGTTTTTGTCGACTAGCATGGTCTTCTTTTTTTGTTGTAAGAAAAAAAAATTCAATAGAACCCGTCAAAAAAAACAGGTTTTTTGTTTTTTGTTGTTTTTTGTTTGTTTGTTAAACACTTGGCTTACTACTTTGTACACGATCCACGACCAAACACACCTGAATCAAGCATGTGTGTCATGGAACTAGTATGAATTAAATGGTAGTAATGAGACGTTGTAACTGGAAAAAATACTGTAATGTTTGTTAAATGAGTCAAATAATAAATACTAATAAAGTAATATAAGTAATATATATATATATATATGTGTGTGTGTGTGTATGTGTGTATGTGTGTATGTGTATGTATGTGTGTAAAGGCAAACGTACAAATTAGACACAAAAGTGAAAGAGAGGGGTGAAATAAAGCTTCCATTTTTTTAGGTAAATTTTTATTTTTATACATAATCTTATATTTGCTTGTCACTCAACGCAATCCATCATACTCGTCGTCTTCATCATCCTCCGTCGTCTGTGCCACGGGTGCAGGTGCAGGTGCAGGCACATGTGCTACAGGTTTGGGACCGGGTTGAACCCGCAATTCCGCAAAGTCTTCCTCCACTCCCCTGGTGTTATCTTTTTCCACCTCCTGCGGCTGCTGTGGTTGTGTTTGGGGTTGTTGTCTAGGGGGTGGCCGACTATACAACTCGGCGCGAACCTGGGCAGGAGACATGGGTTGTGGAGGGATGTGTCCACCAGAAGAAGAATGGCTACTTGCCCCATTGGTAGGACGCTGGGATTGGTTTGCAGCAGCGGGATTACCACGTACTGCAGAATGAGAAGGCGGACCATTTGTAGATCCATATAATTTTGAGCTAGTAACTGAAGAAGTGCCGCTCAGGCCACTCGACAGCACTTCTCCAGGTACTGTCAATGTACGTGCCAAACGTGCCACCTCGTTATCCAAGAAGTTTACATGCTGACGACGTACTGTTTGTTCCATCAACTCCTGGTCACCTTCCTCGTAGGCTTGCAACAAGGCCTGGCAGATTTCTGCCTCTTCACTCTGTGAAAATCCTGAATCGCTACGAGGATTTGACTTACATGTTAGAAACTCAACGTATTACCCACCAGCCTGTGTTTCTATTTAAATTCCAGGGCACTTTTTTTTTTACCTGCACATGATGTGAAACTGCTTTCCAGCCTCAACTTCATCACCAATTGCAAGAATCAGAATCAGAATACTAAGGTTGGCCTTGTGCAAATGTGAACGACTGACCATCTTCTGAAGAATAACCGACTGGCGCTGCAACATATCAATAGCCTTTTCATATCTAAATTATATCAAATTTACACACACGCACACACAATTATCAAAATTTATCCTTTTTGGAGATAAACCCAACTTACTTTTTGCTCTTGATAAGCAATGAAATAGCCTTTTTAAACACATCAATTGCAAACCTTCCGCGATCCTCCTGCTCGTACAATGTGCATGCAGCACTGTACATTTCAATGGCTGCATTGATATCTGTTGTTTCCATGGCTCTATAATTAAGTACCGAGTATTAGGATTATATGTATGTATGTATGTATGTATGTATATTTGTATTTATGATTTTCCCATCCAAAAGCGCTAACAAGTTTATCCCAGCAAAATTAATTTAAATTACCTTCCGGCCTTCTCAAGTTGCTCAGCAGCACGGTCAATACTACCTAAATATTCACCCACACACATATACACATATACACGTATTAAGCAAACCAATACTTGACACTTTGCTTTCAAATATAACTATTTTCTTTACCCTGGGTCATAAAGAGGTCACTAGCTTGTTGATATGCTTCAGCTGCTCTTTGAGGTTGACCTAGATTCTGAGTTAAGATGAGAGCTGCGCTCTCCATTGCCTTTCCAGCTAGATGATTGCTTTTTTTTTTAAAAAAAAGAAGTAATGTAGATGTATAAATAAAGAGTTAAACCTTGTTTTTTTTTAGCTTCGTGAGGCAACACCTACGCTCCGGCCTTAAAGAATGCTTCGGAGGTTTTGGCATAAGCTTGTACTGCTTGGTCATAAGACTTTGCAATTTTGAAAGATGTTGCTATGAATCAAATCTCTAATGAGCAACCAACTTCATTGTTCTAGAGCATCATCAAATGTAAAACGGTTTTATAATTTCTTGGTATATATATATATATAATATTGATGTACTATCGCCTTTTTTTTACCTGCGCGCTCGTAACATCCTGCTGCTACATCCCAATCAGGCTTACGAAAAAGACCTTTAGAAGAACTAAATGCATATAGAAGAGCAATACGATTATGAGACTAGAAGATACATTACTTAAAATATATAACTAATTAACGATAAACTTACGCCTTGTCACCTTCTTGCATGAACTTAACACCATCACGAATTCGTTGAGCTTCCATAGTGTAATAATAGAAATATATATATGAGCTACAAAGGTGAAACCCTACTAAATTAGCAAGTGTCAATTTCCAGGCAAAATAAAATAAAGATGGCCCGAGAATGACAACTCTATCACGTGTCCACTTTGTCGAGATTTGTAGTGTATTCAGTTGTGTTCGTTTCTGTAGCTTTCAATATATTAATATTTTATATGATTTAAAAAGACTGAGTATTAAGTCGATAACTCAAAAGATATAGTTTAAGCAATCATTAGAGAGAGATATGAAACTAGGGGAGTAATAAATAATTGAAATAACTAGTACTACAGGAAAAAAAAAGGTGCTTTCAGAGGTGCTTTCAGAGGCGATTCTGGGGGCGTTTTTCATTTAGACCCCTGTTTTGACCCTTTACATTTATGGAGAACAATGTACACTAACTCTCTTGCCAATTCACCTTTGAGTGATATATAATATATAAGATTCAACATTAAAGTAGCCCTTAAACACTGGGAAGATTTACGAAAAAAAATCACTAAATACGCCTTGTTTTTGCCATAGTGAAGAGTATATAAAAAAAAGTCAACTGCAGATAACAAAGAACTTTCAAATAAAAAGGATCAATTTGATCAAAACAGCTAATTAAATACCGAAATCCAGCTATACATCCAAATTATTTAAGCGAAGTTGCTTTTTAGGCTTAATCAATCTGATATATAATATTACGATCCATAATTTAAATGTTTTTTGACATTTTTTGCATAAGTAATGATCAAAATACTCCATTCTTTCACTCTGAAAAAACATTTACTAATAGAGATTTTGATATTTGCACCACATAATCATCCTTGGTCCCAAAGTTCTCTCATGGCATAAATCTAAAAACTAATCGACAAATTGTATTTGTTGTACTAAGTAAAGTTTTGTGTACAGTTAAATGATGCCTTTTAGTGCTTGTTTGACCAAAAATAGACAAATATTCATGGAGATATGAATAGGTTTAAAAATGACAATATCGATATTTCCACCATCAAACGATGTTTAAATGTCCAACAGTAAAAGAAGTATGCCCAAAAAATGGATGTCTATGAATGACAGGTTTTATAATCATTTAGTACAGAGCATTATCAAGAACAATAGTAGAGTTTGTTTAAGCATTATGTTAGACTTGCAATACATTTGGAAATACTGGCTATTTTTAAGGTATTATGTTATGCAGAAATCTTTGATTTCCTTTCCAATAATACAGTATCAAGATCTGAAAGTACTTGGTCCAAGCTTTTCGTTTTGTCCAATATACTCATGTCCAGAGCGTTAACTAATTCAAGTCGCTATTACATAATAGAATAAATGAGGAAATACACAATTCGTTTATACCAATATAGATTGACTTACTTGATCATCATCAGCAGCTAAACGGTTATTTGCATTCTTAATTTGAAAAGCATCTGCAATCATATCCAAAAGTCGACCTACACGATGAGTCTATAGTTTATACAAATTAGGTGCATTTGTATTACTTTATATTTTCTGTCTTATGTAAATATTTTATACCTTGTCAAAAAACATTGGACTATGTTCCTTTTTACTTTCTTGAGGAGGTTGGACAAAAATATAGATCCTCATATTTAAAGGGACCGAGGTATCACCCTTTGCCTTTGCTTTTATCTTCATTTTTTCTACCAAAAGGCTCCCCTTCTTTTGCACAGCTGGCTTATTGGACGTTGGCTTTGTAATAGAAGGTACAAATATTTTTCCAATTTGAGCTTGAGCTGCTGCCCGACGCTCTTCCTTTTTATGTTCGTTTGTGCCTAACCCGGCACATCCATGAGTTGAAGGATGACGGTGTCTAGGTGTGATAATATGGATATCATTTATAAAGCACATCTATTCAGCGGTGTGCTTGTATGTTCTCTACGAACCTTAAACAATATCCTTTATCGCATCCATCACAATGGACAGGACCTATTCTATGATCCATATCTTTGCAGCCTTTTACTGCACATGGATCTATACTAACTGAAGGTTTTACATAGCAGTGTACAAGGCAATTGGATTCTTTGTGAGCCTTCAACTATTTGTATCTATCAGTACGCTTCAACTATTTAAAACAGATCATTAAAAATGGTAGAACCATAAACTTGCCGCTTCTTCAGGGCGCGTATTTTCGGGTACCCTGACAAGACATTCGCAGCTAGAGCATTGTAATAGTTGCTTGTCTACTTTTTCCCATCCAGTACAAGAATGATCAAGAGGAAGTCGATGGTCATTGCTATTCATCAAATAAATACATTGGTTTAATATTTGTTACTCTCACCAAAATGCATGCTGACATAATGGACAAATGATTGGTAGGAAATCTAAGAATAAATGAGTATGTAGTAAAATGATAAAAAAAAACACATCAAAGTAACTCCTGACCTAATGCTTTACAATGCGCAAGTGTGCAATGCTGGCCAATGTTAGGGAGTTCCATTGTCAATTAAAAAAAAATATATAGAAAAGAGGGCTGCGGACAAACTAATGACTTATGGCCAAGTCAAGTAATAGCTTTACATCTTTCACTGCATTTATTAATTTATATATTTACTTTCAAAAAGGATCATTTTTCAAATTTTATATGTATTTATGCATATATAATGTCATCGAAGGTTGTTTTATTGACTTATTTTGATGGCCATCATATACTTCAATTCAAGCTACTATTCATTCTATTTTTCTTACAGCTGTAGATTTTATTATTATCATATTTATACATTATTAAATATTTTGGGACTATATAATGCATGGTAAACATATTTGCTTTTGTGTGTATGTGTGTTAGTCTGACTTATTCCCTTTCTTGCTAAAGGGAAATTGGTGTCTCACTTGTATACTTCTCGAAATGAATATACATTTCATCAATACTGTAGCATGAATATCATAAGAATTGCGGGGTTTTATAAAAAACGACGGGACAAGCCACACTCTACGTCAGGAGGGAATCGCGTTCTCGCTGTCCTCGAGCAAGGACGTGCTATCACTCTGCCTTTGGTTCAACGACAGCGGATCGACTTCTCTAGTATTGCAGAATGAAACTTACCACTGACCTTATTACCGAGTCTGTATCTCACATCAACGCCATCTCTGACCGAGAGCTGGTACTTAGAGGTAACATAAGCAATTTCTACCCTTACATCCAATGAATAATGCCCTTGGTCTTTAAAACAAAACTAAAACCAAAATTTATGCGACATTGTTTTTAGATTTGAAGATACCTGTCATTGAAAACTTGGGTGCGACCAAAGTAATAACCAATTTTATCAAGGAAGTACAGCATCTTTAACACTGTTTTTTTTTAGGACCTTAACGACACCATTGACTTTACCAATAATGATTTACGTTCTCTCGGCAACTTCCCTCGTCTATCACGATTACAGCATCTTTTGTTGGCAAATAACCGTATCAGCACTATTGAAGAGGGCATGCAAAACTCCCTTCCTAATCTGACCACCTTGGTTTTGACAAACAATGCCATTCAAGAACTCGGAGATCTCGAACCTCTTGCACCTTGCCGCAAGTTAACTTACCTCAGCCTTCTCGACAACCCCGTTACCAAGAAGCAATACTATAGACTTTATGTGATTCACAAAATTCCTAGTCTTCGTGTTCTTGATTTTGTCAAGATCAAGCAAGCAGTAAGTTTAATTGGATCTTTGTCTTTGGTGTACAATTATCAAGATATACCAAGGTTTTTTTTTATAGATAGAAAAGTAAACGGATAGATGGAGACCTAATTGTAGTTACTCTGTGTATTGGTAAATTAGGAGCGTAAGCAAGCAGAGGAGTTGTTTAAGGACCAGGACGGTAATGAGTCTAGCCTCAGCAAGTCTCTTGCAGACGCTAAAACAAAAACATTTGAACCTGGAGAGGGACTTGGCGAAACAAAGGCAAATGGACATGGTCTGTCAGCAGAAGAACAGCGCACAATTCGTGAGGCATTGAAGAAGGCAACCTCGCTGGATGAGATTTCACGACTAGAGCGCTTGCTTAAAGCAGGGCATGTTCCAGTAGAAAAGAAGCCTGTTAGTGCTGAAGAGGAAGAAGAGGAAGAAGAGTAAACCACATTCAATGCGTTTGCACTTACGGAGCGGATTTTTCTACTTTCTTTCTCCTCTTTTTTTTATTTTTCCTCTTTTTTATTTACTTGGTCGACATGACTTTGTTGCTGCTTTCTTTGAAGGCAAATCCCTACTCATACACTTACAAAACACGCCTTACACGCCCACACACACATATACTTGTACACTTTCTTGCGCCAAACTCACACGTAACACCTATGAAAAAAAATTATCTATGACTATGTGCATCTGGTCGATCAATTAAGAAAAAAAAATCTGGTACTCTTTTAATAATGTATTATCTGATTTTTCACTCTGTATTCGCTTGTATAAATTCAAATGAGGACAATATATTATTATATACAGACTGGTTGGTGTAAGTGAAGAGTTATAGATTGTATTACGGAATAAAAGGCGTACCTGGCTATATTGAGCTATAATTTTACATCCAATAAATCTCTGTTAATTATTTTATGTTTGGGCTTTTGGGATTTGCAAAATATTATCAATATCTTGATATGTTTATTCATTACAATTTTGATATCAAATATGTATTCAATAAAAACATAATACTTTAAAGGTGCCAGCTCTTACAAGAAGAATCCATGATAATATGTTTACATAAGAGCATAATATGTAATGCAGTGTTTTTACTTGAGATTGAGACAGTTCAATATACTATTTCACCATTTTTATATGGACTAGACCGTTCCACCATGAGGGGGAGTGGATTGACATAATCTGTATGATTTCTTGTATTTTATCAGTAAGACCTTTATAATTTGTATGTATGTAACAGCATGTCATCTAATATTGCTGATAGTTTGTATTAAGGAGGATTACTTGAACTTGACTAAACTCATTCAATATATTGCTTTATCGTCTTATTCACAAATCTTGTTCTCTTTATACATAAAGGAACTAATCAAGTAATACCATGTTTATCTTTAGAGTAACAAAAACAAACAAAAATAGCTCATTTGAACTTTGTGATTCTAGTGCATAGAAGAAAAAGAAAGAAAGGATCCAGATTTTCTCTTGAAGATTTAGACAAGGTATGTCATGTTCTTTATGACAAAATTCAGACGACCTTATTTTAATGCTGACTGTACCACCTATTCAAGCAGTGAATACTTAATCCAATATTTGACACTAGTATACGTCACTTACGTGTGCCTGTATGCCTTAAGCATGTATTTATGATCGGCTACTTCCGATCAATACGATTTTAAGCTTCATCTTAGCCGGTTTTAAGGAGAGGAATAAATTGTGTAAACAAGACTTAAAATAGGAGAAGTTCAAAATGAATCTTTTGAATATTGCGCGGATATATTTATTTGAGGTACAAGAGATCCATGAATTGAATTCAAAACTCAAGTGTTAATTCTGTAGATCTTTATTTTATCAAACTAAAACCAAAGCCTTTTGATAGAAAAGACGTTTTCTTTTTCTATGCATAGTAACGATACATTGGACGTCATTACACCTTTAAGCTAACCATACTGACTTCTGACAGCAAAAAGGTTCAAAAAATTGGAATCAATTGAAGCTTTTATTTATATATATATATAAATAAATCCGAGTGTAAAAAAAAAGACAAAGTTTTGTGCATCAGGGTGCTTGTACTTTTTTATTTTCAAGTGGCGTGTTGGCCAGTGTTACATTATTTTGCATGTATTCTATTTAGAAACAACGCCAGAAAATACTAGATCTAGAGTAAATAGTAAACAGGTTGTCTTATTTTTATGTGTTTATTTGATCAATATTGTTACTGATAGATGTGGTATATAGGCTCGGGTAAGGAGAACTTTCTTGGAACAAAATTTTTGGTCGATGCTTAAAGGTGTTTTATAAAGGGAGGAGAGAACCGGGACCAACCCACTATTTGGATGGTCCGTCAGCAATGGTTAGTCCATCACTAAAGTCAAGAATCATAATTCTCTTGTCTTGCCCCGCACTAGTGTACAGACAAGTTGGGTTAGAACTCTAGCTAATTTTTTTGCTTTTTTTTTTGTTTCTTGCTTTGTGGTTCACTAACCTTAGAATTCGTGATCGACTTATTAGCACATTAAAGATCCAGCTTGAATGGCCACTTTGAAAACTAAGTAGACACTGCCCAGTATTGCTGTCCCAAACACGCAATGTACAATCATAGCTTCCAGTCAGAATTTTATCCTAATTGGTAACAGGAGACCAAAGAGTAAATTTATATAGCTTTAATTTTTTTCCCGTTTTTACCGTTCCCATTCTACCACACAACTTACTCCCAAGCAATCTATAGAGCGGATGACATCTGTGTGGCCTTTCAACACCGACAAACATTCACCCGTCAGTCCATTCCATATTCGCACTTTGCCATCCTGACCACCGGTGTATATGCTTGTGCCATTGACCTTTATACATGCAAGTCCACGGTCGTGATCCATCGTGCGCAGACATTCGCCAGTCTCTAGATCCCATATTTTAAGTTTTCCGTCACCAGAGGCACTTGCAAGGGATGTGGAACCAAATGATGCGACTGCATTGACGGGTCCCGCGTGCATCAGAATTCGTTCTGTTTCTCCATCGCGCCAAATACGGATCGAGTGGTCTCTCGATGCGCTAACGCACAAGTCTCCCACAAAGCACACATCAAGTACTCCCTGGGAGTGCCCAGAAAGACGCTTCAGGGGAACCAGATCGGGAGACCAGATCCAACAAGAATTATCTGAGGAGCCAGTGATGAGGCCACGAATGGGATCATAACGCATACAAAGTACGCTCGCTTGATGAGCTGTATATGTGGCTTCAATTTTACGAGTAACAAGGTTCCATCGCATTACTTCGCAATCACGACCACCACTTAGTACATGGTCTGAGCCCATCCAAGCAAGACAATATATACTTTTTTGATGACCGTGTAGGTAGTGTGTTGTGGTTTGACCTTGCTGCCACCGTGAGCCGAGAATTTTGTGGGACTTGTAGAGATTGTAAAACGAGGGAACTGATGTTGTGCGAAAGAACTGCCGAGCAAATAATGCACTCCATAGTAGGTTTGACTGGCATATGAAGTTTAGTGAACGAGAGACAGTACTGATATTGCGAATGATTGTTGGAACATCAAGGTAGAGAAGGATGTGGATAATGACTTCGATGGGTAATCCATAAAATCGATCTATTGGTACCGCATGTTAAAAGTGTATTACATGTTTGGACGACGAAAAATACAATACTCTTTTGGGAAAAAGTTGGAATTATTGTGGTCGACTGGGATTTTCGGCGACTAGGCTGTACAAATTTTGGTAAAAGCTGATAAAAGCTTGTGCTCATATTCTTTTTTTTTGTAGTTCCATGAAGCAAATCGTGAGAGGACCGACGTCGACCGTTTGAAGGATTCAAACATATTGCTGTAGCTGAGCCGTCCTTTTTTGTTACGATAGCGTAATATATTGGCGATTGAAGCAGATCGCCTGTGTTTGGGCGTGAGGAAAGAGACGAGAAGAAGTTTAGAGATAGTGGCGAGGCGATCATGATTGTAACAAAGGAGGAGAAAAATAGACATCAGCCAAACTTTAGCTGGAGCTATTTATCTACTTTGTACAATGGCACATGCGTTCCCCGCATTTTTCAGAAGCGGAGAGATACAAAGTAGGAGTTTCTCATTCCAAGCTTTTCCCAACTGCCCCGCACTCCGAGATAGAAACCAAAGTAATTTAAGCGTGAACCAATCCCCACAATAATCACCAAAGACGATATATTTATATATATATATATATATATATAAAGCCAATAAAAGCTTCATTTATTGGCTATAGCCAACCTCTTTAATTGTAGCCACATCTCAGTAATCTCTGTTTAAATATATATATTTTTTAGTGGAACACATACTCATTACATATATTCCTTCATAAAGACAAACAGGGACTCAATCACAACAACCGCAAACCAGTGATTTGTAATATACTGTAGATTACTTGTTGACTATCAGAACTCTAAACTGGTGTATAGACCAATAATGATATTTATGGTGTACTGTAGAATCTATGTATATTCGAATCTTTCTAAAAGCTCGGTCTGGCTTAGCCAAAAGAAATCCGTTCATCTGACATCTACAACACCCTGGTCTCGTGTAGTTATTTATATTACCCACCCAAATGGAAATTATAGGCTTGTTAGGCTATTTGGTCAGCAAAATGTCTCTATCCCATAACAGACAATTGGGTCTGATAGCTTACAAAGATCAATTATTCGTGTTTAGACTTTAATGTTTCTAATCAATGATACAATATTATCATTCAAGAGACCTTTTGGTTTTCAAGCCTTGATTTGTATATTTTAGTCAACCCACAATAATAAGCTTTTTCATTCATTCTTTCTTTAAAGAAATGTATTCTTGTGTTTCAATTATCATTCAAATATTTGATATTGAGTCGACTATTTTCTTTAGAAGAATAAACTCGGTTGAAAATACCCTCGTAGTATACACAACATCTATCCAAATCTCTTTATTGTAATAATGAGACAAATGGCGCATGGTCTTGTATTAGACCCCAAAGCATTAAATAAAGTTGTACAGTTTCATGCTATTATTATGTCATCATTTTTAGGACCTTTTTGACTGTATACCTATTTTTAAATGAAAAACGACCGATACCTTTACATGGTTCAATTCACCTTTATCTTTTAGATTAAACAAAACAATGACCTATGTCTTTGGATGGGTTTAAATGAGTGTAGCTTTTATATTTGCTGGATATAAATGTCAATACACCTAATTCTGGAACTGAAATCATATAATAAAATGAAGAAGAGAAAAATGCATTCTTGGAAGGGTTCACAGGGCCCAGCACCAAATTCATACGACGAGAGATTAGTCATTTTTGAGAATCTATTTATTTATCTATTTTTGTTTGATAATGAATGACAGGCAATGATTACCGTTCGTATATGTCAACTCGGTCATGATGTATTGTATACTTTCACAGAATATTCACAAGCTGTTAATGTATTTATTACACACCAGTAAAACAAAGCAATTATCTGGCTTCTTTAAAAGATACACTTAGAGCTGAGGAGCTACTTAAAATTGAAACTTGAAAAATCCATAAATATTTATTTTGATTCATCTGTTTACATTTTTAAGAAAATAATGCCAGCATTTTACATCCCCTGAATAACCGGCAAAATTATGTTTGTATTTTTTTTAGAAGTTGTATTCCCGCAAAACAGAGCCTTTCTTTACCCAGAATAAAGAACAGCAATATTAGGGGAGATATTTGATGCGGTTAAAAACAAGATAAAAAAAATGATCATATATATAAACAATATTATTGGATCATTGGGGGTTTAAGAGATGATCAAAATATTCGATCTTTCAAAGCAATAATCAAAGTTTGAACGATTATATTTGGCCAGTTTTCATTCATTGGTAATGCATTGACGATTAGATAGGCAATGCATGACACTATGCAATATCATTTCTCTCTACTATTAAAATGTAGTACAATACGTCCATCGAAACAGACATTACGTTTTCTATTTATTTCTAAAAACAACACAAAAAAGGCCTCGATTTTTTATTTTTTTTTAAAAAAAAAAGCCGGGTATTGCAGCTTTGAATACGTCTTTAACCATTACAAAGTCTATTGTGAGCAAAGGGCCAGACCAGAATACATGTACATACATATTGATTGGCTGACATCATTTTATTCTTTATTTTCAGCCTTTTTCTTTAAAAAAAAACTTTCTACACCAAGTGTATAACAATGTTATGACTAGATATACGAGAGCCTTTAATGATATTGTAGTAAGAATATGTCGGTCTTACCAAAATTACAAGTTTTTTGAAATCATCCGTAGATTTTTTTTTCTTACAGCGATGTCCGTTGCACCCCCTGTATTATTGTCGAGTAGTATGATTACTATAATACTTGCGAATAAAGAAAGCACTATTCACTGAAAATGCGCTTTGGTACTATCGTAAAATAAACCAATTACTTATATCATATTATACACAACACAAATAGGGATTCCTACGCAGTAAGATGTATGGGTCTATATTATACTAGCTAGCCTTTTGGTGAGTAAATCACCTAGAACTCATAGTTCAGGGCTCAGCTTAGCCTTACAATAAATGTGTCAATTCAGAAATACAGCATTAGTAGTGTGACAAGGATCGTGACTTCTTAGGTCCCCTCCGCCCTCTCTTAATGTAAAGAAGACTTATATCAAAGAGCCTCAAGGTAACTCTTGTAAACAGCCCAAAAAAAAAGCAATGCTCAAGGTAAAATAATATATATAAATCTCTCGCTCATTAAGTTTTTGTTATCTCACCAACCAGTCCCTGAAAAGAACTCGCTCAGTACTGCATCGAAATCCCGGATTATATTCTCGGGCATCCAGCCCACAGGACAACCTCATTTAGGCAACTATCTCGGTGCACTTGATAACTGGGTGAAACTGCAACCAAGTAACGAGGATTCTGAATCAAAGACATATTACAGCATTGTCGATCTTCATGCCATTACGATGCCTCAGAATCCTGCTCAGTTGCGCGAGGGAAAACTTAACATGGCAATGACATTGCTTGCATGTGGAGTAGATCCTAAGCGTAGTATCCTATTTGAACAGAGCCGTGTGCGCGCTCACTCTGAACTTGCCTGGATATTCAATTGTATCACACCTGTTGGTTGGCTCGGACGTATGACTCAATGGAAGGTAATAACAATAATAATAATAAAAAGACTAATAATCTTTCCATTAAAAGCTAAGGTTATGTGGTGATATTATAGACCAAGATGGATTCATCCAAGTCAAAAGGATTGCATGCCCAAAACCTTGCAGATGAGTCACAGACTGTTGGATTGCGCATGGGATTGTTTGATTATCCTGTACTCCAGGCCGCCGACATTTTATTATACAAGTAAGCAAAACATGCTTATAATTTTTTTTTTAAAAAAATATGTTGAGCAAGACAAAATTGTGGTATTGATTTGTTTGTGTTGATAGGGCAACACATGTACCTATTGGTGAAGACCAGATTCAACATCTTGAACTGGCACGCGATATTGGCACTGCTTTTAACACTACATTCAAACCCACATTTCCTCTTCCTGAAGCCATTATTCGTAAGCTTTATTGTGAAATTTCTTTGGAAGGTTCAAATGGTTAACCCAAACATTAGCCCCAACCAAACGTGTTATGTCGTTGCGTGAACCAATGGCCAAGATGTCCAAATCTGATCCATCAGATTTATCGCGTATTAACCTTACTGACTCCCCAGAAGCTATTCAGTCAAAAGTTGGACGAGCAACCACAGATGGAGTTCGTGGAATATCATATGACCCAAAAGAAAGACCAGGTGTCTCAAACTTGCTAGGCATGTATGCAGCTATGCGTGGGTTGGAAATGGATGATGCAGTCAAGGCTTTTGAGAATGTGACCAGTACAAAGGAATTTAAAGAGGAAGTAGCGGCATCTATTGTAGAACGCCTAGCTCCCATCCAAAATGAGTTGAAGCATCTTCAACAAGATGTGGGCTACGTGCACCACATTTTGGGTGAAGGTGCACGCAAGGCTAATGAGGTAGCCAACCATAATATGGAAGAGGTTTATAAGGTTGTCGGATTACGTTAAAAGTAGAATGTATGGTAATTTTATTATTAATGAATTGTATGAATTAGAGGAGTTGGACATTGCAGCTCATACCATAATGATCTAAGAGAAAAAAAAGAGATTTTGATAAGTATAGTTGAGATATATGTGTGTTACAACGTACCTGATATCTGTGAAAAATGCATTTTAGCCTTTTGTTGCTTGGTTAAAGCTGTGTTATCTCGAACAGCGAATGGCTCGATAGTGACATTATGAATGGCGAGTTCTGTGGTGTTTCTACTTGCCCAGAGAATGCGATCTAAGCTTTGGAGGGTCATCCATTGGTCTGTGTGGGTCAGGGCGGTTTCTGCAGGAACTTCTGTGTGGTTTACTATGAGCTTATCTCCAAAAGTAACAGGATGGTGCCCAAAAGTTGTATATCCCATATCTTTCCAATCCACACGCCAGGTGTCATTCCACATAGTTTCGTGGAGAGAAGTGTCCCAGACACCTTTTCCACTGAGTATATCCATCATCTGAGTGTAAGCTTTTGAGCTTGCAGTTGGGGTAGACTGGTTGTGTGCGGATGCATCGACATTAAGATCACCAGTTAACAGTATAGGATCAGTGTCTTGTGCAGTAGTGGAATGTATGAAACGGTGCAATAATCCAAACTGAGAGTATCGCATTCGGGTATCTTCCTCATTAAATGCCCCCTGGACATCGTACGAGGCTTGGGTGTGGCTTGTATAAAGATGAATTCGACGAGTAGCATTAAGTTCTATCAACGCATGGAGTGCACCTTTACACGAAAGCCTATGAGACCCATAATTATCGTAAGCTTTTATTTACTTATTTATTTATTTAAAAACTCCCAATTTATTCTTACCAGTCGCTGTGAAGCCCACGCGGAAATTCAAGAACGTCTGACTGTTTAATGGGAAACCTTGAAAGTAACAATAAGCCGCCGTCTGCCGCTAATTCCCATGGGTAGTGGCGTGGCGAAGCAACATGATAATTGAACCCAAGGTATCTTGCTTCCCGAATAAGGCGATCAATACGCCGGTTTGCAAATGCGAATGCCTCCTGTATAGCTACTACGTCATACTCTGGAAGAATGTAACGAATTATATAATCCAGTCGTTCGTCCTTGTAGTCGTCCGCATTATTCTTTACACCAGGCGGGCGCATGAAGATATTCAATGTTAGGAATTGTGCAGTAGTGTTTGTTGATTTGTCAGGCAGACGAGTTGGAGGAAGGGATGCTGGTGACAGATATAGTGTGCTTGTGAGAAGGAATAGGAACAATGCCAGCCCTGAAACTAAAAGACAAACAAAGCAGCCAGAAATACGAACACCACATCCTCGTGATTTCCTAGCTTTGAGTGTACTATTATTCTCAGGTCCACTCTCAGAATCAATGGGACCGAATCTAGCCTGGTTGTCTCGATGAAAGAGGCTGCGAAGACGGTTGAAAAATGATGGTTTGTGTTGAAGTGTTGGTGCTAGAGTAGAGGTGGGACTCAAAAGACTTTCTTGGGAAGCATTATCTCCCAACAAGGGTGCCCCTTCTCTACTACTACTGGGGTAACTACTGGGGTAGTTGCTAGGGTAGTCATCATTAAATTCGTCTGAGGTGGCTAGTTCACTCATTTCATGAGCTTGGTAGTGCTGTACAGAGGCCATTTTTTTTCTTCTCGCCAAAATATGTACACAATAGATAGAGAAAAAAAAAGACGAACGCAGGATGAGGCTGGTGAATGCGAGTGGATTTATACGATGACCCTGAGCTCCGACCGGGTGATTATATTTATCCACAATAATAATATTTTTCAAAACACAAGGAACCCGCTATTTGATTTTATTTTTTTTATATATTGACATTAAAGATCGTTGCTTTCATCAATCCAGTCAAGCAGCTGAGGTGCGTAGTAAGTGGTAATAAGAGTAGCTCCTGCACGCAAGAAACCGGTCATGGACTCCATAACTGCAGCCTTGAGGTCAAACACTCCAGCCTTAGCAGCCTGGTAGAGCATGGAATACTCTCCCGACACCTGGTACACGGCAATAGGATGGTCCGAGGCAAGATCGGCCGCTTCCCGTACCATATCCAGATAGGGCATGCCTGGCTTCACCATGATGAAATCTGCACCTTCTTCCATGTCACGCTTGATTGCACGACGGGCAAGTTTGCGCGCATTAGGAGGTAATTGGTAACAACGACGGTCACCAAATGCCGGGGCAGAGTTTGCGGCGTCTCTGAACGGACCATAGAAAGAACCAGCAAACTTTGCTGAGTAAGACATAAGCATCACCTTGTGTGCCAGTCCAGCAGCAATCAACCCTTCTTTGATGGCTTTCACACGACCGTCCATCATATCTGATGGTGCCACACAGTGGGCCCCTGCCTCTGCATATGCTACAGCTACTGATGCCAGACGCTTAATAGACTGATCGTTGTTTAGGGTTCCATCCTCGCGAAGTACACCACAGTGTCCGTGGGATGTGTATTCACACAAACACACATCACAGGCTACAAACAACTCAGGGAAGCAACGACGGAGGAGTTTCACAGCAAGAATAGTAGGACCCTTAGGGTCATCAGCCTTGGAGCCTGTAGGGTCTTTTACACCTTCTTTCAACGGCACACCGAACACAATTACTGAGCGCAAGCCCTTTTTATACAATGGGGCAATCAGGGCTTCCAGGCGGTCTACACCAATTCGGTACTGTTCGGGCAACGAAGGAATGGGGTCTAATGCCTTGGGATCATCCGAAATGAACAAAGGATACATGAGCATGCTCTTTTTCAAGTGTCGATCGGCCTGCCATGAGCGAGTCAGAGGATGGTGGTATCCACCGTGAAGAACAGAACTGGGAGACGCCATTGAGAGGACAGAGAAAGATTCTCACACTAGCCAATCCATGGAAATGGCCTGATACGTGCCAGTGACTGCTTGGTTTACTTTGCGCTACAAGTATGAATACCGTGAGAGATGTAACAAGATAAATAAACACCAAAAAAAAAAAAAGATGAATTGAAAAATTTCTTAAAGAACCAGCTCTGGGAATAGTAATATGCTAAAGCTAACAAACCATCTTTTGGATACTATATGTAGTTAAGTCTACTAACTGTTTATTATACATATACCGTACACAAGCATATAGTTTTAGAAACAGTAATAAAATCTCAGGTATATTGTTTCGTTAAGATTAGTAATAAATCTATATTCAAACATCAAAAAATATTCGTGGCCGCAACTTTTTTGTTTTGTTCTTTAGATTCAATTCTATGCTAATAGTGATATATCTCTATTTATTAAAACTTCATTTTTATCAGAAAATAGATGGCACTTGGTAGAAAACGGGTAAAGAAGCCACCGAAGATCTCTAACTCCATATTATAATCTTTGCTGAGTTTATTTTTTTGAAACAATCAGTATGGACAGACTAAAAGCCCAAAAAAAGGGACAAAAAAAAAAGGATAAAACAACTTCATCCAGAACTTAGTCAATCAGCTTAATTTATGACTGTTTACACCAAATGTTTTCTGTAATGTAATCGCTGCAGATGCTCGTATTAATATCAGTATTAGTTAAAGGGATAATTAATTATATGATTATCTTCCTTTTAAAGGTTTAACTATATTAAGAGCTGACTGTATATTCTTCATTTTGGCTATAAATGCTTTTATTGACAAGCTATTATAACAAGACTTTACAATGTGAGCAATAGCATCAATAGAGTGAAAAGAATATGATTACCTAAACCTATTAAGAAAAAAGACTCCAGACAAAAAAAAAAGATATTTTGTAGGCCCTACTAAAAGTCCTCATTTATCTCACATGAGAAGCTAAATGGCAATGCAAGCTAAGAAATAATATGTAAGTACTTTGATTCAGAGCTGAAATAATCATCATGCTCGATAGACATTATGTGAAACTGATACCAAGTAGTGTGGTTCATTAATAATATTCCATACAAGATAAAAACAAAAACAAAGAAAAAACTGTAGTTGAAAGACTGCCTTTGGGCATTAATTGTCTTTCTCCTTTTCGCACTCTTCTTTAAAGCGATTGATTCTATATATCAATGGACAGAAAAAAGTCCCGAGACTTAAACTTACTATTAAGCTGAAAATCTTGAAATTGTTTCATTAACATCTTTGGCAAGTTATATTTAGAAATCAAAGATTTAATAAAGAGACCATACAAAAGTATTTTTTTAATAAAAACACCAGTGAAGAAAAGACACCATCCAACAGTGTAATTGCTTAAATGCTTTTTTTTGTTTAAATGTGATTGAAATTTGCATTTCTATTTCTATTTTTTTTTTGGCTTTATTTAATTTGCAAAATTCTCTAGATTAAAACAAATTACATGCAAACTGGAATGTAACTCTCGTAGATAATATTATGACAGTATACATTATTTTCACTTTTACCTATGAATTCTCAAAGTCCAATCTGTTCTGGAAGAAATAAGAAAGTGCCTACAAATAGCTGTGTTCTAATTAATTTATACTAACTTATGCCTTGTTTCACCACAAATAGAGCCACAGCAATGTGGCGCAAATTATATCCCAGATCAGGTTCTTCTTCTGGAACTGATTCTACAAACGCCTCCAAGGTTGGGATGTGGTTAACTCTTGTCGCGTCACAGTATTTCTTTCTACGTCACAATTCATACGGGAACAGAGTCCAATGAAATATGGCTACCAGAATATCCGTGTTTACTTTCCTTTTTTTTATATATATATAAAACATTCACATCTAATCTATAGCACATTCGACACAAAATGACCAATAAAGAATCTCCACAGTCTTCAACCTGGAATTCATCCCATAACCACATAAAATGTGTGTTGTCATTGCTTCTTCTTTTCTTTTTTAGCAGATACTGACCCGAAGCTCATGTTATTAGCTCCTGCTTTGAAAAAATCTACTCGTGACTGGAATGCCAAGTCCCAAATAACCCAACTTCCCCTTGTTAGTCGAGTCACCTTTAGTAACGAAGCTGCCAAAGAAGAAAGGCAATCAGATTACAATTTTTATTTATAAAATTGGTTATGCACACTATTTATACTTCTTTTGTTTTAGTTTAATTAATATTGATATTCAGCATGATATGTGGGTTGCGTTGATAGAAAAGGTATAGCCCCACATGTGCCTATTAGACTTGATACTAAAACATAAATAAATTAATAGGCTGCAAAAATAAAAAATAAAGATGATCCTACTCAATGGGAACCTATTGTCGATTTGTTGAGAGCCTTACGTGAAGGGATTTATGCATCTCAATGGAGTGAGGGTGACCTTGAATTTTCTGTTAAAGTATTTGAACAATCAACCATTTGTTGTATACAAGCCAACAACAGCGATGAGCTTCTCAAGAGTATGCGAGTTTTGGTAGATGAACTTTATCAAATTCCTAATGTGGGTCCTTTTTTTTTAAGAATAAAAGAAAATGTATATATATATATAATGAAAACAAGTTGCTCAAACCTTTAGTAAATTTCATTATTAAAATAAAGGTCGTTCCTAAAAATTACTACCGCGCTCTCTATTGTCTTTTCTTGGCTTTCCATGACCGAACCTCTGGACTAGATCGAATCAATGAAATATCAGCACACCTTCCAGAATCAAAATTTGTTAAGGCCGTCGTGTATTGTGTAATTGTCGCTGAAGATCCGATACAGTTCTTTGCACTATATAATGATTGTCCGGATAGATACTTCAAGCTACTTATGGATACCTACATGGACAAGATACGACTACTTTCCATTAATATTCTTAGCAAGGCATATATGAGAGTCCCGATCTCATTTGCGGCGCATTGCTTAGGCCTGTCGGATATCAAAAAAACAGTACCGACTATAGAGCGCCTTGTCAAACCAACCTGTATCGATCGAGTTGATTTGGACACCAGCACAATTTACTTCATTCGCAAGAAAGCTGACAAAAAATAAAAGCATGTGAATGTGGTCGAATCTACTGCTTAATCTACCTGAATTAGTTCCACTATCATATGAAATACGCATTGACAATTATGTAATTAGAGTATCAGTAATAGATATTTTAATTTACACTTGTTCCATAAATCATGCACTCATTCTCCGAAAAAAAAATTGACACACTTTTCAAATTCAGGCTGGCAAACTTAAGCTTTTTTTTTGCACAATTTCAAAGAATTTATAGGCACTCTTTTTCACTGAAAAACAACACACTATCATATGCACATAATAATTTAGACCTTTCAACCGGCTAGAAAAAATAATGAATTTTATAGGTATTATGTCTTGTGGCATATTTATTATTAGTCTCAATGAAAACATTGGGTATAAGATATGAAAATAAAAAAATGGGACTTAAGATACACATATATGAAAATATAAGGAAAATGGAGGTGGCTAAACAAGGCTTTTAAAAGCCAATAAAGTGTCAAGGAAGGCTAGAGAGGAGAATTGATTCAAGCGAGTTGAGAGAGCGAAAGAACGAAAGAGCAAGTGAGTGTGAGTGCGCGATAAAAGGAACGATAAAGAGAAGAACAAAAAGAAATATGTATACGGCAGCCGAAAGGAGCATGGAAGGGGTAGATACAAATCAACAGGTATTAAAGAGAGAGAGAGAGAGAGAGAGAGAGAGAGAGAGAAGAAAAAGAGCATGTTAATCGAAAGATTGTTAATGATCTTTTTCATTAGAAGTCGCGTATACGTTTGCACATATACGGGCTATAGCATGCTGTTCTTCCCAAAACGAATTGCGATCTGTTTCTGATTCATTGTCATACAATCTTATTCCACCCTCACCCAATTCACCACCAATACCAAAATCATCTGTGAAGCCTGGATCGTCTATCATTCCTCCGAATTGCAGTTGCTGGGGTAAGCACGCAGATTCTCCATATGTATCCTGCCCAGTGTTCGTGTACCAAGATGTGTCGTAACCACTATTTACACTCCTCATGCTGTAGGCAGGGTCACTGGGTTGATGGTGTGGGTACACGTGCGGCTTGTCGATGTAATAATACGACGACGAAGTAGGAGACGATATTGGTGTTTCGGGAGGGTCTTGAGTCCAGCTTTCAAAATCATTTAGATAAGAGAAATTAGGCTGTGGGATGTCATCCGATATTCGAAAGCCCTGAGTAGGAGATTCCACTGGAGTACTAGTTGGGGGTATTGAGTTGGAAGAAGGCAGAGGCACAAATCGAACGCTGTTGCTGCTCAGTTGACGACAGCGGTAAGGAATACTATTGACACTACCAACACTGCTACTTTCATCACTTTTGCTCGCAATACTTGGGATTCTGGTAACTCTGGTTGGACTGGCTGGGCTAATTGGGCTAATTGAACTGCCATTAGGTACACGTGTGCCACGTTCCTGGAGCTTTAGCTGAGCCATGGAAAACTCTTGGGCCGAAAGCTGTATTTGGACCTGAGTGGCTTGATCACGCTTCAACTTGATCTTGTATGCTCGCATGTTCTTCTCCGCCGCCCCAATTAGGCCTTCCACAACATCATTGATCCTTTTATAATTAAACTCTGCAACCTGGCGGGCTTGGATCTGTGTCTGCAGCTGGGCCTTTACGTTTCGAGCGTCGCTTCCAGTAGAGTGAACAATAAACCAGAGTGTTTCATTCTCACTATGGATATATCCAGTGATAGTTTCCTTGAGAGACTTGAGCTGGAATCGTAAATCCATACACGGCTTTTGAAGCTGAATAACATTAGGGTTTTGTTGAATCGCATTGGTCAGTGCACGGAAACCAGATATCGTGGTCTATTAAAAATATGAGATGAGTTTATTGAAGTTTTTTTTTTAAAAAAAAAACTGTTGGTATCACAAGTGTACCTTTGTATTGTCATTTGCAATATGACTCAGAGTGTGATTTGCTTCCAGTACATTGGAAAGGGCTATTGTACCAGCATCTCCCCATCCAAGCCCGGTGACATCAAGTCGCTCCATGGTTGTGTTCCGTTTCAACCCTTCAAGACCCTCCATGATTGCCAAGGCCAGACTGGTTTTTACACCACTATTCTCCTCCGTCATTTTGATATTCAGTTCTTTCATCACCGTGTTGCGCTCAAAGAATAAGGACATCATGCGAATTGTGTCAGCAGATATGGTTGAATTGACAACAGAAATATCAGAGATGTCAAGGAAAACCAAGGTCGGGTTGTAACGCATACAATCCATAAGCTCGCGCAGTGTGTTGTCTTCCCACTTAGTCCTGGCTAACGAGAGCGAGAAAGGACCCTCGCCATGCATAAGGGTGTGGAATAGCTTTGGCAAGTACATGACCTCCTTCATAATAGGATTGTTGCCGATACTGAGATGCATGCGTTGGTTTCTGCTTTGGCTGATGGCAGTCAGTATGTTGTAGGCATGCTGACCATGCAGAGCACAATCATCCAGATGAAGTGCTTGGATTGAAGAAAATGAAGGTGTGTGTATCCATTGGATCAACATGCCAATGTTAGCGTCATTCAACCTATTGCCCCCGATATCCAATTCTCGAAGTTTGCAGGCATCAAACATATTGCTCTTGAGTTGGAGATTGCATTTTCTGATACGCAGGATGAGAAGTCTATTGAAACATTTTAGGATAGATTCAAGCATTACGGGGTGAAGTGTTATATTGTTGGATGAGATGTCAAGTGACTGAAGATGGCTGGGGTTTGTGGTTATTAAAGTCTTGATGAGTATCTCAACATCCTTTTGGCTCAGTCCAGTCGAATGCACATCGAGTTCACGAATTGATTTCTTATTGCTACGAATACCAGCCACGAGGGTGTGGACATCCTCTGGTGACATTTTGTTTTCTCCAATGCATATCTGGTTCAATCCAATCTGCCCACTGCACATAGCAATTCCGATAACAGATAGTGATGATGTCGACGACTGTGTCAAGCCGATTCCGCAGTCTGTCAGACTGAGTTTGCGCAAAGTTTTTGTGGTGGCTATGATAGAAAACAATTCACTTGATAGCATGTTGTTAATATCTGGCATATCGTAAGGTATATTGGCCCAGCCGTCTTCCTTCTTCAAGGCCCATTGCTCGAGCAGATGCAAGGGTTGATGAGATAGATCAATTTCTCGGAAAAAAGTCTGGAAATTTTGTTTGGTTAAATGATATTGGGTATATAAAGCTTTAGAATTTGCTTACACAGTGTCTCAAGGCACGAAATACTGCCAAAAGTTCATACTTTTCGTAAATCTGCGGAGACTCTTTGACTTCGTTTGGAGGAAGGAGCAGGAAACGCTTGGATCCAAGAGGACCATCGATTTCAAACTCAAAGCGGGCCTTGTTTAGATGAAGAGCGGCACAGTAAGCCTGAAGAATGATTTCGAAACGAAGTGAATTTTCGTCCTCTTGATGATTGTTCATCGTTTGAATTGAGATCTTTGTCTTTACAAAAGCAACATCTTTGATATCTGGCGAAGACTGTATGGTGTAGGTCAAGTGCCGCTCATTGGGAAGAATACTGTGTATCGCCTGACGAAGTTTTTGCACAATGGTTTCTGCAAAAGTTGATACGAACACAAGTTGGCGAGAAGACTTGTCTGTCTGGCGGAGCAAAAGCTTAACAGTGTCACCGTTTCCATCGTAATGGATCTTTTGGATAGCCAATAGACCATGTCGATCCCGATCCACGGACTGGATATACTTTTCATCCGTGTATCCAGTCGGAAGTACATACATGCTAAATTTTCCGATGGCTAACAGGACAACCATAAAGATTTCCTTTACACCATTTGCAGTGTTGTCCTTGGACAGTTTGAGATGCTTCTCCTTGAATATAACCTTGTGAACTGTCATTTTCTCTGCGTTGTCGATCATATCTTTGTGTTTCAAGACTCGGTCGATAACTCCAAAACGCTCTGTTGGGGTTACTGTTTCCATGATGTGATGATGAATATGAACTGTTTTGGTAATTGTATTGATCCACTGATCGGCTTCCTTGGGACTATCTGCTGTGAAAGTAAAATGGAGGCTCTGGCGAGTGGTAGGGTCCAAGTGCTCTACACGGAATGAGTTACGGTTAGAAACGACTGGATGAGTGGCGTAGACATTCTCCAATTTTAGTAAGATTTGATCTTTTTCGAAAGTTTGTTTGGTCTTTTTGGACATATTTGTATCAAAGAAATCAACTTCTGCTCGAGCCTTTTGTTGGGACTTGTATCGCAAAATGTAATTGTTGGTCAAGACGAAATACTCTCGCTTTGTCTTTGAGAGAATTCCTTTGTCGGGCTTGTAGGTCACTTCCCCTGCGTAAAGTACTTTGAAGGTTGCTGCGACACCATTGTTATTTTGTTCCAAAAAAGCTTGATCTGCATCAGAGAGTGGAAAAGTTGGGATGTTTTTGGGTAAGACAGGGAGAGGAGAGGCTGGTGGAGGTATTTTTGAATGGATATTGTCGGCGTCTGGTGTTGATACTGTGGATCTCACATCTTTAGGATGATAAAGATAAGCATTTCCAGACTGGGATGGAGCGGATGTAGAGGCTCTGAGATTAGGAGACTCTATGTCGAATGACCGATAGTGCTCATTAGCTCGATTGGCAACAAGTGTGGAGTTATTGGAGATACTGTGTGGATAATGGATTGAATCTGGTTTGAGGTAGAGTGGTGAATGGAGAGAGCTGTATGGTGTAGCTCCTTGGTTTTGAGTTCCCATGGTATAAGAATTATTTGGCTGTAGTGCCTGAGAAAACGATTGAGAGGCAGGATTACAAGGAAAAGGGTAACTAATCGGTCGACTGGGTGTATTGTATTGTATTATAGGTTGATTGCTTGAAGGTGATCGGCTGGCGGTCAAATAAAGTGGAGTATTTATACCACTACTTGTCGCACTGTTCTCTCGACTGCGTGGCATGGCGACCAAATATATAAATGTATATAAATGTATGTATATAAATTACTGTTACTAGAGAATAAAAGGAGCGATCCTAGAGCTGATTATCCTTCCGCGTAAGAAGAAATAGAAAAATCGGAATCTGCTGTACTGTACTCAAGACCAAATATTCGTTTTTCTGACTGGGTTGATAAGACAACGTGTGAGTAGGTCTAGTATTAATTCGTCTGGCCTCAACGACATAAATTCTGCTAAACACAAGCCAAAGAGTAACGTTCGTAATCTATCCAATCAAAATAGCATATATAACCGCATGGCAAAATGCCCTTGGTTGCTTAACATGAACATGGATCGTCTTGATTTAAGCTCCCGCTCTGGTGACAGTTAGCCATTATACACGTGTCACACAGTATGCATCACAGCTGTAGCAGCATGTCTTCATTTACAACATCACTCCAACTATTCATACAATATGCTATCAAATTATATAAATGAAGCCAATAAAAGCAGGTACAAAAGAAAGCAGTTAAGATAAAACATTCTAGAAGATGGCAGAATGGGTATCACACCGCAACGCATCACACCACACCACAGCATAATACACTCTTAGTTAGAGATTCAATCAATTATTTTTCCTTCTTATTTTTCTGTATAAAGCTATCCTATTGTTAATAGTCCACTGAATTTTTTGGCTCGAGATTGAGTACAATAGATCATTGAGATTCTCAATATTCTAGCTAACGAGATAATTGTCCCTATGCGTATGCTGTAAAAGAAGAGTTGTATAAAATAAACCAGTGTATTAATTGCCGGTTGTGTACTACAAACCAGAAATAAAAGCTTATATTTGCTCCTCTTATAGTAAGCAGGTACTTTGGATAACAATAAATTCCGTGTGATAATAGACATAAAGACACAATCTAGTTATTCTAAAGTTCATTGGCATAGACTATGCTAGTACCACAAGATTGTTCAAGCTACAGATACTTACATCTATAAACTTTCCGTTGCTACTCTTTTTTTTTAAAAAAAAAAAAAAGATGTATATGTAAATTGATCTCAATATTGTAGGACAAGAAGCATCGTGCACTAATTGCCAGACGTTCTTTTGGTTCAAGAGTGGTGTCCTAGCAATTGATCTGGTGAGACAATTACATACAAATAGTAAACTACAACTAAATGAATATGTTCCGTTTGTTTTCTTTTCTCTCTTTTTTTATTATAGTCATTACTATTGAAAGACGCTGGAAATAATAAGCTATTTATTGTAGGCAATTCAACTGTAATAAGATGAGTGCTGTAAATCACGATCCCATCGGAAGTTCCGGGACAAGAATGAAAGAGTCCTTTTAGTATTTTATTGTTATTTTGACACGGTAGACCATTACGGATCAAGACCAAATTGACCGAAAATGAAATAAAGCATAGAGTTTGGTTCTAATGGCGTGCTACGGATATTCAATGGTGTTTATGGAGCTTATAGCCTTACTTGAAGTTCCCAGCTTTCAAAAGGGAGAATTGCCCTATGTCCTCTGACTTTTTTATTTTATTTTTGGGTGTAGTTTTTATCATTTTCTCTTTCTCTCTTTTTTTGTTCGCTATGAAATATAGTAGTGAATTAAATAGTTCACTATAATCTTGAGATCCTATCAGGACATTATAAGCATCAATTGTAGAATCATGTCAATCCTCAAAGTGTACTTCATTACGAGCTTTGATTAGAATCTTTAATAAAAGAGAATAAGAATATGTATTTTACTCTCATAGAGTGGTACATACAGTTTTGGTCACAGATACTCCCTTCATCAAATTCGAATGAGAACGCTACTGTACAAAACATATTGTCAGAGTAGCTAAACGTACATACTATGTGTAACCAGCCTAAACAACCCGCTTGTATTTTGTTTTTGTTTTTGTTTTATTATTATTTCTCTCTTTGAGTCGGCCTTTACTTTCTTGTTCTAAAAAGGCATCCAATTCTTTTTTTTTTCTTTCTCAGGTCCTGCATTTCAAGCTTTACTTTTAACATTGCCATCATGGACAACCTTCAAGGGATCGTACAACAAGCAAACCTCGCCACATTGCTGGGTGTACATCTTGTGAGTATACATACAACACGGAGGAAAAAAAAAGAAATAAATAAATAAACAGAGAGCAGGATAGGTTAAATAGATAGATAGTTAGTCGAGTATGACGTGGATGAGATGCGGAATCATCATTGCTTCATTACTACTTCCGTGTATACTTGCATATATATATATATAGATGTGTGCGTGAGAGAGAGAGAGAGAGAGAGTGTGTGTGTGTGTGTGCGTGTAAAATGAATAGATTGTTTGTAAAGAGTGAAAGGCATGTATCTTTAGAAAGCCAAAACAAGTAAAAGATGTGTACTTTCTTTTTAAGGATGTTGCCTGTCAAAATGATATTAATATTATTAACATATATATATATATATATTAAATACTATTTTGTTTATTTTGGTTTACCCGTATGTTTTCTTTTTCTTTTTCTTTTTTGTATTATCTTTGGTGTTTTGCTTTTATTACTTGTGTGTAGGGCCTATCACTTTTTGGAGCTCTTGCATCCAACCCAACATACAACATACCTATATTCTTTTTTGGTATCTGGGCATTCAACTACCATGAGTCCAACACGCCTATCAAGACGGTAATGATTAATCAAAAGTTTAGCAAAAACCAAATATAGTCAAGAGTCTAGTCAGCTAAAATATCAAATATTATGTTGTGTATAGTTCACTGGTGCTTTGGGACTTAGTATCTTTCTTGATGTCATTTGGTTTATTCTTCATGGTGGTAATCCCGGTGGAGAGAGTGGCTTTGGATTCGCTATGACGTAAGATCTTCATAAAGATAGTCTTTTCCTTGTAACAATCTATTAAAGTTTATTATCTAGTATGAACATCATCAGCTTACTCGTCAAGGTAAAGAGAAAGAAAGAAAAAAAGTGAAAATAAAATATGTAGGTTTGTGCGCTTACTCCTTAATGATCCCCTCCAAAAAAAAATAGCCTGTGTCTGTATTTGCTGCAGTAAATACTATTCAAAACCGTGGTGATACTTTGAACGCCGGTAGTAAGTTTTTTTTATTGGATCAATTAAAGCCAGTACTTGATACCTTGTTTTCTTAGATTGGGCAGAGGCACCTGGTGCTTTCCCAGGATCATATCAGCCTGTGAGAGACGGCGAAGAGTATGTCTAAGTAAAAGTAAAAGTAAAAGTAAAAGTAAAATAAAACATGGAAACAAGTGTAGGCTGTAATTCAGTTTGCTGATATTGTATGCTCCTGAAAAAAGAAAAAGGAAAAGAAGCAATTGAGTTTAATAGACTAAATTATATGTATATATCTGGTTGGATTAAATTTAATACTTGTCGCTAGATCCTACACGATACATGCATAGCTTCTGTTGATAATCATATAAATTAGTCTTTATTGGTATTCATTTACTCCGAATATTTGCAAAGGCCGAACACTATATTTGATGTATTTGAGGTCAAGGATGAGAAATAAAGTATGATTGATCATACAAAAAGTAATAATTCTAAAGAGATAGAATAAAGGGGTGGTCTAGGTGAAAGATGGTTGTTAGTGTGATTCTCAGTATATGTTGGCCATATTCTAACCCCATAGTCAAATGATAATCATATTCACACACGCCAATTTATTATTATTAGTTGGAGAAGTATAAATATGTGTGAATATGTGCATATGTGCATATGCGTATATGCGTATATGCGTATATTTGTATACAGCTGACAATACACAGATCAAAATACCCTTTTAAATGTTTATATGAAAGCAGCCTTTTATTAATTTTTGTGAATCTAATGAACTTGTTTATTCCTAAATCATCTTACATTGTATTTTTCTTATTATTTATTTTTTTTCTTTACTCTTGTCTTTTAGATAGACTTCTTCTCATTCACTGCTGTGGCTTCATATGATATCACACTTTGTTCAAAAACATGAAGTTGTATTCCTTGACAGGGCATTATACCATTTTTATTTTTTATTTTTTATTTTTGCAATCACTAATAATAATAACCAAATGATTGGCCACAAGATGACTCGTGGAACTAAATAACTCAATCATTAACACAATGTCAAAATGAGAGTGTTGCCTGCCATTTTTACACCATTGGGTTTGTAGTGCTACACACAACATTGGACCCAGTCAAGGCTCAGATACTCTATAGTAACTAGGATATTTTGGAAAATGTATTGTTATCGCTTTAAAGAGAAAAGAAATAATAATTCTGACTGCGGTTGTTTTCTTATTTGTAGATTTGGTGAGATAAAGGCCAATTAACTGTATATGTTTTCTAATCGGCTGACTATAGTGCGCATCGTTTGATAGATAAATAACCAAAAGAAAAAAAGAAAGACAATTGTCTTGTACAACACATATCTTCTTTTTAGTTTAGTGTCTTACAAAGTCTCTGGTATGTAAAGTTTAGAAAGTTCTTTATTCTCTATATGAAATACCTTGCACAAGAATACATGTAGAACCAAAGAAACAAACGCCCTTTGTTAAATCTTATTTGAAATGATTCTACTGATACCAATACTGATGTCCATAGTATAAATTAAAAATATTGTGTGAGGATACCTGACCTACGACTATAGCAACAAAGTAGAAATAAAAATACGTTTGTTCCTTAATCTTAATAAACTGCCATTTATCCTGTTCTTATTTTGTACAGCATTTGATGTTTATGGATTGTTTGGAACATGCTATAAGAGAGTAAAAAAAATGGTTTGTAAACATAAACGTTTTAAAAGCATGTTGTTCTATCCTAAAAAGAAGTTGGAGTATAAATTGAATAATAAAAAACATAAAGAGCTTACTTTCTGACACTTACACATATTTTTCATATTTATATCTCATTCCTCGACTGGTATTTATTTACCAACATAATTTAGTATTTCCCTTGATGACGAGGGTTCTGCTGCTAGCTTTGGATAATTAGATGTTGTGGTATTGCATATATTATACTTTGCACCGATGCAATGTATTTACCGTATATTTTTATTATTATAATAATAATAAACCATATAAAGGTAATATACAGTCTTATATCAAAACTCCCTTGACGTGCATTTTTTATTAATTTATTGATTTATTTATTTATTAATATTTTTAAGATTAAGTCTTGAGGAACCTCACAAAAACAGAAAACCAAAAATAATAATTAATGAGTAAGTGAATGAATGTTTATAATACAAAACCACAGGACATATGACTTTACATATGACCGTCATTTACATGGAGTTAAGTTGTTGGTTTATTTGTTTTTAATAGTGAAGAAGCTGTTAAGATTATATACCCTCTTGCTTGTATATAATAGCAATAATAAAAATGTTCAATTTTGTTCTGCTGCGAAAATCCGTTTTTAGTATATTTACGAGCATTTGGACATTGGTTTTGGTTTCATTTTTTTCTTTAAAAAAAAAAGTATGAGTACAAACTTACTTTTGGCTACAGAGTTTTCTACTTCAGCTTGTCTGTGTAGGTGTTTAATAGGACTTTGCGTTTGAAAGGCTACAGTTACGGTTACGGCTACTGTTTATATTGCATTATAAAGCGAAATCTCTGAAAAACTATAAAAAAAAATTTTTTAAGGGGAACCCCTCTTGGATAGCTTCAACATCGATTTTGTACATTATAGGTAGATGTGCTATCTGACAGAGAGTTTTTTTTTTACTAAGTATAAACGGTGAAAATATACTATATGATATTACCGTATCTGAAATTTTGCTCTTGTGCCACTATTCTTTATTATAACAGGTATTTTTATAGCAGACACAATCATATCCTTATCATCACTACTTATGATACAAATCATTATTACAAAAGTAGGAAGAATAGATGCTTCTTTATATGTATAGCACATATCTTATTAATGTACATTTATATATATATATATTTCATTCTCTATTAAATAAAACAAAAAGAACACTTTTAGTGTATTATTTTCTTGGATTTGTTTTTTCTTTAATGGTGATGATAATTCAAAGACGAATTCACTGTATTTACGTACACAATAATAATAATAATAAATAAATAAATAAAAAGCGTGTATGCCTTTGGATACTATGTTACTCTATTATATAAACCTTGAGTCTAATTATCAAACCATATTGTAACTTCTGGGTCATTATGATCTTATAAAGAAAAGGAAATAAGAAAAAAAGGATTGTGTATAACAATCGATAGACATGATTTTTTTTATATATAATAATTATATATACACCCAAACTACAAGTCTCCGTTTTGTACAGACTTTTACCTTTTATATCCAATTTTCGGATGTTCCGTGTAAGGACAATGCGGACAGGGTCTCTGTACTACACTTGGACTCTTTTCTAATGTGTATATGAATTTTTTTATATAAATAAGAGATCTATAGATATTGTATGTATGCAATTGTCTTCTTTTTGTTTGTTTGTTTGTTTGTTTTCTTTTAGGTGTTTAATGATATTATATACAATCAATTAAAGATAGTCTTTAAGAGCCAAAGACTATATTGACCTTGTGCTAACCCCAAGAAGTAGAAAAGAAAAGAAAAGAAGAGAAGAGAGATTCATACTGTGTAATATTATGGATAGACTATCAGATTTTGCGATTGATAAAATTATATTAAGATGCCGAATTGGATCCCTATATATAATATGCGTTTATAGAAAAAAAAATTATGGATACAAAAATAAGAAAACCAGTAATAAAATGTCATATTATTATTTTTTGTTACTTTATTAAACACACGAAAAAATTAACTTTCTGGAAAGAAAGAATATATATATATATATATGTAATGCTGGTATGACCTTATTTTTATACTTTATTTCTGGGTACAATATCAATAATAAGAAAAGTGGGTACTTTTTTTTTTTTTTTGCTTTCTTTTAATCTGCTGTATAATGAGTATTTAGACAATAAGCTATTTGCTCAATTAAAAGAAAATCGACCCAGCGGGGGTAATTCGATTGTCAGTATGTTGGGACTTTGTGTAAAGCTATGTGTTCTATTTGCTGCTGTAATAATGAAATATATACATATATCGAATTGAATCAATAACAATAATATTTTTTTTTTCCCTTTGATAAAAATATCTACATGTACTCTCCGCTCGTAATAACGCAATTTTCTTTATTTTTAGCTGGCGCAAAATAGGATATTTGTAACCCAGATACAAATAAATACTCCGAAAGCATACAAAATATATATATATACTCCAAGATGGGAAAATCTTGTTATCGTTTTTGGGCCCTCAGCCCAGTTACCCGCATTTGTACATATAGTTTTATTTATTTATTTGGGTTAACTTTCATTAAGGTTATAATTGATCATATTTTGTGTATTTGGTTTGAAAGAAGAGAATGATATAATTTACATACCCAAAAACATACAATATATATATATTTATACGTGTGTGGGTGTGTGGGTGTGAATGTATATAGATATTGTCCTTTCGGTCTTGATCCCGAAGACTGTGCCGCCACACCAAACCAAACCAAACCAAACCAAACCAAACCAAACCACAGCTTCTTCTTCTTCTTCTTCTTCTTTATTTTCCTTGGTTAGATCTCAGCTTTAAATGAACAGGAGGTATCATTATACTTTACACTCCGGAGCAGAAGATGGTACAAGGTACATAGATATAGATATATCTGTATGTATATGTATACAGAATATCTAGTATTTACGCACGCACGCATATACATACAGATATCTATATGTCTATATGTCTATATATAAATTCAAAAAATAAATAAATAAATTTTCTTTATTGTTATTTATGGTCCTTTTGAAACGCTGCTAAAAAAAAACACACACACAAAGATGGATCGTGACACTGTTCTTGGCATAATATCATAAGATCGTACATATCTATATTATATCTAAAGAGAAATCAACTGTATATTTGTATGAACATGAGAGAATATTCAATATTTATTTTATTTTATTTTTTTAAAAAGAAAGTATGTATGTACGAATTGAATAACGAAAAGGTGGAATATACACGAAACGAAAGGAAGAAAGCAGGGAAGAAAACATATTCTTTCTTGATAAAAGAATCTACTAATATGTATAAGGTGTATGTATGTATAAGCGTATGTATGTATAAGGTGTATGTATAAGCGTATGTATAAGCGTATGTATGTATGTATGTATGTATGTATGTATGTATGTATGTACTTTATACTGCCAATAGACTGTTGCGTCTGGTATTTTCTCTTGTCTTTAGGATCCATTCTTCATCTTCATCTTTGTCTAGGATATCGGTTTCTTCGATATCCATCAATCGTTCCTTTTTTTCATGGTTGGTTGTCATGCTAGTAAAATAGAGAGGTCCATGGAGACTGCTGGTGTCAATGGTCAGTTTGGGTCTTGAGATCTTCTTTTTGCGGATTGTACGTGGAGTGGCCGTGGAGTGTGACTTGGGTGCCAAGAAATTCACAGAAACGGTAAAAAGAATCGGCTTGATGATTGAGATCTCTGAAGAGTTTTCAGGAAACAGACCACTTCTGTCGTAGTCTGACTGGGAGTAAGTGTACATTACACTCGGCTGGGGACAGAAACGGACTTGGAGGGGGCGACTAGAGCGTGTGCAAGAGCGAGATAATGTAAGGGCAGTCATCTTTGAAGATTGGGTATTTGGGTATTGGGTATTGGGCTTTAAATGCTTGATGGAAGAAAAGGTTGCAAAGTGAAAAAAAAAGAAAAAAAAAATAGACGGTGATATTTATATCAAATGCAAAAAAAAAAATATATAGATACTATTGTAGGTAAAAATAGAAAGGGAAAGATCGACAGCACAGGGCTTTTACGACCCAATTTTGGCGGGTTGTGTGTATTTGTGATGTGTAAAACAAACTCTAAAAATAAAATCTATATATACACAAAAGAATACACACAATAATTTAATTAGATACAGAGCAATAGGAGGCATCGCATTCGGTATTGACAAAAACAGACCAAGGCTTTATGCACAAGAGACTCCCTGTTACAAGCCAAAAGAAGAAGAAAGAAAGAAAGAGGAGTATACGAATATGAATATAATCTTTTTTAGCCACCAATATATATATATTATTTTATACAAGAAATCAGTCGACAGATTAACATAAAATTTATATGCAATTCTCAGCCTAAATGTTCACAATGGTTATATTTATTTGTATTATACATCCCCCTTTTCTTCTGCCTCTGTTTCTTATTCTTATTCTTTCTAAAATTTCTCTCCTTCACTGTGTCTATATTTTAGTATAGTATACATTAAATAATCAAATATATTTATATATATATATATATAAGAAAACAGGCCTTTTGTTTAATGTCTAATTTAAAGGAGTCAATGGTGTCAAAATCATCAGTTATTTTATATATATATTTTTGGCTCAAAGAAACTAGTATTTGTGTGTACATTATTGACACCCAAATAATAAATAAATCTCTTGTTTCATAGAGTGTCAAATGATACAAATAAATCGTAGTTGAATGTCTTGACATAAAGAAAAGAGCAATAAGACGACTAGTAAAGCCTGTATACATTTTTTAATATACGTATTCTTGTTTTAATGTAATGTGATGTGTAATAATTAGCCTTATATTGTAAGAGACTAAAAGATAACCTCTTTAGAAATATATATATATATAGTAACTATTGGTATAGGTTCATGGTTTATTAGATATATTACTTTTACAGTGCTACAGAGAAGCAAAAGAGAAAAAAAATTAGAGACTTTAGGTTATAGTCCACTCCCTTTTGTACACAACATATATGTAGCTCTATATGTATAAATAGAGGCAATTTAAGCGTAAAGAAATGAAAATGACGTCGATATTAACCAACATCCCCCCCTCTTCTTTTATTTCCTTCCGTTATTTAAAGGCTTTAAACCAACCTTTATTTATTGTTAAAAAAATATCTGTGGCTTTCAAATATCTTGTAGAATCAACTAGTGATTTCTTCATAAAACAAAGGTATATAAAAAAAGTAAAGTTAAGTAAAAGGATAGACTTGTATGGTTTTCATTCTCTATTCTTATCGCTACTGCTACTGCTACTGCTACTGCTACTGCTACTTATTCTCCTCATCTTCCTCTTCCTTCCCCCTATATATATGTAAATCACATCAGAGAAAACTAGAATATCAATGTCACTATTTAGTGATCACACACTGTGATGCCATGTGAGTAATGCTCCCCCACAGTGTTTATCATCGTCAATAACCATATAGCATAATTATGATTTTGATCACTACTTGGTTTCCGTTTCATCGACTGTCACTGACCCTTTTAACTATTAACATTGGGGTTTAACACAGTACCAGTACCAGTACCAAAAAAAAATAAAGCTCAATATGTTTTGAATGCATAGTTGCGTCAATAATAATAATAATAATAATAAAAAGAAAGAAACTAAGAAACTAAACTAAATAAATAAAGGGATCACATAAAGAAGTGTTCTTCTTGTAACCCCATTGTTGTTCAAATTAAATATATATATATATATAGATAGAAATACAAGACTATGACTATGACTAATACTATGACTATAATTATGGTTATTGCTTGTGACATGTGCGCATACTAACCCCAACAAGTTAATGGACAACCATCACATTCTTTCCCTCTTCTTCTTTTTTTATTATTATTTTTATTTTGACCCTTGTCATCACAGTGACCCAACAAACTCAATTGTCTCTTATAATCGAACAAAAGGATTAAGTAATGGAGTAGGACGTCTCAAATTCTAACCTTTTCATATACATTTCAATTGATATTGACAGAGTATGAATAAAGTACGAAGAATTCACCATATTGATACATAGATATCTTAATAGGCTTGGCTTAGAACCTTTGTTTTTTTTTCTGTTGGTCTGTCTATTCAAAATCACAATAGTCAAGAACCAAATAATAATAACAATAAAAAGAGCACAAGACCACTTGTGGACACATCATACGGATTGTGCCGGCATACAGAAAGTCTAATTAAGACAGTCACATGTCGGGTACAGTGCCTGACATACGATTGCATTGCGCACAAAATCCAAGCGACCCTCCATCCATTACCATGGGTCCTCGCAAACCTGCCGATGATGAATACATTGACGTAGACGATTCATACGATGCCAATCAGGACGAAGATACCGGAAAGGCAGGCTACTCTTGGGAAGAAGAGTACAAACGAAGTTGGGATGTCCTCCAAGAGGATTCAGAGGGACGATTAAGTAGTGCAGTAGCCCATTTACAACAGCAGAGAAAACGAAGGAGGTAATGACATACTTCTCCCTCCCTACTTAACCCCCCTCATTTTTTTTTCAAAAACATATAATAATAATAATCAAAGTGTGATTTATTAACAACATTCCTAATACAAATCATGTCATAGACTTCTTAAAGATACAGCAATTATACAACGTGGAATTATTCGACATTTGTTTTTAATTATCGATCTGTCAGAAGCAATGAACGAAAAGGATCTTCGTCCTAGCCGAGTAGAACTTACCCTCAATTACGCCCAGCAGTTTGTGATTGAATACTTTGATCAGAATCCAATCTCACAACTCGGCATTATTGTTACGCGTGATGGGATCGCAGAAAAATTGACCGAGTTGAGCGGAAATCCTACAGACCACATCAAAGCTCTCAAAACCAAAAAGAACACCGAGACAAGCGGTGAGCCTTCGCTCCAGAATGCGCTACAGCTCGCCAGGGCCGGCATGATGGGTGTACCTACGCATGGATCCAAAGAAATCCTTTTGATCTTTGGAGCCTTGACGACGTGTGACCCCAACGATGTCCATGATACGATCGATCTGTTGCAGAAAGAAATGGTGCGTGTCAATGTGGTTGGACTTGCAGCAGAAGTTCAAATTTGCCGAGCTCTTAGCAAGGCAACCAAGGGTGAGTAATATATACATATATATACACACATTGAAACACGAATTGGATTTTTATATATATATATGAATAATTAGGCTCTTATGGTGTAATTCTAAACGAGGCCCACTATAAGGATTTACTATTCGAGGCAGTTCCTCCACCAGCAGTGGCACCAAATAAGAACACATCTAATCTTGTTACAATGGGATTCCCACGCCGGCAGACTGAAGAACATGCGACATTCTGTGTCTGGTAAAGAATTTGAAGACCTTTTCTTTTCTTTTTTTTTGAGTTTATGCACAACCTCTCATTCAATCTGACATGAACATATGGCTCCAGTCACTCAAAGTTGACTACAGGAGGCTACATATGTCCAAGATGCCGGTCCAAGGTGTGCGACATACCTAGTGATTGTGATGTGTGTGGGTTGACGCTGGTATCGTCTCCTCATCTGGCTCGATCTTATCACCATTTGTTCCCGGTGGACAACTTTGATGAAATTAGGAACAGGTATTTCATTTATTTATTTATTTATTTATTTATTTATTTATTAGCTGTTTTTGTCGTAAATATGCAAAACCAAAAAAAAAAGGAATGAGTTACTTATAAAATATTTTTCTTATATATATATATATACGTGTTATACAGTACCCGTAGCTCCAATTGTTTCTCTTGTATAATCCCGTTAGACAAAACAGAAGGAAATTCTCAGGTTCACTTCCAATGTCCAAAGTGTAAACAGGCTTTTTGTGTTGATTGTGACATATTTATCCATGAAGTCTTGCACAACTGTCCTGGTTGTTGGAGTACAAATTCGCAAAAGAAGACACCTTTGTAAATCATTTTTAAACCATTACCTTGTTTGGGCAAAATGCGATTTGATGAAACCCAAAAAAAAAAAAAAAAAAAAAAAAAAGATCAAGTCTTGGCAATGAAATCCTTTGGATTTTGGAAACATTTCTTATTTCTTATTTTATTTTATTTTACTTCATAGTTTCTTGCACTAATTTAAATAAATAAATAAATAAATTGATTTTTTTTCTTTTTCTTTTGGTTCTGAGAAAATGACACATGACGTATCACTTTCTTTCTGCATCAATTGTCTCCCATAATTCTTACCAATCAAAGTCAGACTGGTTCTGTTCGGTTTGGCCCGCGCGCAAGTTCCCCCCCGCATACCCACTTAAGCATATATAAAAAGAGAGAAGTCGAATCCCCATGATTCAAGTTCTTTTATTATTATTATTATTGTCTTTACTATTGTTTTTTATTGTTGTTGTTTTTATTTGCTGGTATTACGACAACTACCGCTATTGTTATTGCTATTTCTGCTACTGCTACTGCTATTACCTTCATTTTTTATATATAAATATAAATATAAATATAAATTATAAATAATCTTCTTATACTCCTTCTTCTTCTTTTACTTCCTCATCTACTCGTTCTATTCATGGGCATGACATCTCTACAAAATCTACCTTCCGAATTACTCTTCAATTGTCTATCATGGCTTCCCTTGCGAGATCTGGCCACCACTCGTACTGTATCAATTACACTCCAACACTTCTGCGACGACCCTTTTTTCTGGCGTCATTTGTGGCTTGAGCCACCAGAAAAGCCGAGCAAATCAATTGCATTGTGGCAACTTCCCGATCTAAAAGCACTTATTGAACCCCACCTTGAGCACATTCAGTCAATTCGTATCCGGGGCGTTCGTGACAATATCGTGCGCTACATTCTAAACAACTGCCCAAATCTCGAGGAGCTTACGATCTGTGGCTGGACCACACTCTCTGACCACGCCTTCAAATTCACACAACCACTATCATCATTAAGGCGCCTAGAACTCGTTGGTGCGGCAAATCAAACGAATTTCACTTCGCTCGATGCAACCACACTCGGACGACTCCTGACACGCTGTCCAGGATTGACGGAGCTTTTATTGGGCTGTCAAGTTCACATTCATGCCCCCACGTTTATAACCCTGCTCAAGTCAACCTCATGTCTTCCCTTACGATTCCTCACATTGGCAACGCGCCGCACATGGTCAAGTCAGCATCTGGCTGATCTAATGATACTCTGCCCCAGACTGGAGTGTGTCAGCTTACTGTCTGCAGCCGCTGCAGGTTTCAATATCAAAGAAAAGGATACCTTGGGCGTACATTCCTGGATAGCCGAAAAGCACCACCTGTCTGTTGCTCATCCAGACACACGGCTAGACGAGGACGACTGGACAGGGGTATTGGCAGAAGATGTGACCTTACATCGGTCACTATTTTGTTAAAATATATATATATATATATATATGCAAGAATATACAATATAAAATAAAAACATTTATATAAAAATCATTATAGTAATCACCTCCCATTATTCAAACCAAAAAAAAAGAAAAGAAAAAGAATCCATAATCATAATCATTAAAATAATAATTTCATCATGTAAATTCCATGGTTCATTAACAAAGAATACTTGTGATATATATACATATCTGAAGAAACTAGACTTGAACCTGTAGTGGACCTGAAGACTATTTTATGCAATGTATTTATGCATATAGCTTTATGGTAGTACCAAAGAAAACACAAAAAGTCGAGACCTCCATTAAACAATTATCCCTCAAAAAAAAATTGTATTATTATTATTTTTATTATTATTTTTTATTATTTGATATAATACCATGTTTCAATTCTTGTTTCAATATATATATATATATATATAAAGAATTTTCATTTAGTTAATCACAAACAAGAATAGTTGCTGATGTTATTCATAATTCTACTTATTTTAAATCGATCCTCTCTAGTGTACATAGTATATGCGTACTAAAAGACAGAGATCTTTTTATGGTTATATTTATATATTTATATATATTTTATCCCACATTGAAGGAGTATTCCGAGGTTGACATTTGATAATCAACAGATATCAAGTAAATATATATCCATATATATACATATTGTTGGTATTTTAACTTAATTTTATGGCTTTTTTTTATTATTTGATTTGATTTGCACTATATACTCCAGATCATTACTAAGAGCATGTTTGCATATACGTATATAAGAATGAGCGAGTAGGTTAGTGAGTGTAAATCTTTTTTTTTTTAAAAAAAAAGAAGAAGATCAATAGAGATTTTCATACTTTGTGGTCATAAACATGCATTTATTTTGGTTTATTTTATTTTGTAATGAGATTATAGATTGTGTGTATGTATGTAAGAGAACTGTAAGTTTAAAGATGTAAAATTAGGCTGTTTTCTTTCTATGTATTTTGAGTAAATCAATTAATAAATACATAATATATAAAAGAATAAGCAAAAAAAAAAAAAGGCTATTAATAAAGCCCAAGTAAAGAATTAAATGATAATAATAATAATAATAATTGGTTTCTAGTTAAAAAGAATTGCAGAGAGAGTTCATTAATACTTGGTTCTCTTGCTCGACAATATCTGACGGCACATGGTTTGAAGGACACTCGACACTTTCGATCTTCTCATCCCAAGTCCTGGCTTCTCCCATAGCAAGCGTGTCCCAGATCTCGGCTTTGAGCTCAGAAGCAAACCGAGTGCGGGCCAGGTGATCAAATGACTGGATACGCCCCCCGCTAACCCGCCGCTCTCGAGGTGAGCTGTCAGTACGGCAGCAGAAATACTGCGGAGTGCGGTAGATAATCTTGGGGTGTCCAACTTGTTGGTAGGCAAGTCTGATCAGCTCAATTAATCTTGTCAAGTCTCGGTTGAAATCAGCTAGCGTCAAAAAGGCAGCGTCCCAGTTGCCTAGTGAGAAAACCACGATATCAGGTCGGATACTAGGGTCTCCAAACAGAGGTACAAACGCAGTATCCCATCCTGGATTGTTAAGGTAGGTCAGGCCGTCCCACTTGTAGCTTCGGAGCCGAACCTTGTCCAGGACCACAGTCCGGTTGTCCCATTCTGTGTTCCGTCCAAGTGCCTTGGATTCTTCCCTGGTGTTTTCAAAGAAAAGGTCGTTTAATCGAATGTGCGGGTTCAGCCATTCGTTGTTCCAGCTCGGCTCTGTATAGTCTTCACAATAACAGGATCGTCTCTGGCCATCATCCCCGGCCGATTTCCAGCTACGTGCTCCCTCGAGATTCAGAATCCTATGGTTGGGTGATAGTGCTCCTGGTTGAGTATCGCACCACTTTCCATGACTGAGCATTGCCTTTAGAGATCGCCTAGTATTCGAATCGCCGTACAGATCTACGCCATTAGGGTAGCGACGGGCAAGGCAGCGATTGAATTGGTCGTAGCTTAGTTTGCGGTATCGACAGTTATAAGGGGCCCAGACTTTGTTGTGGTGATCAATACCAGCCAATAGAGTAGTATTGTATCCAAGAGGTACAGGCAACCACCGACCCAAATTATCCGCTCTGTGGCAGAGTGGCAGAGCCAGGTGGGCATCGAGAATATCTTTCTGTGCTTGCTCTACCGACCGTTCTTCCTTTTTAACCTTTTCATTTTCCTCTTCTTCAGTCCCTGGCTTGACCACCCGGATGTCTTCTGCGCCTAATGGATAGACCGGCAACAGCTGGGGCTCGTATGGATTGACAGGACCCAGCTCAAAATTCCATTTTCCTGCTTGATACTCGAGAAGACCCTGTATATGATATTCTCCGATATCCTTGAGTTTTGCGTCAGCCTCATAGACATGGATCAGGTCTCTTTCAGCAATCGTCTCTTCCATGTCTTTGTACCAGCCCGGTGCCTGGCCACCAAGAAGGCGCGCCATTCTGTCCTTGCGCAAAACCATATGCCCTGACCATGGCTGCATAGACAAGGTTGTGGTTGCATTCGTTTGGTTATGCTGCATTGTAACCATCATAGTATCCCACCAGGGCGAAACCAATCGGCTGTTTTGATAGTCGTTTGGTCTGTAGAGATACTGGAAAGGGTTTGACGGATCAGGTGCGGGTTGGCTAACGACGACTCGGACGCAGATGGTGTCGTCAGATTTGAGGGTAGTGTTGGAAATAAAGGGGAGAATGAGGAAAGGCTTATCGACTGCAGGTAGGCGGTCGAATGCGGACCCATTGTTCTCTACTCCAACTGCACTGGATACTACATGATGCAAGATCGGGAAAGGCAAGGGCTGGTATTTACAAGCGTATCTAAGCTGAGAGTCCTGAGCCTCAAGTCCATCTTGATCAACCCAAGACTCCCAATCGGTGTCGTGCTCGTCTGATTTGTAGGTTATCCAGGGGTCGGTCTCAAGGACATAGTCGCTGTCGACACGTAGAAGAATTGATTGCATTATTTCAGGGAAGAGACGTAAGATGTTGCTCTCGACAGGATATAGTGTTTCGTTGATAGCCAGATGGGTATAGTTGACCTGCTCAAAGATGCTTTGGGGCAGAGGGTGAAACATGGGATGATCTTGGAACATAAAGGCCAGCAATAAGAAGATCATTAAAAGTACAAAAAATACAAACACATGCCACAGATGGGATACTATTGATGGCCAAACGTTTTTACGAAACATTGTAATATAATATAATTTAATATAATAATATAAAAGAAAAGAAAAATCTAGATGTTAAGGAACGAAGGAAGGAAGGAAGGAAGAGAAAGATGAAAAGGGTCTAGGCCACCAATAAATACTTTGAGTATATGGTCTAATGAAAATCAAATTATTATCTAAAATATATATATAAACATCTGGTCCAATATATCCAAAAGAGGAGGGATTTCGTGGTGAATAGCACCAACCCATTGATTTCTAATTTTTATTTTTCTCTTCATTTATGGTGAATTTGAAGACATCAAGCATTCCTATTGGCTAACAAACCGAACATATAGCTTGACATGTTTAAATTCAGAAGTGTGTGTGTGTACAATATTGCTAGAAATGTGCCAAAAAAGTACTAGCTTAGTTTTTAAAGTATTACCTAATTCAACTTCAGATAACACAATTTTATTTTATTTTTGAAATAAAGGTGCGGAGAAATGTAGAAACTTGGCAAAGAAAGAGAATTCACAGGTCAAACTTTGCTAGAACAAAAAAAATATATATAAAGTGCCCTTCTGCTGCTACACGACCACATAATTTTTGTATAATTGTCTTCCTAAAATGAATTCTTGTATACAGGATGAATGTTTTGCTCATAATGGGAAAAAGCATTTCTTGGGATCTGAAAAATGGGGGACAAAGATGGATAAGGGGGAGAGGGGGACCCTATTGTTGACCAATTGGTTTCATTCAAAAAATTGATTCAGATTTCGATTTGTTTCAAATGCCTTTAAAGACTTCTTTATCAACATAAGCGATTCTTTGTCGGATCGTAATAAAACTTTTCGAAAATATAATGTTAACAATAATAGTAATAAGCTGACTTGAACTATAGCTATAATGCCGTTGAGAAAGTGCAATAAAAAAAATAGCATGTACAATAATATTTCTACTTGGTTTTTCGTACCCTTTACAAAAAAAAAACAAAATCGGACCTTTTCGGATTTCTCGGACAAGGTTATTTTTTATTTTCAGCCATAGTCAGCTTTTAATTTCAGACTAAATCAGTTTTAATTCAGGCTTTTTTTAAGATCTAGAATATTCGTATTGAAATGGCCGTTTACGCCTTGAATTTATACTTGACAATAAAAAAAGAAAAAGAAAATAACCACAAATACACTATGTCAGCAATAGCCAGCTATGCAGATGAATACAAGAGAAAATTTTGTCATTACAGACTTTGGGACGCAAGCTTGTTTAATATTTTATTGCTTATTGGCCTTTCTTAGGCGCATGATGTCTTTCTCTTTCTTTCACCTATTGTATCTATATTACCAAAAAAGTGACCCAAGGTTTGTCATTGAAAAAAATAAAATAAATAGAAGCAAAGATATTCAAGTCATTACAGGCCGTCCCAGACAATAATCGTAACAATATGGGCACAACTTGTGGTCCACGAGAATCAAAATGCAGTCTCTCACCAGAAAATGTGGGCTCCGTAAGATTAGCTCTTTTTTTTTTATTAAAAAAAAACATTTAGCAAATATCAAAGTATGATCTCCAAAAAAGTGTGTATAGCATAAAGAAAGTAATTATGGGCTACTAGACGCTTTCTTTTCATTTCTTTCGTGTTAGTCTGTCCGTAAGCTTGCCCGTCCAAAAGCTCAAAGACTGTCGTTCAAGTAAAGAGCTTGGTACTTCCATTTCGTCATATAAAATCCAACCACTTTATCCTACAGAATAACCACGAACAATATATAAATGGCCTCTCGAGTAATGGCTCATCTGGACAATCAACACAAGCAGTCAGTAATATGCAAACAATTATAAAATCAGTCTTTATTGACTTCCCCCTCCTCAAAGCTACTGCCAAGAATGCAATTCAGAATAAGTTCGAAAAAGTAAAGTAGCCGTCTTTATGTAATGTATATGGTCCAATACTAATACAAATGTCCTTTGGGTAGAATTTATCTTGAACAACTAAATCCAGGAATATTTATGAAGACAGTCATTGATTGTGATGAAGATGAAGAGTCATACCTGGAGCTACTAAATCATATAGAAGATACTCAATCCCTACCAATATCTGTATATAGTGTGGAACCTTATCCCTTAAATCCAAAACTTTTCTGAGATGGGTTTGAGCTTCTTTTTTTTTGGAGTAGAGTGCTTTTACTCCTTTTTTTCTGATCATAAAAATATTACTGTTCATATGTACGCAATATATGCAAGACTTAAAATCTCTAGTCTAGTCATTTCTTTTTAGTGGTGAAAGACGACTTGAGGGTACTACGTTCAAGATCAATTACAAAATTTGGGATTTTGATCAAGAATAGATTTTATGCCTGGACCTGCATCGAAACCGGTAGACGTGTGGCTCAAGACAAAGCATTAAATGACAATCACAAATTACTCTTGGAATCGAAAGTGATCATCATCAACTTGATCAATTCATTTAGTCTCATCAACCCAACCAGTATTACAATTGTCATTTTTGCAAATCTGTGGAGTAAAAGACGATTTTATTCAAACAATTCTTTTACAAAAGAAGAAATAGATTGGTCATCGTCCAAAAGATAGAATCAGAACTTTATTATATTGCAATTCCATTGCTATAATCACAAATGTTATAAAATCGTTGCTCTTTTACAAAAATCACATTGTTGGCTTAGTATTTGATGTTAAGTTGATGATAAATGAGAATGACAACAGGCGTACATTATTTGAGAAAAAAATTGGAAGGTAAAGGGTATAAACCTGCCTTTTTTTTTGGATTTTATTGATGTTGTTGAAAGTTTATTAATGCAATGTCTGTCTGTCTGTCTGTCTGTCTGTCTGTCTGTCTGTCTGTCTGTCTCTTCTACCTCTTCCTATTATTATTATTATTCTACATTTATAATTACAATATTTCAATAACTTGAACAAATAAAATGATAAGACACACTATACCAAACTTCAAGGCAAACATAAATAGTTGCACAGACTTTCGTGAATTTTATACTTGACGAGATTACTATAACAAGCTTGAAAAATGGCAGATCAAGTTTGACCAAACCACCAACGAATCTCTACCCAGAAATAAAAATAAAATAAAATAAAAATAGATTCCCTGAGTTAAATGAAGGGCTAATTATATTTGCTACTGTTTACCAAAGACACTGTTAGTATCTCAAGACGACACGATATTGAAGTTACCAAATCGCACTATCTTGAATGCCTTGAAAAACATGGATGAAATAGATAATACACCCTTCCACACCATTATATAAATCGATAGGATGATAGGATACTAGTTGAAAGAGGATACAAGAGTATTTATCTCCCTCCTTACTCTCTAGAGCTTAATCCTTTTGAGCAATTTTGGGAGGCTGTCAAGAACACAGCCAAATACAGCAAAAGTCGAAGCAACTGAGAACTTGATTATTTAAAATGCTAAAGCTTGTAATTCTGTCCCTCTCCAGTACTTGCAAGTGTTTTTTTTTTCAGTACTCGGCAAACGTTTTTGTGAAGTACTTTCATGGAGAGTCGGTTCGAATGCTATATTCCTTTTTCAAAAAAATAAAAATTAAAAAAAAACGGCCTTTGGTTTTTGAAAATTCGTCTTTTGGACTTTTCTTGTTATTATCCATTGGCATTGGAACGATTGTACATGATTGACTACTCCTACTGCATATATCTTGAGAAAAAAAAAGTCTGAATTAAAATTTATTTAAACTCAAGTTTAAATCTGACTATGACTGAAAATGAAAAATTATTTTGTCCGAAAATCAAGTATAGAAATATTGTCAATAGTCTTTATTTTTTTATTTTTTTAGGTGTCAAATTTTCCTTGAACGGTAAATATGTTTAAAAGAGAGTAACGAATTGAAATTATAAGCTACTAATACAAGTAAGTATTTTGCTACCTAAATTTGGAGTTATGCTCATCTATCTATTTCTGACTGAGTTTTATCACTTGTAAAGAAGTCTTTTTTTTTTTATTTTTGTTGAAAGTCAAGAGACTTTTGGCAATTTAAAGAAACAAGGCTAAAATGTTTAATATTAAACCTTTTGAATATAAGGTATTCATCAGCATATCTTCACAGGTTTAAAGAGGTGCCATTTTTATTCTAATAAAAAAAATTATATATGTTGAAGTAAATGAACTACACATGTGAAGTGTAGTTGATCTTACCTATAAATGACCTAGTTCTTATGGAAATATAAATATAAAATGAATACGGATATACGTCTAGTCTAATAACTTGACTTAAATACTTGTGAGTATTATTACTCCTTCTTTCCTTCAAAGCCACAAACATCTTTATACATACATACATATATTTATATATATTTACGCCTATACATAAGGAAGGGGGGTTAAGACTGTGCGCCTGTATTTATTTATACATATCTTTTGCGGTTTAAATTGCTATCTCTAAATCTAGTATCAAGTATATGAAATGTGTTTTTAGTTCTAGAATGTTTTTATTTTAATTCTTTTCTTGTGAAGCTGCGGTGAATTAATTGTGCTAAAAAGGCAAGAAGAAAACATGGTATAAGATGTATATAGAGCCTTACTGAGTAAAAACCTTGTACCAGGAATGAGGAAAAGTAAAAAGACCAATAAAAGGGGTAAATAATGATCTCAATCAACCGTGATGGCTTGGCGAACAACGATTTCTCTCTCTCTCTCTCTCTGTATCTGAATGGCCTTATTAGACAAATACCTACTCTTTTCATATATATTTGGAATACACTTTTTTCACAAATTATTCGCGCACCAACAAAATACAAAAAAAAATCGCATAAAATATATATATATATTTTTGTTTTTTTTGTAGGGAGCTTTGTGGTCAAGAGAGTTGACGAGCCTCTATTGCTGCGTAAGCAAAAGAGGACGTCACGGCTTTTGTTTTGGGCTCTCTTTATTTATCTGTCATATGCTATTTTTGAGAGCTTTGTATTTTATAGTGAGAGATTGTGAGAACCCAAGAAAGCATATCCCGTAGCCACGTCTTCGCAAAGAGATAGGACTTATCTGAAGGTTTCTTGGCTTTATTAGGAGGGGGAAAGTGACCTAAAGTCAAACAGGAAACAATTGGGAGACAGATGGGAGAATATGCTGTAGTGCAGCGAAGACGAGAAGAGATAGCGTAGAGATTGACTAAATCTTCACACTGTCTTCCCCGACCAAAGTGAGATATGTGCGAAAGAGTCGTGAAGTACGTATAACTTTTCAAACAAAGTGTTTTTAACATTTTTTTAAATCTAGGATGATTTGGCCAAGGCTAAAAAGGAAATAAGTTCTCTCACCTTATTACTATCAGTGGAAGAAGGTGGCCACCACAACATCAGTAACATGGAATTCCTTGAACAGCTTTTGACTGATGTGTAAGCTGAATAAATTTTATACCCCTAGATCATATAAGTCTATACAAATCGGATGGCTTGATAAAGCTTTTTGGATTAAAGAAGCTAGAACTTGCTTTACTCGAAACTTCTGGTCATTTCACAAACAGCGACAAGGTCAAGATTAAACTGGACCACCATAAAGGAATGTACGGTGTCCTTTCAATGCTTAAGTGCGTTGCCGACGATTTCTCGTTCGCGTCTGTTGACAAGCTTAGTCCGGTCAAGGTATTTTTTTATTCATGCCGCAGGTAATGTATCATTTGTCAGATATCATAATGAATTCTAATATTTTTGCATATACATGTGAGCAGAAACAAGATTGCATTTGTGGAGTGTGCGTTATCAAGATGGGCTTTACGACTTTTGGAGAGAACACTGTTTGGAAATTCGCCCTGATTTTGAAGATCGGGCTATGTTTGTTCCACGATTAATTGAATTTTGTTGGAACGTAAAGGTAATAAGCGTACTTGAATGAATTAGACATGATAAATAACCTCGTAAATAGTATTTGTTGGAAAATGCGGTGGAAGATATTATAAAAGTAAAGAAAGATCATCAAATAAATAGCGCAAAATATCGATATAATCCTCAAGAATGTACCCAGCTCAGCGCTATCGTCAACCCAATAATTTTGAAGTTGACGAAAGAGGATGATGGTGAAGGTATCGGAAAGCTTGGCCCAATGTATTCCCCCCCTCACTATTGATTTTTTCCCTGCATCATTCTTTATACTTCCATTATCGTTGTATTCTTTTTTTTAAAAATATTATGACACACGACGTATCTTTATCTAGATTCATTATAGCGCGTCGAGTAGTTACCGAGAGAACCTTAAAAATACGCTACACTAGGTGAAATGTCTAACAAATAAATCGTAATATTCCTATCTAATGCCAAAATAATACAAACATTACAAAACCTTAGACAATCATTCATATATCAATAACTCTATTTTGAAATGCTTTACTCTTATAAAATAAACCTTGATCCTAAGGGATTCTCACAGACTTGTACTTGTTTCATTTTATCTATTTGACCTACCTTTTGTGTATCAGCAATTACTCAGCAAGAAACAACAACAAAAATATTCCACCTGCAACAACTAGGTTAAAAAAATGGAGATTGATAATGTACCAATCCATAAAAATAATGATATAAGAAAAATTATTAAAGGTCGTAGATATGGGCTGCGTTTATCTACCATCATATTCCCCTGAAGTTAAACCCCATTGAACAATTTTGGTCTGTTTGTAAAAAAAAAAAAAAAAAAAAAAGTAAACTTAAACGAGAAGCACTGCTGGAAAAAGAAACACTCACATTATGGATCAGAGACGCTTTGTAATCAAATTCTTTTCTCAGACCTTGCAGGGTTTTGTAGATATTCTACGCAAAGGTTTGATGGCTGATTAAACCGACGTCCATTATAATAAAGGTTTTTGTTTTATGAAAATGCGCGAATAATTTGTAAAAAAAAAAAAAAAAGAGTGTATAAAGAAGCTTTTCCAGGTAGTTGTAGTATTTTCACCTTCATTTGGTCAGCTCTTTGAAGACACAAAAAACTAAAATTTATTACATTAGGGGGTTTCATTATCTCTTTGGATAGAAATTCAGATTAGGATTCGGAAATCGGGTGTTTAAATAATAAAATGATTGGCTTAGAATAACCTGAATAGAATTAAAATATGTAGATTTAATCTGAAGAAAAAAGCTTTCGGATTGAAATTGAGGATTGCTCATTATGGCGTCTTGAAATACTTGAAGCAAAAAAATTATCAATTTATTTGCCTCTCTTACATACCTCTAGCTTAGATACCAGATCTTATATAAAAAAAAGAAGAAATGCTCAATATAAGTGATATAACATAACTTAATTGTTTATAATAAAATATCAGGTACAAGAATAAGACGGTTAATTAAAAAGGGGGACTCAATAATTTCCATTTTATATTCACTTTCATTGGACACAGGTTTAACACCCGCCATAAGAATCCTAATCTGAACTTCTAACTAAAGAGATAAGGAAACCCCCTAATATTTATTATGTAACTATAACCTATGGCTAAAATGAAGCAATGCATGGCTAAGAATAACTTCTATAGAGATTGGTGACAGATCAAAATGGGCATGCTGAGGAAATAGGTTTGGAGTACATGAGCAATGCCAATCTTAGAGTTTGCTACAGATTTTTTTTTTAAAGAAGCAGCAAGAGGCATTTATCGTATTTTGTCTAAATGAAATGATTACTACTTGAGCCTATTTACCGAGAGGATAGAAGACTTGTGTAAATAAAGTATATTCTTTAAGAAGAAAAATAAAATTTTGTGCTTGGACGGAGATTACACGGTCCATCCAGATTTTTCTGTTTGTGGTTAATCTTTAGTTGAGACCCTTTTTTTTTCAGATTATATATTTTTTGAATTGTATCGGCGACTTTGGACTTGATCCATCTAAAGATGTGGTTCCTTTTTTATTTCAAGTTCACTTTGCACAAAACAAACTCATTCGTATTCTATATGCCTGGACTGAGATTGCATTCCAGTAGCAACATTGTACTAAGATAGGGTGCATGTGCGTTTACTAATACATAGATATAGATGATAATAGAACAAAACCTTGGTAGAAACAAGAGTTGAACAATCTATAGATGTATATTTTCGGTAAAAATTCAAACATAAAAACACAAAGGCTTCATAATTGCCCTGGATCGATCGTATTCATCCGACCAACCTGTTCACTTTAAATTAAAGTCAAGTATATTCTGTGCACTTGTTCCGATTCGTTGTGTCTCACAATTAGCTTCTATATTTGGATATAAATAAATATAACAAAAAATATATAAGTATTCAAATGAGTACAAATCCAAAGTAGCCCAACTGAAATATATTATTATTAATATATACATGGGTATGGATTATATCTATGTAGCTTTCAAAGGATGGTAAAGAAGTATATTATACTACAAGTATAGTGATCTTCATATTTACACCGGTTGCTTCCTTTATGGTATCTAATCAAAATAAACTAAACAAATAGTTTCTTGATATATATATATATGTGTGTGTGTGTGTGTATGTGGGTTGACCAATAGAGCTTTAGTGTGTGAATTCCATTCATTGTTCCCTATTCGATTCGCTGATTGGAGAGGGGGAAAAAAGGGAAAAAAAGTGCTGATATATTTATAGCGATAACCATAACAGCCTCTATTATATCTACATCTATTATATCTACAGGTGACCAATAGATAACTCTACTGTCAATTCACATTGGAATAAATCCAATGGCTCTTCCTATCTATCTATAACACACACATGTGTATATATCTATATATACATGAACATACTTTGACCAGGTCTCAAAGTGCACAAAAACATCTGTAACAAATTTTATATTCTCTAAGATTTTGTCCATGGTGGTGTTGGACCTCGCATGGAACTATTGAACGGAGAATTGTGTCGTGTATTGGCAGTAGGTGGTTGGCTAGATGTCAGTGTTCGTACCAGGGATATATCTGTAGAATATACGGATGATGCAGCAGAAGAAGAAGAACAGAAACCATGATTTTTGGAAAGCATATGGTTAGAAGCTGGCAGAACCCCTTCTGATACTAGTGAAAGAGAGCATATTCGGCCAGTTTTCTGCGATGGTACTGGACAGGTATATTCATTAGAACCGATGTGACGAGGCTGTATTCGTGGCGGAGGTGCTGATAACCCAGTTGAATATTCTACATTTCTGTAGTCGATTTCGTGATCCCCGGGTTTTGTTAATTGTACACACACTGGTGGACTTGGTACTTCAGTTCCAGGTTGATAGGCGTCCGAGCCGGTGCTTTCAATGCCAAATCTCTTTTTACAGCCAAAGCGCCAAATAAGAATACCCAGGCAAATAACCAAGGCAATTGCAATACCAACCAAGGTCCATTGCCAAGGTAACAGTGAATTATAAGCTCCCATTGACAGACAGATTGTTGTGAACGTGGTAAGAGTTTGAAACAATAAGAGGTAGGAAAAAAAAAGGACAAAGAAGGTTTAAAGAAAAAAAAAACTCTAGAACCTGTTTTTATGGCATGACCACCAATAGACTGTCATTGTTTCTTTTCCTACTGTTTCATTATCAGGTGCCCTTCTTTTTTTTTATTCCCCCAAAATCTCTAGTTACTTTTGTATTTTTTTTTGGTTTTTGTTTTTAAAAGGTAAAAATATAGCTTGTATTAGGCATTTAATAATGATGGATGACATGAATTACAGTTAACAGATGAAGACGTGTGTGGGAGACGGAAGTGGGAGAAATGGGTGTACTACGTTACAATCTTTGGTCCATTTAAAGAAATCAAGTTAAATGAAACCAACAACTAAAAACAACAAAAAAAAAGTAAAATAGCTAGACCAAATACTGTTTTTTTTTTGCTGTTATTGCTGTTGATGATAATGGTGATGGCATTGGTGTTGATGGCATTGGTATTGGTATCGGTATCGGTGTTATTGTTGTTGTTGTTGTTGTTGTTGTTTTTAGGTAAAGAAAAATAGGAAGTAGAAGGAAAGCGAAGAAAGATCCAAACTATGAAAGTGGGCATGCAAATCCACCAGAAGCAGGAGTGGCAATTACGGTGGGACGATAGCCAGTCCAATCTAGTCCAGTAATGGAGAGTGTCATCCAGAAATGAAGCTGGAGAGATTCTCGGTGCTGTTGTATTGACACTGGAATTATGGTTTGAGATGGTGTTAGGGTATTATTGGCATCGTTTTCTGATGAAGTTACGGACTGTGAGAAGCAGGCATTGACCAGATTAACAAAGGTGGTATCAGAAGCGTCGCGCGCTTGGTAATTCAGGTGAACAGGCACCTGTATCATCGATATTCTTCTTTCTGGAAGGATTATTGGTTCCGGGGTTGCATCGTTATTGTGTACACCCTTGCCAATCACAAGTCCGGTCAAGGAGTCCTTGGCAACTACCTGAAGCCGGGTAAGCCGTGTTGGCAGATAATTGTGTCGGTTGTCGACTGTAATATTCACAAGCCATTCGCTCTCAAAGGCTACATTGCCAACCCGGTCGTTTTGACGAGTCTGGGTAATCTTGGCTGAAAGAGTGGCCGACGCACCCTCAATGCGCATGAGAGGGATGCGTGGCCATATAAATGACACAACAAGTCCAGCTACCAGCAGACCCAAAAACACACAAATAACCCATGCTCTGTGTCGACAGTGCCCACGACCAGCGGCAGCTCGAGATTCTTTAGCATCATAAGGGTTAGATCTATAACCTCTTCTCCAGCCAAAGAAACAGCAGCCAAGCCAAATTCCATGGGTATAATCGGCTTCTAATGGCTCTTGAATGTGTTTACGTTTAGGTGGCGGAGGCCCTCTCTCGACAGCAAATAGATCAATATCGTCATACCGCAACTCACTATTCGAATAATGTTTTTCATATGTTGGCTGGGTTACTGAATAGAAGCGATGTGATTCTGACCGAGAGTCGTTTTCTTTTCCCACATCTCGTTCATCACCTCCGGATAATTGTTGTCGCTTGTATTTCTCGGCTCTACCATCAAGTGTCACTTCACTTCCCCATACTCGATGGCTGTGTCTATGATCTATAGTTGAAAGTTTAACTGTACTTGTAGGCGAAGTATTGAGGTTGAGATGGAAGCGTGGATCTGATAGAGTGCTAGAGCGTCGTGAAGTAACGGGTGCCACAGTGCTTTCATGTTGATAGATCGACCCAACTATAATAATTTATAAATAATAATAATAATAATAATAATAGTAATAGTAATAGTAATAGTAATAATAAAAAATTATAAGAATGCTTAATCAAGTACAAAAAAGTTACTTTACAAAAACAACAACAACAGAGTGTATTTATCAAATAATCGCACATAAAAACACACACACAGATAGATAAAGAGAGAGAGAGAGGGAAAATAACACATACGTGGTGTCGCATCTCGTTCAATACTGCTAGACTGTGAAGCCTCTTGAAAAAGGGGGATCCCTGGTCTGTGTTCCCCACCTTCAGAATCAACCTTTTTGATCGACATAAAGGCACTAGCGATTGTCAATCTTCGTGGATCGGGGGAGGATAAAAGTGATCCACGGAAAGATGTGTTGCCTGATAGACAGCTCATGTAAGTGTCTGTGTCGTGAGAGTGTCGAGATAGAACGGTTGCCATAGGAACGGCTGGTCGACCCTCTTCTTTGGTGCTGTAAGTGTTGGTGTGTGGTCGTTCATATGACTGAGAAGAGTTGACGCGAGTGGGGATGATCACCTTTGGCAAAGAGGCCGTCGACTTGTCTGCAGAAGGAGACATAAAGCGCTCAGCAATTGATAGCCGTGGAACATTGGATAGAGATCCGACTGGTGCAGATAATCTACGTTGGTCTGAAGACCGGGTAGCGACGCGGGCTGGAAAGGTTGGCAGGTGAGTTTTAGAGAATGCCGGGCTGGTCTGAGAGTCTTCTAATTCTTCTTCCTCTGTCATGGTCATCAACGTACTTTGTCGCTCAGACAGGCGACGATGGTGAGATGAACGCCGTTTGCTGTGCGATCGATCCGGTCGAGCATTGCCTGATCCTGCTGAGGATCGACTGGAAGAAGGTCGACGTGGTCGTGATTGTTTAGCCACCATTTGTGTGCTAAAAAATCTGACAGGAAAACAGGGAGAAAGCGGGAGAAAGAAGAGCGAGGTGGCAAATGAGACAAACTTGTGAGAAAGAAGAAGCACAAGAGGATTGGAAAGGGGTGAAGATGGAAAGAACAAAGATGCATTTATTAAGGGTGACCTCCTTCTTAAAAACAGAGTAAGAAAAAAAAAAGATAAAAATAAAGGGTTATTGAGATCATAACTAAAGCCCTTTTCTAATGACTTCTTTACAAGCCAAACGGCTGCAACACTTGTAAACCCCTTTCCTCTATCTTCCTTTTAAGTATCTCTGTGGTTTTTGCTAGTTTATTTATTTCTTGTAGTTTGAACGGTCAAACACGTAATATTACTCGTTTTCTAGCGTCAAGAGGTAACCAATTTCGACTATCATTTCTTGTTTTTTTTTATTTATTTTTTTGCAAGATAATCGAAACAAGGAGACAATTGTATTGCCATGTCCTTAATTCTTTTTTGGATGTACTACCCTTACACTTACTGTGGTGGCAAAGGGGGTAGAGGGGAGAGAGAGAGAGAGAGAGAGAGATAGATAGATTATAGATAGAGAGGGGTATATATATATGTATGTATGTATGTATGTATGATAGATTCTGGGGGGGAGGAGAGGAGAGGAAGAGAGGGGTCGGTAAGCAAAACCGGTGATACATTTACTTCTTGTTTAATAAGATAAATAAAATGATAACCGACAGTAAAATCGAATATTTTATTATAGAAAAGAGGATCTATTGTTCAATTGTTCTTTTAAATTCAAAAAAATAAAGGTTTTTTATATGAGGACAGTAAAGAAGTAAGGTAGATAAAGAGACTGAACTCTAAAAAGCCAAGTTCTTTCTTGTTTCCATTTTGGATATCTTAAGATTTAGAATTCTACACACAACGAGAGGAATCGGAAAACTCACTTTCACATATTTCTGGGTCTCATTTCTTACCTCTTTAAAAGGTCCTACAAATGTAGTCACATACAAATTCTTGCCTGAGTTAAGCGGAACTTGAAAAATCAAGAAAAAAAATCAGAATCATTAAACTGGTCATGATAGGCTTGATACTTTCCTTTTTAGCTCTCTACTTTTAATTTTTTTATTTTATTTTATTTTATTTTATTTTATTTTTATTATTCTATCTTACTTTATTTTACTTGTTATATTATAGCAACAGCATGGGGTGAGGATGGGCTTCCACAAGAACTCGACTTGCAGAAAAAGAAAACTCACTGAAAACAAGAAACAAAAGAACTCTGCCTCAAAATACGACTTTGTCAAGGTGCGTGTACACCTTTCCGAACAACATTACTATGTCCTTTCAAGATTCCTACTCTGTCGCATGCTCATGGCAGCAAGAATTAAATACGGACATGCCCTCAGAATCGCACTCGATCTAAAGAAAAGACTAGTTGATAAAGCTCAGCTCAACGTTACCCAGAAAGCTCTACAAAGCGAATTATTCGATTTATTCCAACAGCACGGCTATGGCTCTGAACACGTTCAATGGTATAGAACAATGGCAAGGTATACAGACATTTATCCTCTTATTGTTATTATTAGTAATCAAAAAAGACTAATACAATATATATATATATTCTAGCTTCCACCATCAACGTATACCGCTTGTAATTTTGCTGGCGGGTACAAGCTCTACAGGAAAATCAAGCATTGCAACTTATTTGTCCGAACGATTGAACCTGTCTTCAGTACTAAAGACAGATGTTGTCTATGATTTGATGCATACCATTATGGAGTGAGTGACACATTCTGAAAAACTGCCCAACATGTCCTCTTCTCCTGAGACCTCTATCCTTCTCCTACCTCTGTCTCTTTTTCCTTTTTTTTCTCTCTTTCAATGTGCATATACATATGTATTTTTTTTCTGTACTGTAGTGGTACGACTCCTTCTTCTCTGTGGACTCAAGACACAGAAGATGCCATGGATCTGTTAGAAAATGAGTGTACATTGATTTGTCGAGGTAAGGAAACAGAGATTATTTGTATTACGTTTCATTTCCTAAAAAAAAAGTCCTGTGTGTGTATGCTTCTATATATAGGTTTAAATTCTGACGTTTGCAAATCTGTCACAGATGGAAAGTCTATCATAATCGAAGGCGACTTGGTGAATCACAAGCTGCTCGACCAGATGCACCAATTTGTAGACCAAAGCCAGACGGTTATAATTGCACCCTTCTTACTAACAATATCTGAATCAAGCCTACACCGTCAGTTAGTAGATGAGACTTGTACACTCCCAAATGAGTGTGTGGATAATGCATTTAAGCGTATTGAGGAATGGCAAGCTTCTTTGTTGAAAACCAACAAGGAGAGACAGGCAAATCTTACAGACCACTTACCTTCATTTAACGTCATCCAAGTGAATATGGAACATCTGCAACGGTCAATTGATGTCATTCAGGGTATTGTTCTTGAACGCATTGCCGCTACAATGAAAAATCTACCGTCCAAATCAACTGAATAAATAATAATGGAATTTGATTTGATCTGTTTTATTGACTTAAATGGCGATTTATTGTATGTGTTATATAAATAAATGAACAAAGTAAGCGTTAAGATAAAATGTTTAGCATTTTTTTATAAAGAAAAGAAAAAATTATAAATCAGGTATTATAAATGTAAGCTGAATTGTCTTCTTCATCGCGTAACAGAAATTCCCTAAAATAAAGACAATGCATTGATAAAAGTTATTGTTGATTGTCGTCGTTTTGTAAGAAATAGTAAAAAATAAAATAAAATAAAAAGGCTTACTTTTCAATAAGGGATTCGATACGCTTCTTGATGTCAGAGGCCTAACAGATAGAGTATTAACACACGTTCTTATTTTCTTAAGACGCATAACTTGTAGATGCCTTACATTGATTGGGAATCTAAGAGTCGCAAACAATTCATTTACTAAGGCGCCATGAGAAAGCTTATTTTTGGCTTTCATGATTCGAACAATAGCAGCATCGATCTTAAACACATACATACAGATAAACAAAAAGAAAGGGATATGTGAGTTAAACATGTAATGCACGATTTAATATTCTGGTTTTTCATTGGTGTTCTTACCTGGCATTGTCGATTAAACAATACACTATTCTCCGTATCTTTGTTCTCTTCTGCTGATGTATCACTGATTATCGGACTGATCTTAACACGAGGACGGGCAGCGGAAAAGTCTGCATTGTATGCAAATACATCTGTGTCCTTGACTTCTGTTCCAGGAGGTGTTTTTGTTAACACTTGGGATTGGCCACACGCCAAGGATTGCAGAACTCGTCGAAGTTCCTTTTCATCTGTTTTTAAATTATAAATATAAATATAATCAGTCATTGTTCAATCAAAAGAGTACAAAAAGAAACAAACAAATTACCTATGCCTGTAGCAGTTGCTATTTCTGGGAAACTAATAGTTTCTTTTGTTTCGTCGTTGAATAGAAACAAGACGATCGATTGGAATAAGCTGGTCGAGAGTTCTTTTACGCCTCGAGGGAATCTGACCCGAAGTATACATTGACCCAAGGCATTGTGCCAAGTGAGCTTTTTACCCTTGAATTTTGAAACATAGAATTGCTTAAATACTTCCTGGGACTCGGCCAACTAAACGTATGTACATGTATATAGAACAATGAGTAATCTAGAAAATAATGGTTAAAATGGTTGTTAGGTTACTTTGGGTGGTAAAATAGCTTCATGCTTCGGTGTGTTTGGCCAAGCACTGGATGTTAAAATGATAACGTTCATCGTTTTGTCGTATACATCAGTATTAATTGTGGCTTCCTGTACACCAAAACAATATACGATTAATATGTATGTAACTATGTATGTATGTATGTATGTGGTGGATAGATTGTTCTATTTGCCTTACCCTGAATTTTGCTTGGAGTTCAGATGAAATAGACATGTCTTTAAACATAATTTCTAAATCCTTTGTAAAATCCGGGCCACACTCTATTTAATGCAAGCCAATGCATTAGACACGAGGTTTGTTTTGTAGTTATTTAGGCATACCTGATTTGAGTTTTGTTATCATACTCATTTCTGCTTCTTCAGATACATCAAAGGTCGACAAAAGCCTTCGAGCAAAGAATCTTCTGTAGAAAGCCTCAAAGATGTCTTTACCTTTGAGAAAGAAGATATAGAGAAAACGAAAGGTTAATTTACATTAAACTATCCATATTAGGGGAGAATGGTTGTAGAACTTACTTTGGGTAAACCTAAATATGGCAAGGGCGTCGTCCAGTACTTTCTCCATGTCAACCTCTGCTTTTTTCTAAGAACATAGTAATATCTTTTTTTTTAGTACATGGTAGCTACAATGCCAATCTAGACATCTTTGTTTCTCTTTATTTTTACCTTTTCACTCATCCTCAGCTTTGAATCAATGTATTTGGCTATCAATTCTGCAGGTTTGTTGTTTCTAGAATTAATGAATGTTTCAAAGCTCTCCTTGACTGTATTTGCGAATAAAATATTATTATCAAAGCATTTTTCCATAATCGTGTCAGCTCTTTGTTTTCGGTCCAGCAATGTGACAATCATGGCGTTGTCGTTTGATGGGTCTTTGATGAATTCTATGCCTCGTTTCTACAAAATTTGAATTATTGAATCAATGGTTACTATTGTCTTTCGATATTTTTTTTAAAAAATAATAATAATAATATTGTGAATAAGCTTCACAGCATACAATTCTTTACCCACCTTTATGTAACTACCAAATACCTGGCGTAACTCTGTCCGGTCCTTTTCTGGAGACAATAAATCATACAATGTCTTGAGGGACTCTAGCTTCATTTCATCTGCCATAGAATCAAAGCCTAATAAAAATAATAATAATTAGTATCAGGTATTTCTTTTTCTCTCTCTTGTAAATGTATCCCCATTTAAGTACTATTTATGTGTATATATTGTACCTTTGGAAAGAATATCGTTGGTCATTCGGTAAACCAGCTCATTCTTTACTGTCTGTACCAATCTGATTTCGGTGGATTTATCCAAATAAGCTTGTTTACGATCCTCGCCTTCTTCTTTGACGCGCCTTGTGACATGAACAAGATAATTTGGAATGTCGATTTTTTGGATTAGACTACGACCCTCTTGCTCATAATACCGTGCCGTCTCTTCAATAAATCGAGGTTCGAATATGGTGGAGTACAAAGATAGGGTCATCAACATTTGTAGCAAAGATTTGATCAACGGCTGGTCTACAGTGCCACCATCTCTGGATGGCAACACAGAATTGATTTAGATGAATTTTTTGGGTTTGCTACTCTGTGCATTATATATATATATATCAGAGAGAAGAAAGAGAGATAAAATATTATGTGTACCTTTCAACTTTTACATAGTAGAGAATATTGGCAACTAGTCGTTCTTTTATAGCGTCATTCTTTACCAAGTTGTCTTTGAATAGACTATATCCAAGATCACTAATAAAGCAATGTTAGAAGCTTATTTAGCTTATTTCGGGTGGGTTGACATACATGATAGAATCGTATTCTGTTGACTGAACTATATAACTTCTATCCATCGGCATGAATAATTTTTTTAATTGATGCTGCCAGAGAGTTTTTATAATGTCAGACTTCTTCCTTAAATGTATGTGTATCCACGATTCTCTGTAAGCAACTACTTGCTTACCAGATCAAATGACAATTGATTCCAGCACTTGTTCGTGTATTGAAGAAAGTTATCATACGAACTAGCCATTCTGAAGGAAGTAAGGTGGGTTTATGTAAGTATGGTTGGCTTGAGCTCATCCTAAACATACATACTCTCCCAAATTTTTGGCCAATCCATCAATATGACGGGAAAGTACATTCTTTACGCGCGAATATATAACTGCACTTCTTCCATCTCGACAGAGAATCTCACATTTCTAAATGAGAAGATCAGTGCTGATACTTTGTCTGGTTTCTCAATCTCAATATACGAATATTTCTCGCTATGTGTATGTGTCTGTGTATGTATGTGTGTAATTGACGCTTACTATGTAGGCATCATTCATGCCACTACTGATTGTTTTCCCAGACAAGATAGATTTAATAAGAGCCTCATGGGTATTCCAGGCATCTTTCAAGTATTCCTCTCCTGTAGTAACAGAAGCTACAATATATATACATGAGTTTATATATATATATATATATGTTTACGTATGTATGTATATATATATATTTATGACTTTAAAGACTCTTTTCTTCTTGTCTCACACACTACATGCTCATATATGTGTGTGTATACATATATGTAGCTATAAATGCCCATCTATGATCTTTTTTTTTGTGAGAAAAATTGACTCACGTTTAGAATCCCACAAGAGTTTAGCATTTGTGTGAACAGGAGACATGAATTTGCTTCGAGCTTGTTTGCCAGGTGTTTCAGATTCTTTTATTGGTTTACTATTGAGAACCAGAGGTGTACTGTCGATTACCATGGATTCGGTGGTGTCGTTTTTATCGATTGAATGTACTTTGTTCTGAAAATTGAATTGATTCAGGGTTGGCTGCAATGAAGATAGCGATGCCTTTCGCTTCCTGGTTGTGTCTTTATGTGGACGAATGAACTTTCGTGTGACATTCGATAGTAAGTCAAAGACGAACCTTTACCTTTGCTCATTGTATTCATTACTCAAAAAGAAAAATATTAAAAAAAAATTAAGAATAAGAATAAGAATAAGGCAAGTACATTAAACACAGCCCCAATGTATTAATATTATATATTATATTATAATATTATGTTATGTTATGTTATGTTATATTATATTATTATGTTATATAATACAAAATAATACAATATAAAATAAAATAAAATAATTTATAATATAGTATATATAAGCTATATATATATATATATATGTGTGTGTGTGTTAGAAAAAAAAAAGGACACGCAACTGAAAGGATAATCAAGAAATAATTGGAAATGATGTGTGGGCTTTTTTCTTTTTTTTCTTTTGGGCTAAGCAGTCCGATCGCTCGTCCGAGTCGGACTCTGTGTCTCATGAAAGATACCTAAATTTAGAACAAACTCTTTAATTTGAGTGAATCAAAAAGGCACAGCTCTTATTTATTTATTTTTCTTGTTAGTGCTAATTATTTACTTTCTCCTCCACTGAAAGAGAAAAAGCAAAACGCATGCAGATCAAGATGAAGTTCATTTCCACAGCAGTATCCCTTTTATTCTCGGCAATTCTTGTCGCCGCCCAACAAAGTACTACTACTACTACCACAGCCACTACAGACACAGCCGCAGACACCACCTCCAACACTACACCTCTTACCACAAAATACGGAGAGACCTTTAAGAATGCTGGTGGAAAGATGCTCATTGACAAAGTTAATGGTAAACCAAACACCCCGATTTTTGTCCCTTTTGTTGTTTTCTTTGTCTTTTTGTTTTGTTTGTTTTTTATCTCTTTATTTCAAACCAAATCTTAATATCTCTTGAGCCAGTTTACCTAATCTTTTATGGTGACTGGTCTTCTCCTGAATCACAGACTGACCAAAGTGTATTTATGAACTTTGTGGACCGCGTATCAAGCACCTCTTGGTTCAACACATGTAAAGTATCTTTTTTTATTACTATTTAATATTTTAAGATATAATTTATTTTACATATATAGAAATAACAATTACATATAAAAATACATTTGTACGAGTGTTCTCTTTTTCATCTTCATAATTCATAAGCCATACTTCATCATTCGTTTTCGTGAAATAATGAATGAATAAATTAATGAATTAATGAAAACAAACTCTTAAAAACTGACTTATATCTATGTATATACATAATATTAACAATTGGATTTATCTGTCTTTTAGTAAAACAATACCCTAACGCCGATGGAAAGACTATCAGTGGTCCCATTAGTCTTGCTGCAGCTGTCACAGATTCAGGAAGTCATGGTCTCAACCTGACGGACACAAATACCCATAAACAAATTGTCACAGATGCTGTTCACTCGGGATACCTTGATGCCACCAACCAATTAGACAATGATGGCTTCTACATAATTTTGGCTGCCAAGAATGTACAGGACTCCGAATTTTGCAACACTCATTGTGGTTACAATGGCTACAGTGATGAGTTCCAATATATGTATATTGGCTACCCAGGCTCGTGCACAGACAGGTAAGAAAATTAATAATAATAATAATTATAATTATAACAACAAAAAAGAAGAAGAAGAAGAAGAAAGGGAAAGGAAAAGGAAAACAAAGCTGTAATTGGATGAAATATGTATAATTATTATTTTTTTCCTTAACATCGCACAAACAATGTAGTTGTGTTCCAAGCCTCAACCAGGCAGATTCACCCAACAACAGTACCTCAATCGATGCAGCTATCACCATATTCTCTCATGAAGTCCAGGATATATTGACAGATCCTAGAGACGATGCATGGATCATAAAGGACGGCGAAACTAAAGTCGAGGTTGGAGATTTCTGCTCTGGTCAGGGTGTCACGGAATCCCAATGGTTCGGAAGCATTAATCAGCTTGAAGGAAAGAATGCAAGCTACAACCTTGCCATCGATGACAAAAAGTACCTTGTTCAGACCATTTACAATCCAAAGTCCAAGACATGTGTACTATCTTCCGAGTAATAAAAAAAAGCAAGAGTTACTATGATTACTATTAGCAATAGTAGCTAGTAGTAGTAGTAATACATCAACAGACAACGCCTTTTTTTTCCCCTGCCTTTTAAATTTCATTTTTATCACCATCCCTTTCTCTCTCGAATCATTAAATTTTTCTTCATTTTTATATATCTCTTTGGTAAAAGTTAAATTGTACATGATTAAATGGAAAGTACAAACTAATTTCAGATCGAGTTTAGACCTAAGACCAAGCTTCTTACAATTATTGCTCATTATATCACTTCCTGTACATGTCATATGCTTAAAGGAGAATAGAGCTTAGATAGATATATAATTTTGTTTTTTATGAAGATTTTAGCTAAAGAAACAGAAAAACACTATGGGGATACATTCTTATATCACGATTCTAAAACATAAAATGCCAATTTTTTGAAACTGATTGCTTGCTTATTTATTTGTGGATTTTTCTCCATGGCTTTAAATTTCTACCATGCCGTTCTTCCCACAGCTATAAAAAAATGCCACTTTTGATATAAATATATATATACATATGTATGAGAGTGTAAACTAAACAATCAAAGCGTTCTGCTTTGAAACTTCTTTTGGAAGCCTCTTTGGACACTTTCTTGCCTTTACTTTCAAGCTAAAGAAACAGATGCGATCTTTCATCAGATACTGCCTCTAGTTCTGTCAGTAGACGTTTTCCGCGAGGCATATTTTTATTTCTTTTTTTTATAGATATAGTTATTAAGTGATTTACTTTGCTTTATACCTTTCTTGGGCTGGGAGACTTTGCCCTATCACAAGCTATATGTGACTCTTCTCTGCTAGTAAGAATATACAGCACACAACTATCAACTAGTATATAGTTTTATATTCCATTTTATTTTATTAGGATATAAATCAAAAGTAGAAATAATGATGAATCAAAGACCATCTGGACAGTTACTTAATACTTCTTTAGTTTCATTAAGCCACTCCTTTAAATAAATAAATAAACAAAATTCAGATACTGAATTTCGGAAAGTTGAAACAAAAAAAAACATAAACAACTTTATCTTGAGCTTTGTCAAGATAGCTTCAAGAAGCCGCTGTCAGACTGTACCATCTTCCTTTGAAACGGACTTTCTTGTGTAGCATAATATTGTCCATTTTTCGGCGTCAACGCAAGAGAATGCTTCATACGAGCTGATGTTTTCAACGCTGTCCACAGCAGTTGCTGAGATGAAATGAAATGAAATAAAATAAAGAAACTTCAACACCATATTTGATTGACCTATTGAGTTTTTTGATTTTGATTTTGAGAGAGAATTATCAAGCTTCATGATACATACCTTTGTACAGCGGTTGAGAAATATGGGCTCTTACATCTGGAATGGATATCACTTGCTTATCGACTATTAAGATGTCCCAAACTTTCATCATTTCTTGACCCACTTGGCAAGCTTCTTGTGGGTACATGCGTCGGCAAATTCTTGGATATTATCTCTTAAGATATTCCACATATCTTCATTTGTGAGAAAGACCGTTTCATACTTTTCATGATCGTCAGGGTCTTTTTGGTAATACAAGAGTTTCTATTACACCCAGGGTATAATCCTTTGCTATATCAGCTAAAAGAAGAAAATAAAGTGTATGATTAGTTATTAATGAAAACTTCTTTTTTTTTTCTTAAAAAAAAAGTGTATTGCTACCTCTTCTTTCTAGGAAGCACAAGCAGTATGTGGAGTGTAATAGTACCGGTTTAGGTATCAAGACTTGAAAGTATATAAAGAAGGGTCTGTTGAACTTGAGAAAGCTAATGTGTATTGAAGGAATGTTACTGATACTTATGCAGATATTCTGTGGTCAATATAACTGAACAGATCGACATGAAAGTAAGATACACATATTGATCACTATAGCTAACGCCAATTTGCATTACTTCATGCATATGTTGTCAATTTGAACCACCGTCACGACAATAGGAATAACCCGAAATAGTTAAATAGCTCTTTACTTGCTCTTTGATAAAGCTAGGAGCTTTGCTTTTCTATTCCCTCGGGTGGGAATACTTTGCCCTGCGACAAGTTATACGGAACACTTCTTTTTTTTTGGTAAGATTATACAACACACAACTATTGACTAGTATATACCTTTATATTTCATTTTATTTGGATATAAGAAAGATAAAAAGAAATATAAAGAAGTGTAAAGAAATAGAAATAGAAATAGATATAGAAAGAAACAAAAAAAATTAAACACTATTGACATAGTTATGCAATGCCTCTTTAGTTTCATTTAGCCACTCTTTAAGTGGCATTAACGAAGGGTGGTTTCTGATTGGTCCTTCGATGGCCGACATAAAGTTAATGTTTCCAATGCGTGAAAGGAAATCATGGCCAAGTGGCAATTGGAGGATCTTCTCTTGGATCTGATCCTTCTTTTTCTTGGCGCTCGTGGCGTTGTGGGACACGGCCTGAGCGTGCGTATGGCGTATATTTGAGTCCCAAGCAACGTCTTCTTTGATGAGCGCTGTCAAGAAATCGATGTGCTTGAACAACGCAGGGTTTGTGAAGAGGTTCTGGTGAACCGTCTTGAGGATCGTGTCAAACCTCTGGTTGAACGCTGGGACACTGAGGACCTGCTTAAGGATTGGACGGTTATGATGCTTGTTCATGAGGTCAAAGCGATCGATATGTCCCCTCTGGTCATTCAGGGAAATTGACCTGGCGTCACGGACTGGGATCATGGAGCTTCCCATAGTCTGGTCCAGGTCTGCCGTCATCCACAAGAACTTCTTGGTACCCGGCTCACGGTATAGGAAATAGTTGTGTGCCTGTCCCAAATACCCATCCACGTGGCCCATAAGGACTTCAAATGCCATACTACATAATAAAAATAATATATAATAAATAAGCGAGGCAATAATTAATAAGTAAAGGATAAGGATATTTGCATTTCTTTCATTCTTTCAAAGAAATAAAGAAATATATGTATGTGTTAATTACTTTTTCAAAAAGACATCAATGTCAATTCGTTTGTTCCAAGCACGTTCAAGAGGAGTTTCGCCTTGATTGAGGACGCCTTCCTTTTCATCTTCATCTGGTTGAGGATCATGGATAAACTTGATAAGCTTGACCAAGGGCTCGAAACCTTTTTGTTTCTTGGAACCATCTTCTGATAGTTTGTAGGCTGAGGTGTCTTTGTAGAAGTAATCTTCGATGTTAGATCCAGCGTATTCAAGATTGGCACCGCGACCAAGAATTCCGGGAGCCATTGGATTCTCTGGCATGCTGCCTTGGTAAAGGATTCCGTGCTTTTCGTTGTTACCGCCATTAAGCAAATTATCGACAAATGGGCTCTTGTAGTTGTCGATAAACAGATAGAGGCCCATTGGTTTCTTGTTTACAAACAATCTACAGAAATAAATAAAATGAAAATATTATTATTAATAATTAATTCATTTATTGAATTTTTTTATTTTCTTTCTTTCGTTTCTTTCTTACCTAACATAAGATGCTTTGGAGGCTGGCAAGGAAGACGAATCAAGTATATCGTAGTACAGTTTTTCTCGGATAAAAGAAGGATCCGTTGTGCATGAACGCAATTTGAAACGACGATAGCCACCAAGTGAAGAATCGTCGTGTTTGGAAAAGTGGAAGTTGTAGGAAAATTTATCGAAAAGACGCGAGGTCTGACCGCCCAATTGGAATTTGACATTTGAAAACTGGAGTACATTCGCTGCACTGTATTGATTGTTTTAAAAAAGAAAGTGAGGGCAATTAAGAGTCAATTAATATGTATGCATATTGATCTAATAATACAATATACTTGCCTGATGTGCGACATGTTGACGTTAATCGCAATAGGATCAAGATAGTTGTCGTGAAGCGATTCGAGATCACCATGAGGAGCTTGAACATGAATAGTAGGAATTTCATTGATTGGGTGAGCAATTGAGGTGTCTAGTCTGTAGTAGGTCTTTCCATCGGGGAATACTGATGGAATCATGCTTTGTTGACTAGAAAATGTCTGTTGACGGCCATAGAAATCGTTATTAGAAACGGCGTTTGGTGCCCGCTGGAAGGATTCGCGGTCAACCACGGTGCCGTTGTTGTGGATCTTGAGGTATCGATACTTTTTTTGAGTTGGAGCGCTTCCAACATGCAAAATGCTGTCGATAGTAGAGGGTGGGATTGAATAAACCTGACGATCCCCCTCAATCTGGACGGCCATTCGGATATTGGCATCGGTCGAAAGAGGTTCGATTACCTTGTAGACACCCAAGGTTGAGGGAGGATTGGTCGAGGCAGCGGATGCCATAAAAAAGGCAGCATAAAGGAGCAGACAGGAAGCTAAGATTGTAATTATTATCATACAATCAATTGAAGTCAGAACCATGATGATTGAATGAAATATCGAGTCAATTAAAGTATAATAAATAGAAAGCTTACCTTTGACTGAGAAGATCATGTTCGTTAAATTAATGAGGTTTGGGTGGTTTATACTCGAGAGAAAAATAAAATAAAATAGAGTATGAGATAAAGATGGAGAAAACGAAAAAGTCGATCGAAACGCTCTAATTTATAGATCGTAATTTGGTCGACTATCGGGGTGCCCGAGGTTTCACTTTCCTTGTAGTTTGTTGATATTTACTCATCGTTTTTTTTTTTTTTTTTTTTAATGTACAGATATCATTCAATTACTGGCCAATACCCCTCCTTGGTAAGTATAAATGAGTAATAATAATAATAATAATAAAATTTCCTAATCACGATGCTGTCTGGTTAAAGCCACGATAGGTTATTTTATACACTGGGGCTATTATTAACAGTATGATCAACAAACACAGAATATCAAACATCTTTTGACACACCCGACAAGATGAGTAAATTCACAAAGCATAATAATAATAATAATATCCAATTCAATCCAATTATCATTATTATTTTCATAATAAAGTAGTAATGGCTGTTGGTTTAAAAAAGTATATGTATATGAATACATTCATTCATTTTTTTTTCTTTTAATATTTACAAGGTGGTCCGATAGAGACCATCTATGCTTCCCCCTTTTCAAATCAAAAGATGTTACATATTGGTGTTCAGAATGATTGCTCTTCTATAGTAATATTAAGATATAGATATAGATATATATATATATATGATAAGAAAAAATAAAATAAAATAAAAGTAAAGAGATCTAAAACATTCGGTAATCATTATTGTTCCATTCACGGTTGTCTGCTAATCGCCTATGGCCATCAATTGAGGAGAATGATGTAATTTCTACTGAGGCTTTGACGTTGCTACTCTTGAATGGTGAACGGGATGAGACTTGTTTTGGACGACTCGTTAATGCAAACGTTGGGGCTGAAACAGTAGAGTTCACTGTGTTGTCTTTTGGGTAGACGAATGGGTTGTACTGGAGTGAATCTTGGTGAACTTTGTCTAATTCTGGAAGATACGGATCGGTAGAAATGGATACCGAATTCTCTGCTCTCTGACAAGTATTGTCATGCTGGCTTGGTTGCGAACCACAATCAGGCTCTGGTTTGTCTGATCGACCCACATTGATAGAGTTACTATTGTGAGATATGTGGAGAGCCTTTACAATTATATAGGTCACAGGTCAATAAATTAGTATGTATATATACATACATATATGAGTCTTAATTACCATGCCACAGTTATTACACATTGATGTATTTGCTGGACTGACAGAATCTGCTCTCAGAGCCTCTACCAGTAGTGTTGATTCGACAATCTCAAAATACACCGTAAAAGACTAGATTTGTTTAGCAAGTGAAAGAGACAGATTATAAAAAGAAATAAAAGAAATAAAAGAAATGTACAAAAACGAAATTTAGGAGGTTTAGTCTTGAGTTCAAGTTAGTCGAGATGACTCTATCTTTTAAAATATACCTACATCAGTTCTATCGCCAAGGAACTCTGTCACTTTAAGCAAATTCATTGCAAAGTTGGCAACAAATGCTAAAATGAGACAGACCAGGGATTTCCTGGCAATATATTCAATCAAACTATTCTGCTGGCTCATTACAGTTCTTGATCTTCTAATATGCTTGTACAATCTTGTATTGTTATTATTTTTTAAAAAAAAGAGAGAATTGCAGAAGATGATTAAATTAAGCAAAAGAAGGTTTTTCTTTTAATACAAAAAATATTTTTATCACCCAAACATACATATAGTAATATCTTACCTTCTAACAAACATTCCACTCAAGAATAGATTGGCAAGCGAGTCCGAGACAAAGTTGAGAATAAGAACACCAGTAACCCTAAATCAATTGTATTAGATTATTGTTGTCTTTCTTTAATTTTTTTTCTGGTAATTAATTACACACCATTCCGTTAGACATGTAACACCTGTTGGGACTTCTTGTGTCATGTTCTTATGTTGGACGTTTAAATAAGAAAGCTCATAAGGCCAATCTGCAAATCGTAATGCGATGAAGAATACTCCCACGCATTTGATCCATTTCGAATGACGCTCTGTTTCAATGATTACTAGACGCATAAACATGACTGTGTAGAAAAGAAGATAATCTGTTTTATCATCATAATCACCATCATCACCATCATTATTAGATTAGTCGATAGCTCATTTGACGATTATTATTAGATATACCAATATGCCATAATCTATGTATCGAGTAAGCAGTTTGATGATTAGCTTAGGCATTTATACATCATATTGATCACCAAAGTGAATCACACAACATACGAGATCAATAGAGGAAAGAATGAGCAGGTAGTTATTTCAAATAGTGGGATAAGGCCAAAGAGGAACCGATGGATAAAAAATACTGATATCTGACCCAAGTTTACAAGATGTCTACAAACATTATTTTTATTTTACTTTTACTTTTAATTTCTTTACAATGCGCACATCTATGTGCATATTCTTTCGATATGTATTTACTGTCTCAAAGTATTTGTGCCTTACATTTTACCTCGAGTACGCCTGTACTGTTTTAGACTGATATGAAAGTTTCTTGCACAAATTACAACTGCAAGCCACATGCCAATCATATTCATACGATCGACAATGCGTTCTGCAAAGGGGGATAGTTCGATCATTGCTGACAGGTAACTGATGCTGTCACACACTTCCCGTAGCGAGTCAAAGACAATATACTATGTACTATATAGATATATATATGTGTGTGTGTGTGCGTGTGTGTGCGTTGGTGCGCTGGTGTATTGGTGCCTTGGTGTGTGGGTGCGTATGTGCGTATGTGCTTGTGGGCGTGGTTAGATGTGTACGCACAAGTAGTTCTTATTTGATAAAGTACAATGTGTATGAATGAATGTGTATGTGTGTGTAATAATGGGACCTGTTTTTTTTTGAAAGAAAGAAGAAGAAGAGTATGATTCTCGGGACAGAGCAAGATATATAAAGATATATAAATATAAATATAAAAGAAGGTTTAGAATACGGCAAAGTTAAAGATGCCAAAGAAGATTAAATATATATGTACATGTAAAATTAGCTGCGGAGGTTTTCCTCGTGTCTGTACATTTATTTTAGATCTTTGGTTATTGTTCTACCACACTTGATTTGTTTGGATCCAGAAATATTTATTTAGGCACAAATATAAGTACGGAACTAGGTCCAGTAAAGGCTATTTCTATTTAATATAAGACATAAGAGTATTCAATCTATTTTTCGATTCTTTAATTAATAATCATCACAACAATAACAATAAGGATCTTTATTTTCTTTTTATTCTTACTTGGGTATCAATGCGTAACTCATCAATTACTAGTCAAGACCGATATTCTATCTATCACAATTGAATTCTGATGAGAAATGGTATGCTTCGTTTTATTAGCAACTAATTATTATAAAAATTTCCCCTGCACAAAAACCGGCAAAAGGTAGACCGGGAAAGGGATCAAGGTTGACAAGACGTAGGGTCTTCTTAAATAGAACATTGGAAGAATATACCGGCCTATAGAAATCGGCGGGACAGTCTGGGTAACGAAGGACTCGCTCTACCCCGCTTTTGGCGGAATAGCGCTGTAAAACCACCGGACCCAAAAATTTAGAAATACAATAATATATATATATATATATACATGATGTGTGTGTGTATTATATGATAGTTTATTTTATTTCTTTTTTATTTATTTACTATTGTAGGTTGTAAGCGATCTTGTCGGTCAGAATGTCATTTTGTCTGCCTGCTGATAAAATTCGGCTTAATTACTGGACTTTCTTCTTAACAACCAAGAACGAAGCAGCAAGGAAAGAAAAAAACAGCCCAACAAATATATATATTTTGTAACAGGTGAACCTTGGTTCAAGGGGGAAAAAACCCACAAAATATAACAAATATGGGACCTGTAGATTGTCATTTTGTGTATTCCAAACAAAAATGGGTAACTTGATCTTACATGGCTATTCTCCTTTCCTTTCCTAATTTATTTTATTTATCTTATGTTTTTTTTATTTATTTATTGCAATGGTTTTCGGATTACTTTTTTTAATACTAGTTCTTTAAAAAGCTATTTTTCATTAATAGCTTGAAGAAGAAGAAGAGGCGGAATATTATGAGGATTAGGATAAGGATGAGAAGGATGAGAAGGAAGGGTGGCAATTGATTGAGAATCCACTAGCAAATACAGTATTTTTACTTGGTTTTCGGACTTTGTCAAAAAAAAAAAAAACTCGGATCAAGTCAATTTTATTTTAGACGAAGTCATTTTCATTTTTAGACATAAGCAGTTTTATTTTCAGACAGAGTCATTTCTGTTTTCAGACATTTTTTTACTTTTTTTGGAAACAATCCTTTTTTAATTCAGACGCCACATAAAACTTCAAAAAAAAAACTAACTTAGAGGTTTCATTTCGCATTCTTGCAAGTGCTGCGATAAATATCGAAACAAAGAGCCCATGTAAGGGCACAAATGACTTAAATCACAATACACAGATAAGAATCAGGTAAAAATATCAGACCAAATATATATAGTTGCAACGATGATGATTTTTTATTAACAAGACAGTACAATGTGAAGTGAAAATACATAGATAGTTTGTTAAGATAATCGTTTTTGAATTGGGGATATTCTTCTATCACGTTTGTAATTTCGCACAATAATCAAGCGAAAGAATGATGGACACAAACGATAAAAGAGTGGTATTCAAGATCTGTAAGTGTGAACAGCACAGTTTTTCGACTTTCCTATACTCCATCTATAACTGAAAAGAAAACGGCGAATTAGTTTGCGTATTAATTGAATCATATACCTGACAAGAGAACGAAGATCACTTCCCACTCCCAGCTGGGACAGCAAATGCTACAGCAATTACTTATCAAGGCTAGGAAATTTCTCCGGCGTAGGGCAGGGTTCATATGTACACTTATCATCATACTTTTCTTGCCAGAATATGAAACTAATTAGGTATGCACTTATCTTTTTGGTGGGCAAAGATGATTGCTGAAATCAATTCAGAAAGAAAAGAAAGAAAAAAAGGACTAATACAGGGCGCAAACCAAAACTAGAGTTCATAATCAGGTTAATGATATCAATTTTTTTTTGGCACAGACCATTTTTGCTGTATGAAGTCGATAGAAAATGAAAAGATATCGCGTTCCTTTGCCTCACTTCCATCACAACATAATGACAGAGAATAATTTTCGAAGTTCTTTTGATAAAAAAATAAAGGATAAACTAGAGAACCCGTTGTCGAGTGAAAATTCTAAATTTTCACTCACTCTTGCTTTACGCGGCGATTGAAATTCCAATGAAAAGATGTAAAATTTTACTGAGGGAGGCCATTTAGTGATGAAATGGAGTGAAAAATTGGGAGTTTTCTAGTTTTTCACTCCATTTCATCACCAAGTTTTTATTAAGAATTGAGCTTGTTTCTTTACCTTCAAACATAAACATAATATAGTCAAGAGTCGTCTCTATATATCTACTTAAGAGAATAAGTCCTGGAAAGCCAAGTTTATTAAGATGTATCTCTCTTATGTTTGTCACAGTACTTATGTTTTCATCAACTGTGGTCGAGTTTTTCTTTTTTTTTTTTGACTGGGTTTCACTAATAATTCTTTTTTAGCAGACTTTGAAAATATCACATCCCAACGGGTTCTCTACTTTATACACTCCCACAAAATAATGTTTGAATCTCCGCGAATGAATTTCTCATGCCAAAAAACACGACCTATATTCAACATACAACTACTTGTCAATGGGTATAGTTAAGAGCTTCAAACTTCGAATACGAGAATATATACATGCTTATCATTGAATTGTCAAAAGAATCGGATGTTTAATAGTGAGTATGGCCACCTTTGGCGTCAATTACTGTCTGGCATCGGGAGGACATACTTCCCACCAATTGTGAAGTAAGTTTGAGGTCTATGTTCTCCCACTCTCGTTAAATTGCAATCTTCAACTCATTGACGTTTTGTATACTGGCTCGTACTTTACTCAATTTGACCTCAAGAGCCCACCAAACATGCTCTATTGGATTTAGATCCAGACTTTGAGCAGACCAGTACTCAAATCCCTTAATTTCGTGGGTCTCTTTCCACCACTTCGCATAGGCCCCAGTATGGCAGCTAGCACCATCTTCTTGGAGCTTGAAGTCCTTCTGATGTTGCTCTGACAGATTTTTAACCCAAGGTACAAATTTCTGAGACAGAGTGTCGACATATACTTCTTGGTTTACATTGCCTTCAAGTAACGCCAGGGGTCCAAAACCACCAGTCCAGAAACAGCTGCAGATCATGACGCTACATTTACCCCACTTCGTTCCTTGGATAATATGATCATCTGAATACCTTTCGTTAACTTTTCTAATCACTCTGGCACCTCCATCGTTACCCTCAACTGTGAATCTAGACTCATCAGACCAAACTATACTACTCCATTGATCATCTGTCCAATTGACATGATCCTTCGCCCATTGCAGTCGTGTCTTCTTGTGTCTTTCTGTCAAAACTGGCTTATGAGCTGCAATATAAGAACCAAAGCCAAGATTCCTGAGGGAGCTGATTAGTATAGCTATGCAGACAAAGATCTCCATCTCTCTCAATGCCAATCTCAGCTGATCATAGTTGGCGAATGGGTCCTTACGAACAATCTGCACACAATGCCTTTATGTCCTCTCGTAAACTATTTTAGGTCGGACAGGGCTCTTTTCAGGCAAGGGTGATCCTGTATTCTGGAATCTCTTACTGATCTTCTTCACAGTTGACAGCTTCATCTGGACTATGGCTGAGATCTTGGTTGGACCGATTTCAGCCAAATGCAAGTACATGATCACCATATTTCAAGCCATCAGCTTTATAATAAGAACTATGCTTGGTTTTTGATGAAGATGAGGTTTCCATTGTGGGTTTGATTAGTAGAATGAAGAGAAAATAAGATTTTAACTTTAAAAAAATATCACTTTTTCTTGCGATTTTTGGGAGAAGTCCAAACATTCTTTTGTCTGAGTGTATGACAAGCTAAACCAGGATATATCATTAGTCACGATGCATAATATAAACCCATGTCTTGCCGAGATGTCCAACGCTGTATTCGATGCGGTATGTCGTTGTCAGCGATAGAGTTAGGAATAAGAATATCTAAATATACTAGTATAATAGGAGTCCAACACTGAAATGGGAAGCTGTATTGAACTACTGAACTTTATTGTGCTCGATGATCCAGTCTTCATTGCAAAAAAAACTGATTGTCGATATTTGTCACACTTTGTAAGTGAAAATAGTAAAGACTTGAAGATATACTCACTTGCAATGCTTTTTTTTATATATAGAAATGACTATATATTTGACAAGTGTGGCCTCGAATTACTTCAAAAGTCTGAATCGTGCTACCAGTCTTATCTATTTGATAAGTGTATGATGGCCACTGCCAAATATTTACGCAATGTCAACCACGACATTACCTTCTTTCCAGGAGAAATTAAACTCAACCCCATGACCACACAACTAAAACAGAAAGGAATGGATGACGGCCGATATAAATATAATGCTGATGGAACGCTCATAGACAATGATTTCTCTGCAATTGAAATATTTTTGACCGAAGTGTCGTCTGGCTATGGCTCAAATGAGACTGGAAAAATACGTTTTGACCATTATAAAGCCGTGTTAGGGATGTTGTCTATGATACGAACAGTGACGCAGTCATACGACAAAGCCTCATTCAACACTTTCACAAAATTGGAGATCCATTTTCTGCATGCCCATGGTAAGTGACTTGCGCAATACTATGTTTAGGTGCATTTGGAGTTATTAACTGTATTCTTACTTTGCATAGGCAATTCCATCAGACATTGGTCAATGTCAACACAGGCACCAGGTATCTATATCATGGCCAAAGAGCAGAGGGTGAAGGTTCCTACCAGTTTCCCTGAAAAAGATATTACAATTCTTCCGTTTATCTGCTTCTTTAAAACACTTGCTGTAAGTTGGATAGCCCAAGGGCATGATTCAAATAGAGAAAGACTGTATTAACCCATAGTATTAAGAATATAGATTGCTTGCGAGGAAACTTTATCAGTGCTGAAGGAACTGAAACAAGAGCATAAAACCATTTTACGATCAAAGAACCAGAGGCCACAAAACTTTCTAGTATCATAAATCCAATGATCATTCGCTTAAATGAAGGAAAGCACACAAGTATTGTAGCATAGCATGGGCCTTTGAGCGTACCCAGCAGCCCAATGCACGATTAATCCATATTCCGTTCAAACATGATTACCCTCTTCAACAAAATGATTAACTTATCTCCCCTCGCCAAAGTAAACTATCCATAATAAATATATATATTGGTAACAACTCGTTGTTATCTAAACAAACTATCTATGTATTTTCACTTCACATTGTACTGCCTTGTTAATAAAAAATCATCATCGTTGTAACTATATATATTTGGTCTGATATTTTTACCTGATTCTTATCTGTGTATTGTGATTTAAGTCATTTGTGCCCTTACATGGGCTCTTTGTTTCGATATTTATCGCAGCACTTGCAAGAATGCGAAATGAAACCTCTAAGTTAGTTTTTTTTGAAGTTTTATGTGGCGTCTGAATTAAAAAAGGATTGTTTCCAAAAAAAGTAAAAAAATGTCTGAAAACAGAAATGACTTCGTCTTAAATAAAAATGATTTGTTCTGGAAATAAAATTGATTATGTCTAAAAATGAAAATGATTTCGTCTAAAATAAAATTGACTTGGTCCGAAAACCAAGTAAAAACACTGTAATAAGTAAACTGTTTGTTGTCCGACTCATTAACAAGGTTTTTCCAACTGTGGGTGTCGTAATTAGGTCTGTTATAACTGGTTTGTCCCACGCGCTTGTTTTTGGGTTTTTGGGTTTTTGTTTTTTGTTTTTTTTTGAACTAGACAAGATTGTTCCTCCCCCCCATTGCTTTTTTGGTGCAGACTTTGGTATTTGATCCTCAACGGACTAAGCTAGGACTAGGAATACCGGGGAGGAAAATTATGGCTTGTCAAGTTTATTTAACGAGGTCAATTATGTTACCAGGTGTATGGAGAAACCCAAGTCAATTACAGGCACATTTTGTATGTTATATACCTATATCATTTTCTTGGTAGAAATGAAAATAAATATTGGCTACCGTAACTCTGGTTCAATTTTACACAAATAACAAATCCTTGTTTAGTCATTTTAGGCGAACCACCCAATATACTTATTAATTTATTAATTTATAGTGATGATAATGATAAAGGTACTTGATACTTGGTACAGGCAGCAGCACACAGATACACACATTAAAATATCTACCCACGTTCTTGTGGATTTATCCAAAATGAATGGCGAATAACCGACCATTCATTTTGAATATATATATATATATTCTTTTCTTTCTTTATTTCCGAGGAAAGTTGTTTTCTTTTTGATAATTCGGATTTTTGGTAAATGATGCTTTATACCTCCTGTGGTCCAAACATTCTGCTGGTATTATTGCCAATGTTCTCTAAGCAGACGTCTTTAAGCCGGATAGTCTTGCAATTCAACATGTTTAAAAAAAATCCATCTTTACACATTGGCCCTTTTCATTTTTGGAATTTTCCCATTTTTCCTGTATTTTCTAACAAAGTTTGCTTTGTAATACATTATATATACAAATTTATACAAGTACTAACCCAATATTAAAATTAAATTTAACCCGCAGACAATATCGAAAAGGAGATCCTGTACTCTGATTGAAAACATATTCAACAGGAGAGACTCCTGTAGTAATGATATTTCATTCTCTCTTTCTTTCTTTCTTTCTTTCTTTCTTTCTTTCTTTGAGAGTGCTTAGTAATCGCTAAGAAAATATATAATTAAAGTTTACTTTATTTGAATAACATATTGGATAATCAAACTGGTCCAAGTAACAACCTATTTCTATTTGACAAGGAAACAGCGCCAGACCTTTAAATAAAGTTAAATGTAGCTTATACGATGAATATTGATCTTAAAGCACATAACTTTACGCACACGTACATACACATACATACGTACACGTGAACACACATGAACACACATATTTTTAGAGCAGAATACAAGTAGAAACACCAAGATGTATTTGCCAAGTTTCTCTCTCCATTAAATTTTACGTTTGGAGTCATTATTGACTAGCAAAGAAAGAATTGAATAGAGAGAAAGAAGGCAAGAAAAGAGAAATACATATAAGGGTAGATATCGGTCAGATATCTGGATGTCATAATTCTGCATTTGCATTGGCACAAAATAAAGTCTGTTTATTTATTAGCTTAAAATTCACGCATGTAAAAGAAGACCTAGTCTGGAGTATGTTTGTGTATTCTTTTATCAAATGGTCACCAAGTAACCCCCCCCCCAAAATAAAACATAAAGCCATATTTGTGCGTGCATTGCATAATCGAGACTTTCAAAGAGAATTATAATTATCTAGATCTTTTCTTTGTTGGTCCATAAGAGATACTCGTATTTCTGGAAATTGCTAATGAAGCAGCTCCACATAGTATAAATATGTTATGGTGGATAGTACCCGTCACAATATAGGATCAATTATCCCTTTGCTTGTCCGATTGATAAGTGTTTCTGTCATAAGAGTCAAAAGAAATATTATAGTATATTTTGAAGATAGTATGTACTAACATTAATCTGGAATTCTGTACTGCTCTGCAAAGAAAGCCATTATTAGTCTATGTAAGTCTAAGTGTGTGTGTGTGTGTGTGTGTGCGCTAAAGAAAATAGTGCCTATACTAGTACAAGTTTTTAAGGCAGGATATAAAAAAAGTTGACTGGACAGATTGATAAAATTAATTAAAGATGAAACATAGGCCAGAATTTCAAGTCGTATTATTGAATTAGAGGTTCAAAGAAAAAGGGATAAAAAAAAGAATGGTGTGGACAGATATAATTTAATTTGCTCATTTTTTTATTAATCAATTTGATCTGTCCACTCCCATAATATTGAAAGAAAAAAAAATCGGTTAAATTTTGTGAATATATATTTTATATATGTTTGTTTGCCAAATTACCCGTAATTTTTGTCTTGATTCTGTTCCGGACCTAATACAATTTCGGAAGTGTGACTTTTGACATTCTTGAGTAGAAAAAAAAAAGAAAAAAGAAAAGCCTGGGAAAAATTGGATAATGGCCACCAAACTATCAACCACCAGTTCGGGTTTCTTTGTTTTTTTTTTAGGATCAGGTACCAGACTAATAGAATGCATGGGACAATTGAACCAAGTACATGTGTGCCTGTGTGTAGATGTACATTTACACTTACATTTGCATTTACATGTACATGTACATGTACCTGTACCTGTACCTGTACCTGTACTTGTGTACTTGTGGACTTGTGGACTTGAAATTGTGTCAAGAAAAAACGGGTAGATTGTTAAAGATTTCCCACAGTAATTTTTTTTTTTGCTTTCTTCTTTGCTACTGCTTGACGCAATTGACATTATGATACTGTTGCACTTTGTCACAAAATAATTCTTGTGTATGTGTGTAATACTTTAGAAATAAAGAGAGGTTATATTTATTGTTTTAAAAGTTTCTATGCATTTAAAAATGTTCTGCACCCTAGAGGCATGCACCTTTTCTTTTCAAAAGGGGTTCCCTTTCTGTCTCTTTAGGAATTAGATACAATTATAACTTAGATCAAATCAAAGGTGATAAAAAAGAAGGTGTTTCTCTAGCTTACATAATGATATTGGTCATTTCTATTTATACATTTTGTGCTAGTTTTTAAACGAGTCTATACCTATCTATATTTAAGCAATTTATAGATTATGGTGAATATAATTCAACAACAACAAAAGAAGAAGTGCCTTTATCTCTCTTTCTCTTTATATATATATATATATATATCTCTTTTTAATCTTTTTGTCAAATTAAATGCAGCAAACCAGCCCTCATATAGACTTGTACACCATCATTATCAGACTCGAGCTATTTTAATATAATATACAGAAATTACGTCAAGATTAGCTTTCGATAGAGTTTATATCAGCAGAAGCACAATATACAAAATAGTAAGAATTAACAGAATAAATCAATCAAGAAATCCCAAAGACACTGATCACTAAAATATACATGGATATATCGCTATGCACCATGAGAACATCAAAATGACATCAAGGTATAAAAAAAAAATAGGCTACAAGAAACCAAGGGTCGTTCGTGTTGAATGAGCCTAACAGGAGAGACTTTTTTTTGGGTTCCTACAACATATATTTTCCTTTCCTTTCCTTTCTCTTCTTTTAATAAGGAACTAAAATATTATTTCTAATTACTATTTCCACTGCTGCCACTGCTGCTGCTTGGTCTTTTGGTCAAATAACATCAAATAAAAGGATTCTTTAATTTCTCATAGTTTCTGGGAACTTTGTGATGATAGTCATGCTTAATAAGAATAATAATAGATATATATATATATCCTGTTAGATGGTTAGAATACATGTAACCGCCTACGCCGATGATGTCGGGATTCAGATAAAGAGATCCTAATTCGCTTTTTGATCAGTGGCTACAAATTCTTATCAATCTATCAAGGAAAAAAAAAGAAGACTGCTTTATAGGTGTAATGGTAATCAAAAGTACAATATATATTGTATATTATATTATGGTTATAGATAAGAATAAACGATCTCAACCAATGATTCTTGACTTAATAGAAAAACCGGCTAAAGGGTACCAAAAGAAGAAGAAAAAGAATATATATATATATATATATATAATATTGTTAATCATATCACAACACAACACATCACATCACTCTATACTACGCCAGATCAGATCAGAGCATATACTATTATCTTAACCATATTTACGATAACTGATAATGATTTTAATACAATACTTTATAAAGAGGATAGGAATAAGGAGATATATGCTATCTGTTTGCATATATGAAATGTCGTACACCTAAAAAAAAGAGAGGGAGAGATTGTTCCACAATACCTGTAAAGTATATTATATCTAATCTCTTCTTTAATTTATAATTTCTGGGACCATTGATATGATAAAGTTGAGTGGTGCCCTGGTGTATGTGTATGTGTGGGTACAGAAAAAAAAAGCCGCTCTTTTTATTTATTTATTTATATATATATATATACAATTCATAGAGCAAGTTTACCAACAAGGTTGAAGAGCAGATAAATCTAGGTTAGAGTAACATTCAATTCTCTGGTTTCTTATTGATCGTACGTTTAAAGATATTCCGCAGGTCTGTCTATAATCATTTATCCTATACAGTAATGGGCATCGACACATCCTTTCCTTTCTAACAATCAAACAAAACAAAATAGAAATTATACTATGCCTTTTGTGCGGACAATGTATAAGTATATTGCTTGGTATCACGAGTAGTAACAAACACACCTACACGCAAAGACATATAGATAGATAGATAGATAGACAGATAGATAGTATATTTGACTTGTTTTTTTTAATTCAATCCAATACAATTCAAATCCATTCACTTGGTTATTGTTTTTTTATATAAAAAAAGGAATAATAATAATAATAACAATGACATCGGTAACCTTGCTGCTGAAGTTTTATCCGTTAAAAATAAAATAACAATATACATTAAAGATATTGATATTTTCATCTTGTAAAAAAAAAACAAAGAAAGCATTATTATTTTATTACTGCAACTTTTACTGCTATTGCTCTTATTGCATAATTCATAATGACATGTATAATAATTCTATATATTATGATATTACAATTGCCTAGACTAAAAGCTTACTACACATGTATGCATTTATCTCGTACCTTGCAAATCAAATGCTCCCTGGAAACTTGATCTAACTTTGTAAAAGACAAATATATATATATATGTGTGTGTCCAATAGATCATCATATCTTTCAAGTATAATGGTTACTGTGAATCAGTATGTTAAAGGACATTAAGACGACCTAATGGTGTTGTATTGTATTGTGTTGCATTGGGCTATGCTATGCTATGCTATACAATTAGATAACTGCAATTGTGTCTATTGGTCTACTCCTTTACCGCGGGTATGTTCTTTTTTGTTATAAAATGATATTAATATATTATTACTATTACTATTACTACTAATACTATATTATATGTAAGCAAAAATAAAAGAAAGCTGTGCGGAATTGACTGGTTTGGTGTGGGGATTTGGTTGGTGTAACAATCGAAGCGGAAGGTCAATAATAACCAGGTAATCGTATAGAGAATTATTGGGTGTGTAATTTTTTTTATTTTATTTTTTTAATTGTGATTGTAAATTGTGGTTGTAAATTGTGAGTGCAATTGTGAGTGTAAATGTGAATGTGAATGTGAATGTGAATGTGAATATTATTTTCTTGCAAACTTTTTTTTAATAATAATAATAAATAAATAAACGTCAATTGTAAACCAAACTCGTTAGAATTAAAATAAACCAGGAAATTTGTACGAAAAAGCAATTGTTTTTCTTATTGGTATTATTGTTCAAATATCAGATATTATGCCTCAATTTTGCTTGGCATATAATTGAAAGCCAAGCCCGTTAAAAGAGATATACAGACAATAACATCAATAATCATATGAATACAGTAGTAATTTTTCATTTTTTTTTTTATAATATCAAGGGCAAGGAAGGAGGAAAGGGGTGAGGAGGGAGGGGGGGAGGGTGTATAATGGGGTGGTTTGGTTTGAGGAGAGAGAAAATATATATATATATATCTATATATATTTATACAATAGTAAAGATGGCGGAAAACAAACAGAATGCCACCCGATAGGTAGGAAAAAGGCCAGAAAAAAATATTTTAAGGGTATTTATTGCTTTACACTTCTTGGTTGCTTTACTTTTTTCATACTTCTTCTCCACAATTGATAAAGAAGAGCGGAATGCCATATATATACAAAAAGAAAAGCGTTGTTTTTATGTGGATCGACGGTGAGAGTGGGGAAGTCCTTTAGAGGCAGGTGATAGAACACTGTGCAAGAATAAATGAATCTCCATCAATTCAAACACCGGTATCTTTTTTCCATTAGAGGTATTCTCAAGAAGCTCTTGCTTGATAAGATAGACTGCGTTTATCGGTAGCGGAGTTGCCTATTCTTCCGAAAGACTATGATTACGCTCTACGTTCCCGTCTTTTTCCTCTTTTATAATTTTTTTTTAAAATAAGCTCACATAAAATATGTTTATTTTGAATTTGAAACCATGGTAACAGAAAATAATAATAGTAATTATAATAATTTTAAACATTTACAGTATAATTCTATTCTATTCTATTCTATTTTATTTATTACCATGACAACAAAATCGAGAATCAAAACAAAAAGGTTATTCTTTTTGTTATAACAATAATGGAAATTATAAGAATAGAGAGTTATGATAGGTTCTATTGACCAGATCAATTCCCACGATGAATTTATTATATATTCATTTTTATCTTTTTATCTTTTCTTTTTTTTTTTCATTTTTGTCTGGTTTATTAGTGGTGAAGGGTCTTTGAACCAATCACAAATCTCATTGTACAACTAAGCCATGAAGTTTATCTCAGATTGTAACACTCTGGATCGAAGGTGTATCTCTGTAGCATCCAACTTAATCACCTGAATCCAAGGCAGAAAGTATATATTAAAAAGACAAGATTTAGAAAATGAAAATATACAGATTTATAAGAACAAAAGAAGCTATTCATAATGCCAAGGCTTTGATACCTTTGTAAATTTTGAATTAATCAAGATATACATATATGTATATATGTAAAGATGTATATACAAGGCAAGACTTTTCTTTTTCTTTTTTCTTCTAAAATAAATAAATTATAGAATAGAATGGAGTTTATTTCGTATTTTTTGTTGTTGTATAAGGAAATAGCCGTTGTTGAGAGGTCATTTGCTCCAGTGGTTTTTTGATACCGCACTATATGGTAATAGGTCCAAAGTTCTCCTCTTATAATCAACGTGCCGTACCACTTTGTCATTCGATAGTCGGAGATACTATATAATTCTTTTGAAAGTGACAGTATATACTAGCCTTTTTGTACCAAACCTGTATAAAAATATATATATTAGAAAAAAAAATTAAAAAAAAAATTATATAAAGGCAGCCGTCTTTCTTGTTGTTGTTGTTCTTCTTTATAAAAACACACCCACCCATAAACACACACACACACACATATATATATATATATATTCACTTATATATATATATCTTTCTTCCTTGTATTTTATCTTTTTTTTCTTTTCTTTAATCTCTTTCTCTTTCTCTCCCATAACACATACAATCAGCTTCTCTTACAATGCCTGAGACAAATCTCGAGCGTACCTTATCCTCCACATCTGGTGAAAAATTCTCTATGCGAGAAAATGTCTCGGAAGAACAATGCGATGAAGGTGCCAATGCCAGTGCCAACACCAACCCTTACGGACATGGAGACGGAAATTTCTTGACAGCTTACTTTAACGTTGTCTGTGTCGTTGCCGGTACTGGTACTCTCGGTCTTCCAAAGGCATTTGCCATTGGTGGCTGGCTAGGTATCCTCATTCTTGGTCTAGCCTACTTCATGGCTGTCTACAGTGGTATCATTCTCATCCGCTGTCTATACGCAAAACCCGGACAACGTCTCCATGACTACAAGGCCATCGGTACTGCTGCCTTTGGCTGGCCGGGTTACATTATCGCCTCTTCTCTCCATTTACTCAATCTTTTCGGTTGCCCTGCTCTCTATCTTGTACTTGCTGGTGGTAACATGCACGAATTGCTTCAAAACACTGTAAGTCACACCACAATACAATAGATTACAATAGATTACATTACAACACATTACATTGCATATAAACAAACAAACAAACAAACAAATAAAAGATAGATAGATATTTCTTTTTTTTTTAAAAAAAAAATTATAATATATTTTATTGCCATGTTCCTGACTTTTAATTTAATTTATTTGTTTTAGGCTGGTGCTTTGACAGATGTCTACTGGAAGATTATCATTGGTGTATTCTTGTTGATTCCATCCTTACTCTTGAAGACTCTCCGTGAAATTACTGTACTTGCAGCTGTTGGTGCAATCTGTACCATGATGGCCGTATTCATTGTCCTCATCCAGGGCCCCATGGATCACAATGCCCACCCCAACCCAGTTGCCTATGCTACTGATGGTGTCATCTGGACCGGTTTCCCTTCTGCATTGGCCACAATTGCCTTCTCGTTCGGTGGTAACAACACCTATCCTCACGTCGAACATGCCCTGGCCAAGCCTAGACAATGGAACTGGGCAGTTGCAGCTGGACTCTCGACCTGCATTGCTCTTTATTTCTTGACTGCTGTTCCCGGCTACCACTCATATGGTCGCTCGACCCAGTCTCCTATCTACAACTCTCTTCCCCACGGCCCTGGCCGCACCATCGCCATGATCGTCATGACCATCCACGTTATCCTTGCCATCCCAATCTACACCACCTCCTTCTCTCTCGAATTCGAAAAGTTCGTCAAGTGCGACGAAGAAAGAATCGGTAAAGTCGGTGCCTGGTTCGGCCGTGCCATCATCCGTTCCGTCACCATGGCTATTCTTGTTGTCCTTGCTATCTTTGTACCTTACTTTGATGACTTTATGGGTCTCATTGGTGCCCTTGCCACCTGCGGTCTTGTCTTCCTTTTGCCTGTCCTCTGTTATCTCCGTCTGACTGGTATCCGCAACAAGCCCTGGTACGAACTTGCCTTTTGTGCCCTGACCATCTTCTTGGGTATCATTGGTTGTGTCTTTGGTACAATTGATTCCATCAAGTCTTTGATCAGAGATTTCCAGAACGACGCTTAATTACCATTATTACTATCATTATTTATTTATTTATTTTATTTATTTTTTAAAAAAAAAACACTCTATTCCTCTTTTATATCTAATGCCATTATTATTACTATTATTATAGTACTAATCAATTGGTAACATTAGCCCTTCCCTCCTTTCCCCTTCTTATTATTATTTTTTTCTTTTTATTACTGTAACTTTTTTTTCTCTTTATTTTTGTCACTATTTATTCTGTCCATATTTCAACCCATTTTTCTTTCATTATTTTTTATTCCTTGCCTTCCATTGTCTATATATATAAATATACTCTACTTCACTTCGCTTCACTTCACTTCACTTACGAAATCGTGTTCCATTATTGTTATGTATTTTTTTTGAAATATTCAATACTAATTATCATAAAAAAATATAATATATTAAAATAAAACAAAAGTATTTATTTATTTTTAATAATAATCTTGTTTTATACATTTGATTTGATTTGATTTGATTTGTTTGGTTTGGTTTGGTTTGGTTTGGCTCTCACATCCAAGACTCTGGATTCGTGATTCCATAATACATGATCCATAATCCCAGGTCTGGTCTGGTCTGGTCAGATCTGGTCTGGTCTGGTCTGGTCTGGCCTGATCAGGATCAAGAACAAAAATAATAATATAGAGTATGTATGTATGTATGCTGGGGGGTGGAGGGGAAGGGGCAAAAAAAAAAAGAATATGGACGAATCAAAGTCTGCAACAAATATTAATTATTAAGCCAAGCCAAGCCAAGCCAAACCAAACCAAACCAAACCAAACTAAACTAAACTAAACTAAAAAAAAAAAAAGAAACAGACACATACAGATAATTTGTGTGTGAATAATCAAGTTGGTATATTTCTTGCACTGATTAATTTTCTTTTTTATAATAAAACTAAATATACATTATATTTGAAACGGAGACTACATATTTTCTCGTATCTTTTGTTTCTCAGATATCGGGGTGTGTTTAATTTGTTTTGTGATTTGTTTCTCTTGCGCATTTCTTTATTTTATTTTTATTTTTGATCCATAATAATTACATTTCCGACGATTGTTAAGAAATAATAATAATAATAATAATAATAAAAGTTGCGTCTTACTGTTTCGTGGTTGATTTTCAAAAACATGCTTGTCATTTCAAATAAACCATAAGCGTTCCCCCCCACCTACACCTACACCTACACATGTATTTATAAGGTTATCTTGATTTTTATTAATATTACTCTTATTATTCTTCTTCTTCTTTTTCTTTCTTACTACATGACCCAAACTCTTGGAAAATACCAATCAGCAAAGAATATTTTTGTGTTTCAAATGTAGAGAGGCCATTTGATATGAACCAATCTTGCATATTTATCAAAAATAGACAATTTATATTAAGGTAAAACAAGGGTACTGACTAGAATTAATATATTTTATTTAAATAATAATTTCATCTCTATAGACAGCCGACAGACGGGCAGACGGGCAGATGATAAATATGAAAGAAAAGAAAAAAAGTATAGAAATTATTTACCGCAGTTGATTTTAGTGAACAAACAAGGGATATAAAATTAGATTTACATACATCGATGAATATGTCTTGGGTACACTTGAAACGATGCTCTCTTTATTTCATTTCTTCCTTTTGTACACTATGGACATTCAAGCACACCACATAAAGATAAAGATAAAGAGAGAGATTTATGTACAAGAAAAGAATCTTGGACCCGGAAACTAAATTAGGATAAAGATTATCCGAGGCGTCAAGTGAAAATCTATCTATCTATCTATGATTACATGCCCCCCCACCCCACCCTCAATCCTATAATTTTTTTATTCTATTTATTTTTTTGGTATGTATGTATATTTCTCACCCATCTCCTTCTTTTACCCGATTCTCAAGCAGATCAAGGGATAATATTTTATTGTACATAGTAAATATTCTCCTTATTAAATCCTATACAGTACAGTACACCTATATAGCAACCATAATATCTAGAGAGCAAAAATAAACACAGTCTGTTAAGTAGCACTATTAAATTATTATTATCATTAATATCTTTAATAATAATTATAATGAAATAATTCAAATAACCCCCTGTAAAGAAGAGTAAGAAGGCGAAGAAGAGAAGAATTGACCTCTTTTCTCTCTATTTATATTAGCTATCAAATCTATATACACACAATTGAGCTTACATTACATAATGTATATATGTATGTGGTTTATTCAAATTGTACATTAAACTTTAGTAATTCCCATGAATATATATGTAATATTTTTTATTTTATTTTTTTTGTGATCAAAATAAATAAATAAATAAATAAAGAATTGGATGAATTGTAGCATAAAACAAAGTATAAAAAGTCCAAGTATTATTGATGTCTTGATAATCTTGAATGTTTCAATTATTGGGCAAGAGATTAATGCACACAGAGTATTAGATATTTTATATGGCATTTCATTTGAACCATCTTATCACCGTGTGTATTTTGTAACCCATAATTCTTCCCATTGTTGTAGCTCTTGCACGTGAAGAATGACAAATGTTTTTCTTCTCTTTTTGAAAAAAATAATGGTTCTCAGGCCTTGTTTCCCCACACACATATTCATTCATTCACATACTACTATTTTATACTTATTTTTATTATTAATTATAATTAATAGCTATAGATAGAAAGCCAAGCACACAGACAGACAGACAGACAGACAGATTCTTATTCTTATTCTTATTATACTTTTAGTATTTTCCCCACTTTTTTTTTATTTTCTCTCTCTTTCTCTCTCTTTTGACTACCTCTTCTTCTTATTTACTTTACTTTACTTTACTTTACTTTACCACTTCTTCCACCTCTTTATCCTTTTACACACATACATATATCTGTCTGTCTTTATCAAAAGCAGAAAAAGAAAGAATGACAACATCACATGCTCATGATACTCAGATTCTCTTTTGTCGTGCATTAGCCGTAGTTCGAACATTACCCGACAATGACACCGTCCAACTCACAGCAAGTGAGAGATTGAATCTATATGGTCTTTACAAACAAGCTACACAGGGTGATTGTACACAACCAAAGCCTTCTTCACGAGACGTAGCAGAATGTGCCAAATGGTAACAATTGTCTCTCTTGTTTTCTCATTGTCTTAATAATAAAAATAATATTCTCAACTGTCCTTTTTTTTCTTTCTTTTTCCTATTATTGCTACTGTTGCTACTGTTGCTACTGCTGTTGTAGGAAGGCCTGGGACCGTCTTCAAGGTCTGTGTCCCACAGACGCACAAACATTTTATGTAGAGGCCCTCGTGGAGCTTATTGGTGAAGTAAGTCAATCATGCCCGTGTTTTTGATTGATTTGATTTTGATTTTGATTTTGTAAAAAAAAAAAAAAAAAAAAAAAAACGCACAGTTCATTAAAGTATATCCTCACCATCCACATGTCGATTCCTTGTCAGAATCACTCAATTACCTTGAGCAAACCAATTACTCTGAGCAAGGTAAGTAAATATATATATAGTTTGATTTGAAGAATAAGAAGGAGGGGATAATAGACCGGCATGTGACTTATGGCTTGCAACTCTTATATATATATTTAGATAATTTTGATGAAACGAATCCAGAAAGAGAAGAAGAATACTACCTTGGACCTATTCAGTCTCCCTTGGGTAATTACTCCCTCCCACGCCACTATGCACTTTCCGAACCTTCCCTATTGACAAACACAACCAACAAAACCACAACAAGTCACAGCACCCAAGAATATCCCATGACACCCGATTTATCACCTAGCAGCTACCAAAAGATGCAGAACCGTTGGCCAAGGCGATACTATGTTCAACCCATGGACTTTCTTCATCAATCAAACGACCTTGTCTCTGAGGCAGACACAATTGATCGAGAAGTAGCTGCCATCACAGCACCCCTTGCATTAAACTCACCTGATTATCATCCTCACCTCAACCACCACAACAGCCAATCCCAAAATCAATACCAGCAGTATCAAAACCAATTTAGTAATAGTAATAATAATAATTATTATAATCAGTATCAAGAACAAGACAACTATAACAAATCATCATCCTCATTATCATTATCATTATCATCATCACCACCACCGCCACCAACATCATCAATAACAAGAAAACAATCGAAATCAAGACAAAATTCTGGGCTGACAAAACCTCAGCCACTTCGACCAGGCCCAACAGAACGTGCGATGGAGATTCTTCAGACCGAAGTAACCGGGTTAGCCGAACAGCTGGCAATCCTTCGATGGCAACAGGTCGAGAGAGACACGCGGAAGCGACAGTTGCGGTGGAGCTGGTGGTGGTTGGGCAAGACGGTTCTTAAGCACGCACTCGTAGACACAATCATCTTCTTTGTCGTCTTCTTGATCATGTCGCGCCAGGGATCTCCATGGGCCCACATGGTTCTGCAGCGAATAGGCGGAGGAACACAAAAGATGATCCGTTCCTTTGTTCGACGAGCTGTACTCTGGAAGGCCACCTAATAAAACCAACAAAAACAAAAAAAAACTTGTCAAATTCATATTTATAAAAAAAAAAAAAAAAGAAAGAAAGAAAAACATATACTCATGTACTTTGAACTACTATCTAAAAATCACAAAATCATTCATTAATTCATTCATTTATTCATTTTTTTACATGCACAAAATTATAGGCTGTGGGTATTGATATTAAGTGAGGTGAGGTGAAGTGAGGTGAGGTGAGTGTGGGTTTGACAGAGTACAGTCAAGAAATATTGTGCGGCTCGAAACAATATAGAATCCGATCCGGAACCAATCAAAGTAATCTATTCTAGAATCATTTTTTTTTTTTTTTTTAAATAAAAAAAAACTATAAAAGCCAAAGAGTTGGGTTTCCTTTAGAATTTTTTTTTTCTTTTAAGAAATCATTTTTATTTATTTTTTTGTTAAAAAAAAAAAAGAAATTATATTATAAATAAATAAATAAATATATATACATCTTTGGATATTTATAATATTCGTACTGCCTTCGTTACACACACACACACAGACAAAAAGAAAAGAAAAGAAATAAAGAAAAAGGCACTTTTATTTAAAATGACATCATCAATGCACGTGACCAGCCCTCGCCTGGTGCTAATAAAAGATATGACACCCCAAATGAAGAATTTTGAATGCGAAGTGATTGTGATTCAAAAGGGTGAGTTATGATATATATGTGACTATAAAGAATTATTAGACTAATCAATCCATAAAACATATATATATATATATACACACACATAACACAACACAAAAGACCCTGAACCCCACTTTACTCGTCTTGGTGAAGGGATCTATAAAGCTCTGGTAGCTGATCGTACAGCAAGCATTTCACTTAATGTGTTTGGAACCAAAGGAAGTTTACTTAAGCATGGCGATATATTGCACATCCGGGGAGCGTAAGTGTTTTGTTGTTTTTGTTATTGTTCTTATTATTATTATTATTATTATTTTATATGTATATTTATGTATGTATGTATGTATGTACGCATGTATATGCAAGTACGCATGTATATATATACACACACACACACACATATATATATATGAATATTTAATATTATATATTATTTTTAATATATATATATATATACATAGTAAATGAATATCATTATCATCATCATCATTATTAACAACAATAATAGGCAGAACAGATTATATCAAGGGCAGTTGAGCCTTTCGGTCATGAAAGAAGGTGACATCAAAAGAATAGGCCAAGACACTTTCCCGTTTGTAGAAAAGCCCAATCTATCGGAAGCTGAGATTACACCGCACCGAGCACCCAATCAGTTCAGACAAGATCAAGCCTCGTTTCCTGATCAATCCCAACGAGCAGTCAATCCTCAAAGACTTGCCAATCGTCCTCAGCGTGGCCATGGAAACTTTTCAAAGGGAAGAAAACCTAGATCTGGCAACCAGCGTGATCTAGACCAACCTACAGACAATAGAATCCCGAACAACAACAACAACAACAACAATAGTAGTAGTAGTAGTAGTAGTAGTAGTAGTAGTAGTAGTAGTACTAATAGTAATATTAATATCAATAGTAATAGTAATAGTAATAGTAACAATGTAAATAATAACAATAGTAACAACAATAACAATAATGCTTCTAGTAATATTAATAATAGTAGTAGTAGTAGTAGCGGCAGTAATAATAATAATAATAATAATAATATCATTAACAATAGTAACAATAACAACAATAACAACAACATCATCAAGGCTCCATCAAGAGACCCTCGTCTAAAGCGACCTGCAGATACCCAACCTCTTGAGATACAGCAAAAGACACGTCGGAAGGTGGAATACAATGAATTCGAATAATTCCCATAATAATATACTATATCTATATATCTTATTTGAAAAGAATCCACATCATATTTGGTTTGTTTTGGTCATGACTATTTGGATTGTACTTGAAGTATGGGGTTCTTTGTTAGATGAATAATCCATTACACATACATGTACGCACATGAATGAATGAATGAATGAGTGAGTGAGTGAGTATGTATACATATATGTGAATGCGCGTGCGTGCGTGCGTGCTTGTATGTGCGTGCGTGTATGTGCGTGTGTGTATGTGTGTGAGCGCGTGTGTACTTGTTTGCATCATCATAATCACCATCACCATTAACATATTATTCTTGTTTGTACTTTATATGACTTTTCTTTCTCTTCTTCTTCTTCTTCTTCTTATTCGTAGCCTTCTTCTTGTTCTTATAGATATACATACATACATATTATTGCTTTCTTTTTTCTTTTAATAATGCTACCCTTGGATATCAGCCGTAATCCAACTGAAATAACAGTTGCAGCTTCTTATCAGCAAATCATGGAAGCCTTGGCCAAAAGGCATCTTAGCGAGGAATCTTCTATAGAAGATCTGATTGAGCTGCGATACTCTGTTCTTTCGGTTGTCTGCCCAGATAAACTGCGCGGTAGGGTCTGGAAGCTACTCTTGCTGCTTCCCAATGTATCTGCATCTTGCTACATCAATATTGTCCACCGAGGACCGAGTTCCGTGGACACAAAGATCCGGAATGACACCTTTAGAACAATGACGACCGACACTAGTTTTCTGGAACATGTATCTGAAGATATGCTTATCCGGGTCTTGAATGCATTCGTATGGATTAGTCGAAAAGGTATTATTATGAATATGGTTATGGTTATGGTTATGGTTATGGTTACGGTTACGGTTATAATTGTTAGGGCTTATTTCCTAAAAACCAAAAACCAAAAACCAAAATGAAAAGGTGAACACACAGATGATACATCAGAAGAAATTCAACTAAGACAGTACTTCCAAAGTCTGTCTTCGTCTTCAAAGGAGCTCACCTATGTTCAGGGCATGAACATCCTTGCCGCCCCGTTTTTGATGGTCATGCCAGAGATGGAGGCGTTTTACTCTTTTTCGACTTTCCTATGGAGATGGTGTCCACTATATGTTCATCCGACGCTCAAAGGAGTTCATTGTGGTGTTAGGGTAATGAGTAAACATTAAACAGACGAGTGTTTAATGCTTAATTCTTCATTTAATTTAATTTAATTTAATTCGACTCTTGTGTACGTACATGTATATGTATATGTATATTACACAGTTGGTGGACCTTTGTCTGGCTGCTTTGGATCCAACACTTTATGGATACTTGCTTGGAAAAGGCCTGACAGCTAGTATATACGCATTTCCATGTAAGCTTTAATTTCTTTTTCTTTTTAAATATTATTATATTATATAAGAAATTATAAATATTGACTAGAAATTTATTCTGTGTCGATCTGGAAGCTGTACTATCTTTCTCTGCTTGTACACCTCCTCTGTCAGAATTATTGCAGTTGTGGGATGTCATGTTTGCTTTCGGTGCTCACCTCAATATTCTTTACATCATTGCTCAAATTGGCATGGTTCGCCATGAACTACTACATAGCTCAAGGTAATTTTTTTTGATTGACTGATTGATCAATGAAACAATAACCAACAACCAACAACCAAATGATAATGAATACATACTCACAAAAAAAACCTGTTTTATATATATATATATTGTTCATTAGCCCTATGAAAATATTGAGGAAATTACCACCTCTTCAAGCAAAAACTATTATTACCATTGCTATGATATTCTGCAAGAAATTGCCTATGGATTTGTATGAGAAACTGGTTAGGCATGCATATGATGAATCTGTCGCAGATGAGCTGGGTGTCAAGGTGGTTGCAGACTCAGACCAGCCCCAGAATGATGTGAGTGGTCTGCCAGACTACATGACCGAAGCCATGGGTATCTCTACAAAGTCTTTTTACGAGCCAAGGAATTGATTATCAGGATCCCTCTTTATTTTATTTTTTGACACAGTACCTGTACAATACACTTGCTCTTGTTGTAGTATTACTTGGCACACATTTTTCTTGTTTTGGTTTACAAAGAACAAGTAACTGATCGATCAATTGATTTGTATTTTATATATGTACTATGTATAAGATGCATTAATAAAGTAACAAGGTTTACAGAAAAACCATCTGGTATTTTACTAGACACTAAGACTAGCCATATTAGCTGCATAAGATTTATGTGTCAAGGAAAGGGGATTGTATTCAATCATGACTTTTGCTTAAATATTTGTGGTCCTGTGGCGTGCATGTGCTAGCAGAATAAGGACAACCTTGTGATGAGTATCACATCTACATGTAAAATTATATCTATATTTATTTATAAGAATATTAAGCTAAACTAAAGTAAAGTAAAGAAGAAGAGTGAACAATGATCCGGGAGACTTTTTTTTTTTTTGGTTAACCTGCAGGGCTAGTCATTGACTAATTCATGTGTCCTCTTTTTACTACGGTTTATATATATATATATATATTTATATATCTATATCTTACAAATCAATTATTCCTATATAGATCGGGCGTTTTGGTTGGTTTGAATTACCACGGATAGTCACCACTATTACTGTTAACTATTAGTAGTAGTGGTAGTCATATAAAGGCAAAATAACAATGCATTGTCAGTGCTTAACCCACAGACCGAGATAGCGGAGAATGGACAAGGACAAAATGTTTATATCATATTGTTATTATTGCCAATACACAAGGCTTGCAATATAAATAAAATAAAATAAGATAAACATGAATATATGATATAACAATAACAAAAATCCCTCTTTTTTATATATATATATAAATAAATACAAAGCATTGTAGCCAATAATATACTCCATTGGTAGACCACATTTTGACTCGCAAGTATATAATTATTTAGTTGTTTATTTACAGTACACAAATTTATATATGTATATGCGTATGCTTATGGCTTGTCTCGGCCATGCGGAGAAATGAAGAGGGATTAAGAAGGAAAGCGAGAGAGAGAGGGGGTGACATTCTTTTTTTTTTCCTATATAAAAATCCAATTGAATATTTAATACTCATTTTTATTAATTTATTTATTAATTTATTATTTCTCTTCTTTACTCTTATTACTCAAACTCTCTAGTCAACAAAACGAACACCAAAGACTACCAACCAACCAATCAATCAACAACAAAATAACAACAAAAATGGCCTCTTCTTCTGCTCCGTCTGCTGGTGGTGGTGGTGGTGGTTCACCATCCACTGAACAAGGATACTTTGCCTACATCATCAATCTTTTATTGATCCACAAGCCACGAGAAGACCGTGCCAAGGTTAACCCACGCCAACAATTGATGCCAGCAAGACAACTGCGACGAGACCGTTCACGGCGCATTCGAGGTGGTATTTAACGTACATACACACATACAAGAATCAAGCCAAGGATCTTCTTTTTTCTTTTCTTTGTTGTTGTTATTATCCGTCAACAGCTATAAATTTCCTCCTCTTCCTCATTTTCGTCATCAACCTCTGGTGCTCTTCAAAGCAACAACATCCAGATAGCTTAAAACTCTGTACATAGCCTTTGCTATCTATCCTTTTGTACCATTACCATTACTACTATTACTATCACTATTATTTATTTATCATTATAAATGTACTCTTGTTTAATACATAAAAAACAATCACATACAGGTGTACATGTTTATTTTCTCTTTATAAATATATATATATTTATGCATTCAATCAAAAAATAGTGTATTTTATATATGTATGTCTTTCAAGCCATGAGAAAACATATAAAGAAAAGAAAAACTTTAAAAATCAAATCAATCAGCTGCAAAACTGTTTATTATGTATGCACCATGTACCATGTACCATTTATTATATTATATTATATTATATTATAGTATATATTTTATATATTGATTTATGGTTACAAATATCGTAGGCATATAAAATCCCAAATCTGTATGTGAGTGTGTGTGAGTGTAGGACAAGGATTCCTTTTCGCACAAAAAAGGCGATCTTTTGAACCAGTTGAAAGCTGATATATCAATATACTTTTTTTTTCTCTCTGTTTGTGAAATGAAATATTTGCCTGCGCCTCCAATTCAATTCAATTCAATTCAATTCAATTCAATTGAATTCGCTTTGGTTTACATTACATTATTTTATTTATTTATATTATAATAAAAATACACTCAAAATATTGGTTGGTTTTTGAATAATTTATGATACACTACGATAGATGTACAGTTTAAAAGCAACATTCTCATCAATTAAATCACAGGCTATTCATAAATAATACACACCTACACTCTTGTCAATTAAATCAAATCACTAGAATAAAACACAATTCAAACTGTACAGTGGTGTTTGATATCCTACTGTACAAAAATACTAGTAAATGATAAGTTAATAGCTTGACAAGTAATATTAATGAAGTCATTTGTCAAAAACTATCCCACCTGCCTTTACAATCAACCCACAGGTAAACCCACTAATAATAAGGAGTAATAGAAAAACAGCCTGACCTCATTTAATACTGTTTTTTCTTTACTTTACTTTAATTTACTTTACTTTACTTTATACTCAATTAATAAAATAATAATAAATGTTCAAATAGGTGAACAAAAACATATACCGATTGTTTCTAGTATTTGTTTCAAAAACAAATATTAGAAAATATCTGATTTTATTTTCCTGCTTTTGTTTTTGTTTTATATGTATCAACCCTTGCTCATAAGCCATTACCCGTTCATTTGAGTTCAATCTGGCTTGACTCGACTCGATTTGATTTGATATGATATGATTTGATTTGATTTGATTTGATTTAGCCTAGTTTAGTTTGGTCTGTAAAAACAGCGCCGATTGCTTAGAGTACATGGATTCAAGGAATGGAAAGATTTTATTTTTGTAGTCACATCATTTACAGTCTATATTACAAACAAAGAAGAAGTAGAAGAAGTCTTGTGAGGGAATTATACATATAACTTTGATTTTGACAGCGTTTAAGACCACTGCCTTGTAAAGCTAGATCTCTCCATATCCCTCTCTTATCTTTCTCTTGCATGTTCGCTACAACCAAATGACAAATTTGTGTTGTTAGATCAACTACATCTCTTTAAACAGTCAATTAATCAATGGCTGTATTATGCCATTAAACCTTTATTTTTTTTAAAAAAAGAAAGCATATAATAGTAGTTGTTTTTATGTGATAAAGGCAGATTTATTTCTTTAAAGATGATTAAAAGATAATTATATGCTATTTATATTTTGGTACTGCCTGAAAAATCTTTACTGTTTAAGTTTTTCTGCAGATAATTCTAATACTAACAATGTTACTTTCTACCATGCCTGGTCCGAGATTTGGTTTCTACACCAATAAGCGAATCTAATATTTTCAAAGCTTGATATCTGAAATTGGAGGGGGCACATTCTTTTTATACTTCTTTATCCTTATAATACGACACGCATATATATATACCCATAATATGTCAATCAAAGTCTATAAATTTTACTGATACGTGGGATAAATCCATGATTAGTTTAATTGGAGTATAGAAAAAGGGAACTGTTTTTTTAGGGTAATAGACAAGAACTTCCTAGTATATTACAACTATACAGATCATTGTTCTAAATTTAGCATATGCTGGACTGTATTGGACCTTCTATGTAGATACCTATCCAGACATCTCATAATCGAATAGACTTTGACAGCCTTGTGTCTAAATCTAGTAGAGTTATACATATTACATCCAGTTAACAGCAACATACCCCGTGTACTAGGATGATACATAATTATTTTTCTTTTCTTCTTCTTATATCACGTATTGGAATTACATTCTATTGTATTAAACCAGCATAGAAGCCTTTAGTAAAAAACAAGGTTTCTTTTTTTTTTTGAACTTTTAGTCTGTCCACACCAAGCAGGCTTTTTCACAAAAGCTAATTTTTGCTTAAAAAACCCATTACACAAAAACAAACAATCAATCAAGAACCCACTCCCATCCCTGTCTCACCAACCTTGCCGACCTTAGTAACCTCTGCTTTATCAAGTTTCCATGAGTCCAAAGATATTCACCCACACGAATGTCTTCAAGACAGTTCTTTCTCGACATACTAGGCCGGTAAACTCGTCGGCTACATAAATACTTTGTGCCCCCAAGAACACCGAGCTAAAAGCTATTATGGACGATGCCCTAACACACATAGCCATGCACAAAGCACAGCAGCAAGTCATAATAAACAAGCTAGATGCAATAATGGCAACAACCAACGCACTTCAAGCACAGAACAGTTCTCTCATCGAGGAACTCCGTGTCGCAAATGAGTACATAGGGCTCTTGCATAACCAGCTCCAGCTTCAGGCCAAAGTGCCTGGTGATACAGCCTTCCCAACCATCGTTCTCCAGTCTATGGCGATTGATCTTGTTGAGTATGTCTCAGCCGTAGGCGCCGCCCACAGTCCTGCCACCATCCCCACACCCTCACCCACCACATTTCTGGCTGCTGCCAAGAAGACGATGGACAAGATACTCAACCACCCAAAGCTCACCACTGCCCAAACCTCCCGTGCCCTGCAACCCGAAAGTAGACCATCTGCGTATGCATTTGTATACCTTCGCTGCCACCACCACCTCAAGTATTGCCAAGTACCAAAGCTCTTGAGAACACTCAAGATCCAACAGTTACGTGTTCTGGATATCGTATTCCCGGAACGCGGCAGCCCTCTTATTCTTTGTGCACCACGACTTCAAGAACAAAATCATGCAGCTCTTGACAGACACATCAGTGTTTGTGAAGACCGACTTTGATCCCTTGGATCATCGGATCCATTGCTGGTCTGGCACACCCCCACAGGCCCGAGCATGAGCGCAAATGACTTGCATACACGATACACCGACAACATCTCCTCGCCCTCTGTCTTGAACAGTATTTGGAAGGCTGAGCACTTTTGTTTGGCCTGCTAGCAACTATCACTGCCATGGTGATATAGGATAAATAGCCTTGCTTATTGTTTCCTTCCCTTGCTTTGTCTTCTCCCATCTTCTTAATCCTTCTTATCCTAGCTCGCCTTACCTTTTATGCTCCCCTTAGCTAGTTTTATCGATCATGTTTCTTTTATCTCTCTCTCTCTTATTTCTTCTGCCGTAGTTCTCCTGGGTCGCCTATATGCCAAAGCGCGCAAGGCCTAGAAAGTGTCACAATAAAGTATTTTCACCTGTCCACACCAAGTGATCTAGGAATATAGAGCGCCTTTCTTGATATAGGCCTGTGTCTACACAGACATGGTTTCTCTTAGAATGTCAATTGAAAAATCCGAACAGCAACTACTTTTTTATAGGCTGATATTATCAATTTATGGTACAAACAGCCTATGTGTACCCATAAGAGAAAGAAACATATCAGACCAATCCACAGTGACACTACCACCCATACGGAGGTTTAAATACCTTCTAGTGTTTACTCAATACTGTTTAGAGAGGACTGTCTATCAAAAATAACCTTCACCAAGCCGCAACACAAACAAGAAAAAAAGATAATCCTTTTTAACTGCCTTGAGTCTTCTTTTTACTTACTTTCTCCCTTACGAGAATCCTCATTCAAACCTCCATGCCTAAATGGACTTTACAAACCTACTGGAATTGACACCAGCTTCACAACGCTACAAAAACAGACACGAGCAACCTTAACATATTTCTTTCTTTTTTTTTCTCTTTCTTTTTTGATACGTACCAACATCAAATTCAAAACACTATCAATATTAACACCGCCAACCACTATATTCAGTTCTTTTTTTTTGGGTTTACCAACACCAACACAAAGATATCAAAATTTGCACAGAGATTGAAATCATTCTTACTATATTTTATAATATGTATTGGATGTAATGTATTTAAAGGTGAAAAAGCTAGAGGAGAGCCAAAGCTAAGTTAGCTTCGACTCTTGTAATGTCTAACGTAGATATAGCTGCTATACGATTAAGGACAAATTCAATGTCAAGAATAAGTTGGAAATGGCCGCTCGATATGGATATCTAGTGTGTGGCATTGGCTACGTTGATTGAGACTATATATGATCTATTAGGTTAAATAAATGGCGACTAAGGTGTCTAGTTCAGGGAATATTCCCTGGGTGGCGACGAGGACGACGAAGATAGCCTCGTGAGTAGCCATATACGTATGCATAGCTGACCTTCAACCGTTAATACACTATTGATTAAGATACCAGAGCTTCAAAAGTGATGGTGATAGCTATAATGATTGAATATTAGAGCTTGACTGGGATCAGTTTCGTAGCTCATATTAGCATGAGGAGGATAATGGGAGGATATATCCAGAGGTCTGCGATATACACTCCAACAATAAAAATCATCGATGAACCACATTTTTCATGCTTGCTTTTTTTAAGACATTCTTTACCTTTCTCTTCCTCACACCTTTACTTCAAACTTAATCACCAATGTCAAATGGTAATAAAAGAATCAAAACTATCCTCTCTAGACGCGAGATGTTAGATTTTGAGCGTGGAGGCACTGTATGGTTCTCAAAAGCCGATCATACTCCAACTGACATCGTAAACCGTATGAACGTTCCTAGAACTACAGTTTTCGACACAATAAAGCGCTAGGAGACTACTGAAACAGCCAAAACAAAGACCAGATCTGGGAGGCCAAAGAAACTTAGTGTAACAGACATTATAAGTCTTTGTTTGAGTGTGAGACGTAATCCTTTTGAGAGTTGTGCATACCACCAGGCAAATTTTGGGGCCGCTGGCGTTATTGTCTGTAGACAGACAGTTATCCGATACCTACGAGCAAACGGCTTCGGTTCTTACACCCCTGTATCTAAACCGAAGTTAACCCGTCAGCAGAAAAAGACTCAGTTGCGCTGGGCTAGAGCTAAGGCCAGTTTTAGCATCGAAGATTGGAGTAGAGTGGTGTGGTCAGATAAGTCAAGGTTAATGGTGAAAAGCAATGATTCTGACAAATCCGTAATTTGTAGACGAGGGGAGAGACACCAGGAAAGACATACACTAACAGAAGAAAAGTATGGAAAAGGTTCCGTCATGGTATGGGATTGTTTCTCGGCTGGTGGCATTGAGCCATTATTGTTTTTCGAAGGATCGGTAGACTAGGATGCATACGTCAATGGTCAGTCTAAGGATTTCAACCCCTGGTACAAACAATTGAATGGGGAGCGTGACACCATATTCACAACCCAAGAAGATGGTGCTAGCTACCATACTGGGTCGTACACGACGTGGTGGAAAACCCGTTGGGAGATTAAACGTTTAGTCTACTAACCGTCGCAAATTCCGAATTTGAAACCAATTGAGCACGCCTGGCATGCTCTGAAGATCTGTATTCTTCAGGAATGGGAGTTACTTGATCCAGGAGTTCTGCAAAATATTGTAACAAGTATGCCCCACAGAGTTAAAGCAGCCATTAAAGATCGTGGTGATCACACCGTCTATAAAACTGTATTTTTTATTTTTATTTTATAATATACATATATTTCTCTATAACAACACAATTTTTGGTTTTATTTTGTCAGCTTCTTGAGAAGATATAGCATAATGAAGTTGATGTATAGTTTATTCAGGGGTAGAAATCAAAGATTTTGTTGGTGATTTCGATTTTGGGAGTGTAATGGCAACCGCTTCACACCACTTTCAAAGTCGACAATACCAATCATACTATCTTTCTTATTTTATCACTACTGAAAAATAAAAATAAAAATAATAACCATATAATCAAACTTCAGCACTCGGAACCCATATACTCTATTCTTTTATATCTGAAGTGACATATACTACTATTCTCAGAACTGTCTTTTTACTTTCGCATGCACATGATATCTATATACTTATACCTTCAACACCTTCTTCAATGAAAATGACCCCATCCTATCACACATAATTTTTAAAAATTCTTACTTTTAGTATATCTTTAAATATCCAGTTCTAGACCAAACAGCCATTGTCTAACACAAAGTCCTGCCATAGTAATCTCTCTTTATAGATGCACAACATAATCCTCAAACCTATATTTTAAAAAAAAAAAAGAAACATATATTTCTTATACTCTGTACTCTCATTCTTCTTGTCCCTTTCACTTCAAACAAATTAACTTGGTCTCTCCCTACTCGCATATCTTATTTATTTTAATATCTTTAAATAACTAAAATAAAATATGATTTATTATTTATTATATGTTTATATAGGTTATGAATTTATTATAAGAGAGATGTGTGTGTGGGTAGTCGATGTGTGGGTAGTCGATGTGTGGGTAGTTGAGATAGATATATTTAAAGTGTGTGTATGCAGCCGAGGCATATTTGTGTCTGTAGTTGAGGTGTGAGAGAAAAGGGGGCGTTGTGGGTGGGGGGTGCCATAACCAGTGGTCATATGGGAGAGGAAAAGTTTATTTTCTAACAAATCGCAAAAACTATAATCATTTATAGTTTTGAGGTAATGCATTTGGTAATCCAAAGGTTTCTCTAAAGTAATAAGGTAAAGATAAAGTTTTCGCATCCGTAGTGCGGATGCGATTCCAATAACGCATCCGTAGTGCGGATGCGATGGTCATGCATGAAATAACAGGTTTATCGTAAAAAAAAAGCCTGGGTAACCGCCCAAGTAAGTTTGTTTGTTTTGTCTAAAAAAAGTATAGAATCATATGAAAATCAAAATAAACCAACCAAAAATAGAAAGCAAAGCACTTTGATACTTTATACACGATACTCTACAGTTAACTAATAGCTTGTGTTTTTTGGTTTATATCTTTGTTCGTGCAAATAATCAAGCCTTTTGATATTTCATATTAATATATTAGTATATATAATGAATTCCAATATCTTATTTTTATCTAATTCCAAAAGGCTTTATTTTAATAATGAAAAAGGCTGGTACTATTATATTCAATAATTATATATTTCTTTGCGATTTTTTAAATAGTAACTCGACTGAAATATGTCTATAGCTTGTATCATTTATTTCCTATTCAATTTTTCAAATATACTCTTATTTAAAACTATTTAAACAGCAACTTAAACAAATAGATATCTTTGGCTTGTACCATATACTTCTCAAGCAGTTTATTAAATAGTTCTGTGCAAGAATATATATATTTCGGCTGCAAAAGATTTTGATTAAAATTAAATCCGATCCGAGCTATAAGCAACAATATGGGGTTTAATACATCTTTATAACAGTTTGATCCACTGGATATTTATGGATCAATTAACACTCTACTTCCTTTAATTCGCTTTATCTCTTATTTTCTTTTTATTTATAAGTCTAATCCAAGTTGATATATATCTATATATTATCAAGTTATTTTAAAATGAATTGTGTTCATATACTAAAAGTTACTCTAGGACTATATATATATAATCTGTTAGTATATTTCAGATGAGCTCTTACACCTACCTTTTTTCCCTCTTTAATACACACGCACACACTTGGGGATCTGTCTACCAGTCAATTGGCTGCACTGGTACAATATATACGATATTGTCTATTTCTTTTTATATCTTTTTACAAACTAAGGGTTCTAATCGACAATTCGGACAGCACGCACTTTTTTGTAAACTGGTATTACTGATCGGTGGTGCAGACACCCTTTGTGTACCCACAAGTGAAAGAATCATAGCAGGGTCCATTGACAGGGATACTGTTACCCATACGAAGGTTTAAAGACCGTATGGTACTCACTTACAATCGTTGAGAGAGGACTGTGTATTCAAAACCCTTCACTGTGCTGTAACCAAAACAAAAAAAAATCTTTTTAACGATGGCTTGAATCTTCTTT